GGCCCATCCAGGCCCAAAGGCTGGGGGAAAGAGCGTCCCCAAAGAGGGCAAAGACTTGGCACGGGGATGGCACTCCTTCCTGGGGATAGAGGCTTCTTTTAAAAACATGGCCTTGCTGGCCCCGGGACTGTCTGTTCCTTTTGCAGGAAGAGACCAAGGGCTTTTCGCAGGGGGGCTGGTGGAGGGAACTGCCAGGTGTTGCACTGCAAGCAAATTGGGCTTCTCTCCTCCCCCGCCCAACTTTGAAGTGGCCCCCACGGTGGGTGGGAGGGATGGGGGGAGGGATGCCATGGCCCCTTTGACCCCCATCTCTCGCAATCCCTTTGAACTGCTATGCAAATCAGGAGGAAACACATACCAAGAGGGACTCTCTCTGTGGGTGAGGCAAGAGTTTGAAAAGTGTAAAAACACCGTGCCAGACTAGAATACTGAGCTGGTAGTATAGATATTAAAATAAAACCATCCCTGAGTAAGAATCGTAATTGCTCCCCTTGAATGATACAGTGAAAAGTGGAAACATAAATGTTTGTTCAATAAATTAGTAACATTCTACCTTAACACGCGTGCTGCAGCAATCTCTCACCATTGTCCTCTCATGTGGGGAGGGGGAGAGAGAAAGAGATGGAAAGAGAGAAAGAGAGAAAAGAGGCAAAGAGAGGGAGGGAGGGAGGAAGGCATCCTTGTGTAAGACCATCCTTGTGTAAGAGGACTTGGGAGAAATCTGCAGACCCAAAAAGTACTTAGCAGGCACAAAAGTTCCCCTGGAGCTGGAAATGCTGGCCTGATTGCTCTCTTTTAAAATCTTTTCACTGCTCCTCAGCTGCAGTTTTCACAACTGCAGCAGCCACTGACATTGTAATTCGGAGCAGCAGCATTTTCAGCTTCAAAAACACCTGAATTATTATAATGCATCATTAAGTTTTATGAGAGGAAAAAGCCCACGATCCTGTTATCAATAAATCAATTTAATAGGCAAATTTTAAAGAATGAATGGAATAAGAAGTTGAGGGTTCCTCTTTTGTCTAAACAACGGGAAACTGTTTTGCCTCAGTGTCAAAAATGTCAGTAGATCTTAGATTAGGATTTATTCAACCAAAAATAATATTTCAAACTCATTGAACTCATTGTGTTTGAATAGAAAATAAATGGGTGGCTCACCATTTTTTTGAAGATGCAATTAAAACACCATTTTGTTGGAGATTCATTAAAACATATCATAAAGTTATTATGCATTGGGGAAAGGTAATTAAATGTATTAATCTAACTCTAAGGTATGATTTAATATTTTTGGACGTCCATATTCTTTTGAACCACATACCGATTACATGGAAATTGATGGCTGGACAACAGAACGGATCTTCTGTGCCCCTCCCTTTGCAAAAAGGGAGTCCCTGAATGGGAGAAAGATAAATGTGTGGCTCCAGTCGCTCCGTGGGTGGAAGCCTGGATGCCAGTTGCTCATAGACGTAGGTTACACATGGAGGATCCCCAGGAAATATGCCCGTCTTTCCTTGAGACTGTTGCATAAAACTTCCTATGTCCATACATGTCTATGAGAAGTCTTCTGTTTCCTTTTCCTCTTGTTGATGTGCTTTTATTTTTTTCTGTGTTCTGATTTATTAAGTAAACAAAGCAAAAAATTAGAAAGCAGGGGGTTCATCTTTTTACAGACTGGTTTGACTCTTCATAGCTTAAAGTCAGGTGACAGCGTTCTGCTCTCTGCTCTGGCATCACCCATGGCTCTCCCTCCCTCGGTGGCTAAGCCCTCTCCTGGGGGGGGGAGGCTTAAGAATGGGGGGGGGGAGCCTGAGAAATCCTTGGGACGCACTGCAGGTGAGATAACAGGGATCGGGAACAACATAAATGCATAAAATAAGGGGAAGTGATTTTGATTTATTTAATCAAGTTAAAATGGATACTTTTTAATATTTAAAATAAACATGCTTGGTTGAATGAAGAGGTTAAAATGTGATTATTTGCAATATCTGGGGTTGGATAATGATAGCAAGAAGAGATGGCGACATTTCCACCCTCTGATGCTTCCTTGTCTTTCAGAGCCCCCTCCGCAGCTTCAAAAGCTCTTCTTAGAACAAGTTGAGGGGTGATATCCCCCCCCACCCTGGGAAGAACGTGAGAGCCCCCGTTTAGGCCCCAGAGCACATGGAGACCCGCCAAGCATTTTCCAAGCGCTTTGGCTGAGCCCTTTGCAGCTTCTGGACACGGTGGGCTTCCAACCCGGTGCAGGTGTGACCCAGACCTGGGAGGGGCCGCCTTGGGGTGGGGGCTGCATCTGCAGGAGATTAGAGCAGGAGAAGGAGGACCTGTTAGGGCTAATGAAAGGTCTGTTTCCAAGAAGCCAAAAGCAGCCCTGGATGGACCAGGACACTGCAGGGAGCAGGCAATCTGGTTTTGTTTAAAGCCGGTTCTAAGCCGGGGCGACTGGGAGACAATGCAAGCCATGGTCTGGTATGGCCCGCCCTCAGTTGCCCCTAAGAAGCAGTTAACTACCCATCTCTCCCCCCTCACCCGCCTGTCCCCCAGGGGCATCACTAAGCAGCACTGCAGAGGAGGAGGCCTGGACCCTAGAACCTTGTGGGTGTGTAAAATAGGAAACCGTACCACAATTAAGTAGACATCCTCTTTCTGTTTTTTTCCCTAACAGAACTTCAAATGAAAGAGAGGAGGCGTCAGAGAAGGCAAGGCAGGAACAACTGGAACTTGAGCCAGTGTGGGAAGAAAGTGGGGCCCCTGAAGAAACGAGTTCAAAGCCAGCCAAAATCTGAAGAGCGGAAATCCTTCCAAATCCTGGTGGGCTGGAGAACAGAACCAAAGGGGACGAAGGACGCCCATTCCATCCCTGTCAAGAGCCTTCCGGAAGGAGCATTTCATCAATCAGAATAGAACTTGTAGGGACCTTGGAGGTCATCTAGTCCAGCCCCCTGCTCAAGCAGGAGTTCTACACCATTCCAGACAAATGGCTGTCCCGTCTCTTCTTAAAAGCCTCCAGTGACGGAGCATCCACAACTTCTGAAGACAGCTTCTGTTCCACTGGTTGATTGTTCTCCGTCAGGAAGTTTCCCCTTAATTCCAGGTTGCTTCTCTCCTTGATGAGTGTCCATCCGTTGCTTCTTGTCCTGCCTTCAGGCGCTTTGGAGAAGAGGTTGACCCTCCCCCCTTCTTTGTGGCAGCTGTTCAAATACTGGAATAGTGCTATCCTGCCCCCCCCCCCCAGTCCTTCTTTTCCCTAGACTGGCCACACCCAAGTCCTGCAACCGTTCTTTGTATGTTTTAGTCTCCATGCCTTGGGTCATCTTCGTTGCTCTTCTCTGCACTTTCCTCCAAAGTCTCAACATCTTTTTTGTAATGGGGTGACCAAAACTGGATGCGGTATGCGGCCTTACTCAGGCTTTTTATAAAGCAGTCCTAATACTTCAGGTGATTTTTATTTCACGCCTCCGTTTATGCAGCCCAGGATTGCGTTGGCTTTCCTGCCTCCGTGCAAAGCAGCCCTTGCAAAGATGGGCCTCACCCGACGCCACCCTTCAACTTCTCTGCAAATCTTCAAGCGCCCTCCTGGCTGAGGCATAGGCTGACTCGGCCGGGGAATAACAACTCTCGCCCCCCAGCAACAGCATTTCCTTTTCACCGGACAAAGCCTCTCTTTCCCCCTGCGGCAGATGCGCCCACCAAGCCTTCCTCGGTTTCCTGAGGATCGCACCGAAGCGCCCGCAAACCCAGGTCCGTCTCGCCCCCCCCTTCCCTCGCCCCCCAACCTTTCCCGCGCTTGCTTCCTAAGGCCTGCTGCCGAACTGTCCGTCCACCAGGGGGCGCCGGACGCCCTTTTCCAAGAGGCAGCCGTTTGTTTTCCCGATTCCCGGCCAAGAGCTCCGAGCACCGTTTCGTTCTCTGGGGGGCCGAAGGGCGGGCGCAGAGCGGGGCGCCGGGCGGCAGGGGGGCTCCGGAGAAGGCGCCGCGTCCGGGGGCCGAGCCGGGTCAGGGCGCAGCCGGGCACCGGGCGACGTTCGGCCCCCGCGCCAGGCCGGCTTTTGGGCGGAAGAGCGGCGCCCTCCGTCCCTTGGCCCCGAGACGGCGCTTCCTGGGCTTTCTGGCCGGGCAGGAGAAGCGGGGCTCGCTGCCCTCCCGCAGAGCTGGCGAGAGAGAAGCCTTCCCCATGGCTGGCGCCCAGCCGAGCCCCCGGCTCCCCGTCCCCGGCTCCCCCGCCCGGCGCAGCTCTTCCCGCAGGGCAGCCGAGGCCGGCTTCCCGTCCCCAAAGCAGGCCGAAAGGGGTCGACGAGAAGCCGCCTCTCTCTCTGCCGCCAGGAGGGCTCTGGACGGAAACCTCCGTTGCGATCCCTGGGTAGTGGCGAGTCACCAAACCCATGACGCTCTTCCTTGTGGCTCCATAGAGCACAGCCGCACCCCCTCCGCCCTGGAGAGGACACCCCCCCTGCCCCCCCCCACTTGCCAGGGCCACAAAACCGCCGGGTTTTGCAGAACTCTCTCGGCACTGGCTGCTCTGCTCTCCTTCGCCTCCTCGCTCGTTCCTTCCTCTTTCTTAGGAAAGTTGCTTCGGTTCCGTTTCTTCTTTCAGCCCGTCTTCTCTCTCGGAAGTGAACCCTGTCTCCTCTCCGGTTGACTTCAGCGCAGCCCTCGAGCGCCTTCTCTGGAAAATTATCCAAGGCTGGAGGTTCAGGGGCGGTCAAAACAAGCAACGCGACCGTCAGAGCGCTTCGGTCACAGCTCCTCCCCTTCGGACACGCGTGGATTTTGCACGGGTTCAGAGGCTCCATTCGTGACCCGCACCGACGGCCCCCCTGCAGAGGCCAGCGTGCTGCAGGGCCCCTCTGCCCCTCCCGACTGGAGGGGCAGCTTCCAGCACTGCCAGGGAGGCTAAAGGCTCACACTGCAGCTCGCCAGCCCCCCTCCCAGCTCTCTGCCCGGAGGAGCGGGGGGGGGGGGCTTTAAAGACCTGAGCTGCCCTTTAATGAACAGCTTCTCCCAGGTTTAATTCTCATTTTATTTGCTATTATTGATCCAGTACATCTTATACTTTATATACATACAGATGAATATTACTTCTGTTTGTGACAATACATATTATTTAGGTAATACTAGCCTTAAGAAAACACGCACACAGAGGGACAGCCTCCCGATTCGATTAGTCAATTTAGGAAGCCACGTAATTGTTTGAGGTATGACCGTGAGGCTGTGGAAATGGCCAGGGGCCTCCTGCCAGGGAAGGAGAGGAGTCAGCTGGACCCAGAACCTCCAGGCAGGGCATGGCAGGGCTAGAGGGAGGGGTGGGACCGGCCAAGCCCATCCAGGCGCCTTCCGGCTGTGCTGGGCCACGGCTCCCACTTTCCACAGGAGCTGCAGCCCAACAGAGCCCTCAGCTGCCGGCTGAGAGAGAGAAAACTTCAGGAGTAAGTGGGGAGGGGGCTCTATTTTCAGAAAGTGCATTTCATTCTTTGCGGTCTTTCTCATGATACTAACGGAGCAGGTCCTCTGCTCCCCTGCAAAGGAGATCGAGATGTGGCCGGGAGTGGAGAGACGACAAAACAGGGAGAGGCTACCTGGAAGTGCCTTGCTCACTTAAAACTACCCACAGGAGAAGCACCAAACCACAGGGGTCACCCAGGACATGCACAGGCAAGAGCCAAGGTTACAGCAGCGTAACTGTCATCGGCCAGGAGGTCACGAGCCTGCCGGGAAAAACGGTTATCTAGAGCACAACAAGAAAACGGCCTCCGGACGCGAGGGCCAAGCGAAGCAGGCGTTCCAGAGCCATTCTAGGTCGCCAACGGCAAGAGGAGGGAAGGGAAGGCCTGCGCAGATCCCGAAAAGACACGGGGCGGGCAGGCAGAGGGAAGAGACGCTGCCAGAAACTCCTTCGTGAGTAGGAAAGGCTCTCCAGCTACAAAGCACACTGGCCAGAAATCTGCCTCCAGGAAGCCCAACCCTCCCTGGCAGGGGCAGACCCCCACACCACCCTGCTCCTCGGATTAAGGAGCGGGCCGTGCTCCGTCAGGCAGGCACAGGCCCCCTGCTACGTGCATGCCAGGCAGCCCGTCTCAAGGGCACAACAAACTGGGCTCAGAAGGGAGCCCTCTGGTGGGGGCGGAGGAGCCCCCCCCCCGGGGAAGAGGCGTGGTGGGAGCGGGAGGGTCTCTTGGGTGTTACCACTGCACCCAGCTTTGGAAGGGATCTCCTTACCAGAACTGAGCGGGGAGAAGGGAGCCGGGGAAATTGCAGGACCCCCCAAATACAAAGCAGAAAAAGGATCCAGTGGGGCCCGACTACAATCTGAACAGGAGGGGGGGGCTGCCACAGAGGTATCCAACAGATTCCTCCCCCCCCCCCAGAGCAGAGATCTGCAGCAGCAGCTCTGGCCTTCCGCCAACAGGCGAGCATCAGGCAGAGCGCTGGCATGGAGACCGGCCATGGCTGCTTGCTGAGGCCCACAGGGAGAAAGGAAACAAAGCCTGGCTGGAGATCCCAAACAAAAAGCCGCGTCTGGTCAGCCTCCTGGACCTCGGGGACTGACCAGAAGCAGGAACTGGGGTTTCAGCCATCCTCCCTCGCTCTCCCAGAGCGCCGGGTGGGGCAAATTCTGAAGCAGCTCCGGGAGGCTTTTGCAATTCTGCTGGAGGAGGTAAAATGCAATGGGCGTCAATGGAATGGGGACATCAAGAAAAACAGGGGAGGATTGTCTGGAAATTAGGATTCAACTGAAGGGCCAAAGAGGTCAGGAAACTCCAGTCCCAGGGGGTCCGTCTGCCTCGGTGTCCGTTTCCTCCGTTCTGCTGCTGCTTCTTCAGAACTGAACCCAGCTGGATGGCTGAGCGGGCTGGCTGGGAACTGCGCTGGGGGGGGGGAATGGGGGAGGGAAAGGATTAGGAGAGAGAGGGAAGTGGCCGGGGCCCCCAAGGACTGGCCCACCCCAGAGGAACCCCTCCCATCTTTCCAGCAAGATCTCCAGCCGCTGTGGGGAGGGCTTAGCAGAGGCCGGACAGAGAACGAGAGGAAATCCCCTCTGCCTGGACACACGAGAGAAGTAACTCAAGAGGCAGGCAGACCGAGATAGAAGAGCCAGGACTTCGGTTGCCCCCCCCCACCCTTCTGACCTATTCACACATTACGTGTCCGTTATGTTACCCTAGTAGAGTGTCTGAGGTCTAAGAACTGGCGCTTTACCTGGGCGCAGTGTTGAAGTCTCCCCACAGGTCTGCACCGGGTGGGACGGCAGTAGGCGCCGCGGGAGCCTTGGAGGTGGGGGGTGGCAAATCATCCAAGTCTAGGAGAACATCTGTGGGGGGGGGAGTGGGGATGGGTCAAAGGAGGTGGTTTTGGGTTAGGAGGACCAAGAGCGGTTCTCCTCTGGCACTCGCTCAGGACACCAGGCGGGAGCCGCGCCCGGCTTGGCTTTCTCAGCACCCGGAGTGCCAGGAGCGGGTTGACTGCGCCTGGCGGAGGCTCTGCTCCCGGCCCCCTTTTCGTTCTTGCCGGGAGAGGCAGGGCCCTCTGGGCTGCCCGGCTCCACTAAACCTTGCCGGGAGCCCGAGAACCTCCCAAATGTGCCAGCACAGTGTAGACAGGCAATCCTCGGCTTACGACCACAACTGAGCCCAAAGTTTCTGTTGTTAAGTGAGACATTCGTTCAGTGAGCTTTGTCCCACTTTACGACCTTTCCTGCCACAGTTGTTAACTGAATCCCTGCAGTGAAGTTAGTAACACGGTCCTAAAGTGAGCCGGGTTTCCCCCACTGGCTTTGCTTGCCAGGAGGTCACAAAAGGAGATCATGTGACCCCAGGACACGGCGACTGTCATAAAACTGAGCCAGTTGCCAAGCCTGTGGATTTTGATCACATGACCACGGGGGAGGCTGCAAGCCATTCTTTTCTGCGCTGTTGTAACTTTGAACGGTTACTAAGCGAACTGTCGTAAGTTGAGGACTATCTGTACTTTGCTTGGGTTGTTGCCTCCCTCCCTGGCCCACCTGAAGCCCCAGCCTTTCCTCGGTCCTGCTGCCCGGCAAGAGGGAAGGAGGACGGGGGCTCCCTCTCTCTCCTTTGGCCGGCCTGGTATTCCTGCCCAGCGACCGTCAGGGGCCCCCTACTGCCCCCCCCTCTCAGCCCCTGGCAAGCTGGGTCACCCCACGGACACCCCAGAACGGCCGTTACCTGCGTGGCCAGCACAGCTGGACTTCAGCACGGGGGGCGGAGTTACGTGGTTGGAGATGGCCGTTGAGGAAAGAGGGGGGACGGGGGGAGGAGGGGCCACTTTGCCCCCCGGGGGTGGGGGGAGGAGGTTAAGTCCCGCTGAGCCAGCTGGGCGGGGCTTCGCTGACCCACTTTTCTTGGTGGGCATGTTCTGCCAAGGGAGAAAAGCGGCATTAAGAGGGGTCTCTCAGAATCACCCCCCTCCCCCCTTGAAAGACGTGCAGGGGAGCCTCACCCCGATGTTCAGTTTGATGGTCTGGCCTTCCTTGAAGCCCAGGTCGAGCTTGGGCCGGCTGTCCAGCTCCTGGGACTCCCTGCAGATATCCGTCTCCTGTTTCACCCACCTGCGGGCAAAAGGCAGCGGAGAAGGCAGTGAGAGGCGGCGACAGGGAAGGGCGGCAACCAGGCAGGAGAGAGGCAAAAACGGGGACCGAAAGGCCTGTCACTAAGCAACACGGACATAAAGCGTGAGGGTGCCGCTTAGTGGCGGCTGCTGTTGTTAACTGAACCCCGAAGCTGTTGTTGGGGAGGCAACTGCCTGCTGGCTTCCCACAACTGAAGTTGGAAGGAAAGCTGGCAGGAAGTTGCAAGTGCCAGGCCCGGAGGAAGCGGAGGGGGAGTGAGAGTGCGCAAGTGGTTGGCGCTGAGCAAGTGCAAGGGTGCTGGGGGGGGGGAGTAAGCTTACCTGAGTGAATTGCGGCCTTCCCTGCCAGCTTCCCCACTGACTTTCTGGGGAAGTCTGCAGGAAATGTTGCCAATGGCAATCATGCGATCCTGGGGCCCTGAAGCTGGTCATAAGTCCAAACTGGTTGCTAAGCACCCAGATCGTGATCGGGTGACCATGAGGATGCTGCAACTCTGAGGATCTGTCCTAGCCACCATCAGTTCAGCACTGCCGTTAAGTCTGAATGGTTGATGGTCAAGGTCTGCCTGTACCTCCTATTCTCTGGCTGGTGAGCTTGCCCAAGGGAACGGCTCAAAAACCTTCTCCCTCCCTTTGGCCACTGGGCTGTGGAGAGGAGACTGGCCATGAGACGCTGGAACACCTTTCAATGCAACCAGGCCCACCTTTTGGCCTTAGCCTTTAAGAAAGCCTGATCCCTTGAGACTGGATCACACACACACACACACACACACACACACACACACACACACACACACACGAACTGAGCTGAACACCATTTCAGACAGAAGCAGCTCCATTTCTGCAGAGCTGGAAAAGAAGGTTTCTCCCCCCGCCCCCCCCCTCAGGCTGGCCCTGGGTGCAGCCCCTCCCCCAGCAGACTCCCCCCCCCCTCCCCGCCCATCAAGAGCCAGAGCAGCAAGGCAGACTCACTTGAAATGGTCCTGCAGGGCCACGTTGAAGTCAAAGGCGTCGCCTCGGTCGCCGAAGCCGATGCCGATGAAGGCGCTGCGTCCTGATCAAGAAAGCCAACAGTGGTTAGAGCAGCCGCCGGCCGGGGGAGACTGAGAGCGCCTGGAAACGCTCTGCGGCTTTTCGCCAAGGCGGGGCAGTGCCTGGTGGGGTGTGGGGCCTTCAGGGAGGAGTCTCTGGCTCCCCATCAGGCGGAGGGGCCGACTCCGCTGCCTTCGGCCTTCTGATCCTCCCACAGGAAGGCCAGCCTCTGCCTCAGCCGCTGCCCCAAAGAACAGCCCTTTCCTTAGGCCCATGAGGCCTGGCGGTCACAGCCCAGCTGGCAACAGGAGTCGCGCCACACCCGTCCTTCGCGCCACTCCTGCTCCTTTCCACCCAGCAGGAGACCCAACTGGGGAGAGAGGAGTTTTACACCTCATCTCTCCTCTCGCTCCCCAAGCTCAGCGTCTCTCTCACGTTTGGCTCAGAATTCTCCTCCCCGGGCATTTGGGCTCTGCTCAGGGCTAGGCCGCCCCGAAACACTTCGCTTAACCTGCCCCCGAGGGGTGTTTATTGGCTCTCTGAAGACAGTCTCCTGGGGCCAGACCCATGGGAGAGGGGGGGGGGTGTGTCTCTGACAATTTGTCACGGCCAACTTGCCACGGGACAACTCGTTGCTGGACAAAAGTTACATTAATATCAAAGAAATGGTGGAACAGAATCATGAAATAAAGGATGCAAAAGGCGGGACAGAATGAAATGGGACTGACAAAAATTAAGGTATTTTTTTTTATTTTAAATAATTACACAGAATTGTTAAATTGTTCCGCAGAAAGTTAGAGTCCCATGGCCATTGGGCCATGGTGAGAGTTCCCTGTGAGGGAGGGCAGCTGCAGGCGGGCTCTGTGGGGCCCCCATCAAGCACGTCAGCCCAGAGGAAGCCTCCTCCTTTTTCTTACCGTTTCCATCCTGAATCCGGATGACGAAATACCGGCTCGAATCATTTACCGTCTCCAGAGCGATGCCAGGGTACTGGTCAATCGGGGCCTGGGCGAAAAGCTCCCCTGGGCGGAAACAAGAAGAAGAAAGACGCCTTCGAGGCCCAGCAGGCAAAATGGAAAGCGGACTCTCTTCAGAACGCCTTTGGGGGGCTCTGGCCAAACAGCTGCCACAGAGAGCTGCCCGCTCAGAAAATGGCCAGGGCAGGGAAGGCAGCTGACTAGCCTCCGTCCAGCTGGCCAAGAGATGGGTGGGTCCAAGCCATCCCGCCCTCTCAGGAGGCCATCCTGCTGCAACCCTAGCTGACCCCTGGAACCAGGTCCCTCACCAGGACAACGCTTTGCAACAGGATTGGATCAATAAATAGGAAGACAGCAATAGCCCTTTGACTGATATACCTTTTCACAGTGCTTTAAAACAGCCCCTCTCTAAGCAGTTCACAAATGCCAGCCTATTTGCCCCCAACAATCTGGGTCCTCATTTTACCGACCTCGGAAGGACAGAAGTCTGAGTCAACTTTGAGCCAGTCAAGATCAAACTCCTGGCAGTGGACAGAGTTTGCCTGCAATAGTGCATTCTAACCACTGCACCACTGCGGCAAAATATCAAGTCAATTTATATATTTTATAAAATAATCAAATTAAAAAAATCAAATTAACTAAATAAAAAATTGATAAATAAGATGCCTTTTATTTGTTGTGATTTGAAAGTCAATCGGTCTGTTTTGAATGAGGAGGGGCAGGTAAATGGGCAAGAATGAGATGGGAAGATGTGGGGGGGGGAGCCCAGTTTGGCTTAAAAGGCCAGTTTGGAACACAAAGAAAGAATCAGCCTGGACTCTGGCATAAAAACTAAAAAAGACTAAGACAAAACAAACCTTCAAGCTGGGGCCTACTGCAAAAATCAGCCATGCCACAAGTGAGGTAAGGAATCCAATTTGCACAAATCCTGATTTGGAGGCATCCAAGAACCAGGCCAGAAAGCATTCCGTATTGCCAAAAACGCACTGAAAATAAGGCTCACCATAAAACTAGTGGTTATTCCACACCACCCAACACCTCCTTACTCAGAGATAATTACGGACTGGTTTGAATTGCTTTATAGCATCACTTTCCATAAGCCGAGAGAAAAACAACTCAAGTACTTCACTGGCCGCTGTCTCTTCATTACCTGCACTAAACGGAAACCGTGGTTTGAAATATCACCAAGCAGGACGGCAGGTTCCTATCACTCCCACCAAGAGAGAAACTACCCTGGGCTATCGGGAGTAAGGACGTAGGATGGAGGTCATCGCAGCGAGACGCTGAAAGCCCATCAATGCATCCTATGGATGCCTGGATCAGGGTCCCTGGGGCTCTCGTGCCCCCCCCCCCCGCCTCCCCCTACCCCCCCCACCTGCCTCACCTGAGACCTTGTCCTCCAGCTTCACATAGGCCACCTTCCCCTTGGAGGTGATGCGCAGGCGCCCCGTCCAGTCCGGCTGGTCCAGCTTCCAGTCAGAGGCCCTGCGAGGGAAGCAGCAGCGGCAGTTCATTTAGTGACCACTCAAAGTCATACGGCCGCTGGAGAACGTGACCCGCGACCCTCACTCCAGACTTCCGACTGTTGCAGCATCCCAGTCGGATGCTTGGCAAGTGGTTCATATTTATGACGTCTCCCGGGGTCAGGGGATCCCCTTTTGCGACCTTCCGGCAAGGAAAGTCAACAGGGAGCCAGATTCGCTTAACAACTGCAGCGATTCACTTAACAGCTGTGGCAAGAAAGGTTGCAAAACGGGACAAAATTCACTTAGCAACCATCTCACTTAGGAACAAAAAATTTCTGCTCAGTTAGGGTGGTCGTAAGTCGAGGGCTGCCTGTGCGGGCATCATGGCCAGCAGGGGACCCTTGGCCAGGCCTCACGTTGGGGGACACCCGCCTCCCCCCCTTCCTCCCCCCCCCGGCAGGGCCCCGCTCCCCGCCCCAGAGGAGGCCCCTCCCGCCCTCCTCCACCCCCCACGGGTGGGCCGGGCGAAAGCAAGACGGGGGGAGGGCGAGCCCCCCTCCGAAAGGCCCGGCCGGCAGGCTCCGGCAAGAGGGGGACGCCGCTCCCCGGGGGGCCTCGGCTGAGCGTCGGAGGGGCCGCGCGCCCGAGGAGCCCCCCCTCCCCGGGGACCCCCCTCCCCACAGCAAGGGGGGGCCGGGAAGGCCGGGCGGACCCCGAGCGGCCTGCCCCGCCCCGGGAGAGCCGCCTCCCCTCCCCAGCACCGCCGCCCCTCCTCCGCCCGGGGGCCCAGCGGGGATCGGGCCGACCTTCGCTCGGGGCGGGAAGGCCGCGGGGGACGCGGCGCCGCAAGGCTCGGCCTCCTACCGGTAGCCGCGGTTGGAGGCCCGCGGCGGGATGCGGAAGACGCTGACCTCGGGCTTCACGCAGAGCACCGACTCATACTCCGCCTCGACCGCCGCCGCCGCCGCCATCGCCCCCGCCAGCTGACCGCGAGCCGGAAGGGAAACGACCCGCAGCCGCCTTTCGCCCGCCGCTTCCGCCCAGCGTCCTAGCGCGCAGGCGCCGCTCCACTCCTGCCTCCCGGCCTCTATGGCTGACCGCGGGGGCGGCGCCGGGCCGTAGAGCCGCGCGGGGCAGAGGGGCCGGGCTGGGAGGGTGGAGCCCGATGTCGGCCCCGCCCCTGGGCAGGGCCGGGAAGGCGTTCCCGGGGGCTCCGCATGTGCGCGGGCAGGAGGGGTGGGGGGGCTGCGGGGCCGCTCCCGGGGGGTGCGGGTGGGGGGGAGACCGGAGGGGAGGGGCCCCCGCAGTTCCTTCCCACCGACGGCAGCCCCAGGTTGCCCCCCCCCGGGGCAGCTGCGCGCTCTCTCTGCCCGGCCGAGGCGGGCTTCAGCCCCCGCCCCGCAAGTGGCCGGGAATTGCCCCGGCTCAGCCTCCCCCCCCTCGCCCGGGGAAAGGGGAACTGGCCGAGCGGCCGCCGCCTCCGAAGCGCTGATGGGGCACTTTTCCTCGCTCCCCTCTGTCTCGCCTGCGCGGAGGAGCAGCAGCGGCAGCAGCAGCAGCGAGGGAGCCCAGGTAGGGGCGGGGGGGGTAGCGAGGGGCTGTTGGCGGGCAGGAGGGGGGCGGGGGCCGCGACCCTCCCCCGGCGGCGGGCCAGAGCCCCGGGCTTTCCCTGGACCGGCTGCATCCCCCCTCCCCGCTCAACTCTGCCTTGGCTTTCAAGCGGCGACTCGCTTTGGGCGGCCCCCGTTGTCCTGCAACCTGAGGAGAGCCAGAACGAAGCGCCCCTTGCCCGCCTCCGCCCACTCCGGGAGAGGAGGTCGACCCCCTGGCGTTGTCTTCCCCTTCTCTTAATCCCGGGCAGGCGGGCAAAGGAGGGCTCTGTGGAGCCGAGGAGGGAGGAGTAGCCGCTTTGGCAAAAAGTCGGTTTTAACGGAATAACAGAGCAGAAGGGACCTTAGAGGTCTTCCAGTCCAACCCCCTGCTCAGGCAGGAGACCCTATACCTAAACCCCGCTGAAGATGTTACCTAGTCTGGTAACGAAACGTTCAGAAACCGAGAAGGAACCCTCACCCTCTACCATTCCAGACCAGTGGCTGTCCAGTCTTAAAAACCTCCAGTGTTGGAGCCTTCACAGCTTCTGGAGGCAACTTCCCTTCCACTGATGGATCGTTCCAGGTCCACTGCTTAAAATGGTTTTAACTGTCATGCTTCCAGCCCGGAGATGCCGCTTTAATGCACGGCTAAGAGAGGCTTTTGTCTTCGGGTTCTGCTTCAGATGGTCAGCCAGGACGCGGTGGGCTTCCTCTCCCACGGCTGCCACCCTCCCATTTTCTCAAGGGGGCAGGTAGCTGTTTCAGGTACGCTTGTCAGAGCAGTGTAACCAAGTGATCCCCGGATTTTCATATGGCCAGATCCTGTAAAAGTGTGCAGAGATTTTCCATGGTCCAATCCTTAGGCTGCAAAGGTTCGGGAGCCGAGAGCCTGGTGGGTGGCAAATTTCTGGGGTTTTTTACAGGTGGGAACATTAGGAAGCTTCCGCAGTTCCAGACTCTCCCAACGGGCTCTCCTCTGCCATCTTGAGAAATAGTTCTCAAAGCCATAGGTTTTTACAGTTAAAAGCAAATGAATTTTCTAGTTTTAACCAGGACCGACACATCCTTTCTGGATTAATTAAAACAATCTCCCTTAACAGGTTTATAAAACCTGTCTTAACATTTCTGCTACGTACAAATGGAGCCACCCAGCTAATGACATGGATCTTGTGGTTGGAAAGCAAAGCAAAAATCCCCCGACTGGCCAGCACTTTCCGGCTGATAAAGAATAGCGACACTTTGTGGGAATCTGCCCCACAACCATCTTCCCAACGCTGGCTGAGGAGATCAGCCGTAGCTCTGGATAAAGGGCCCTTTGGGGAAGGCGGCATCTGCAAAACCCCACATCCGCCTGACACCTGAGATAATGATTCAAAAACTTTTTTTCAGGCTTCCTTTTGTGAAGGAAAATGGCTCCATTGCCAGCAATCGGCAGCTGGGATGAAAACGGCGAGCCTCTCCCGTTGCCTTCCACCTCAGTCGCCTCTCTGGCCATTTTCTCCATCACTTTCCTCTTGGGCTTTCCTGGAAATGGGCTGGTCATCTGGGCAATAGTCCTGAAGATGAAGCGAACGGTGAACACGGTTTGGTTCCTCCACCTGGCGATCGCCGATCTGGTCTGCTGCCTCTCCCTGCCGTTCTCCATCGCCCAGCTGGCCCTCCGTGAGCGCTGGCCTTTTGGCTGGCTCCTCTGCAAGATTCTCCCCTCTGCGGTCATCTTCAACATGTTTGCCAGCATCTTCCTCCTCACCACCATCAGCATTGACCGGTGCCTCCTGGTGATGAAACCCGTCTGGTGTCAGAATCACCGGACAGTCAGGCTGGCGTCCGTGGTCTGCGGTGTCATCTGGATCCTCGCCTTCCTTTTGTGCTGCCCTTCCTTCTTCTACCGGGAGGCCCTGGAGGATCAATTTGGCAATATCAAGTGCCTCAACAATTGGGAAACGGGGAGACATGACGATGATGAGTGGCTGAAAATGGGGAGACATGACGATGACGAGTGGCTGAATGATCTGGGAGCCATAGAGGAGACGACCCCCATTCAAGACCCTGCTCTTTTGGTCACCGGGAGCACCTACGGCCGTGCCTTCCCAGGTGGGAATCTGGATCCACACCCTTCCTACCCCACTGTAAACGCAATCAAAGGAAACATCATGGTGCCCTTGTCTGCATCACACCATTATAGAGTCAAGACAGAGACAGATTTATTGATGAGGGAGGTTACTGTTGCTCCTTCCAGGCCGAAGGACTTTCCCAGGGTCCATCCGAGTTTCGCTCCAGCCAGCATTTCCCCATTCCCTGAAACCCAACCGCCTGGCATCTTTGTGTCCACCACCATCACCAGAGCCACATTCGGCTTCCTTCTGCCTTTTGCGATCATGGCCACTTGCTACGCTCTGATTGCCTGGAAGATGCTCAGGAAGCACTTCGTGGGACCTCGCCGGAAGGCCCTGCAGGTGATCCTGCTCGTGGTGGCCACTTTCTTCCTCTGCTGGGCTCCCTACCACGTCACGGGGCTGCTCTTCCTCCTGGCTGCCCCCCAAACGCCACTTCACCAGGCCCTGCTGTGGTGGGACAGTGTGTCCGTCGCACTCGCTTATGCCAACAGCTGCATCAATCCTCTTCTCTACGTCTTTGTGGGGCAGAACTTCAGGAAGAAGGTTTGCCAGACGGTGCAGGAGATATTTGAGGGGGCCTTTGTGGAACCCTCCTCGCCAGCCTCTTCCCAGGAGAAAAGCAAGACAACCACAGTGGGCAACGAGGTGGATGTTTCGGTCCTCTCACGCGCCTCTTCCGGGCAGTCAAAGGCTCAGGGAAGTCTCTGGTCAAGTTTGTGTGTGTGTGTGTGTGTGGGGAAATGCTGGCTTAGGCTACAATCGGCACTCCTACTGACCTTTTTGCATTCATTTTATCTGGGCTATTTTAAATGGCTTGTATCTGTAGCACGTCAGCAATGAGTATTTTTCACATATTTTTGAGGATGTTTAAAAAGAAGATAACATTTCTTCAGTTGCCACTCCTTGTACAAGAGTCCCACCAGCTGCCTTAGAATCCAGCTCTTATGTTTCAGCCAGGATGGGCAGCGTGCTTCGTTCAGTTGGGTCAGCAGATCAGCAACCCAGGGTGGGGAGGGGTCTGGAGCCTGGGCTGGGCTCCTGCGAGATGCCCCCCTTCCCCCAGCGCTTGGTTCCCACTGAAACACCTCCCAAGTGGAGTGCCTTCAGAGGAGCCACAAGAGGCGGGGGTTGGTGCTGCACTTGCGAGGATTGAGGATTCAGTGGGGGGGGGGAGAGAAAGGGATACTTTTCATACATTCATTAGGGACGGTTTCTCTTATTGCGCTTCTGGACTTCATGAAAAATAAACCTGGAACTCTCCACGGCCTCCGTCCGTTTCCTTGCAATGTTCAATCTGAAGCAGAGCTCCTCTTCCGGCTGGATGGGATGAGTGTGTGTGTGTGTGAGAGAGAGAGAATGAGAGAGAGCCAACTTTCGGCAAAGGCTGCCTTCCTGGAGACCCCTTGGAGAGCTTTCTGAGCTGGCATCCATCGGCCAGGTGCGCCTGTCAGCACAGCAAGGAAAGGGGAGTGGGCCGAGGGGGAGCGGGGAGAAGGCCCAGGCCACTTGGAGTGTGTGGGGGGAGGCTCTTGGCCAACGGGTAGGGCTAGCTAGCGATGGAGGGCTTCTGGCCCAGTGTGTGTGTGGGGGGGGTTGCAGCACTCCGTCATAAGGGAAGGCCCTTGCCCAGCTTTTGATCACATGTCCATGGGGGGGTGGGGGCTGCAGTAGTTGGAACTTTGGGCAGGCATCGTCTGTGCCCCTTCGTTCAGCCCCACTCTAATTTTAAAAGGTCACTGAATGAATGGCCGTGATTTGAGGAGTCCCCCTGTGCAGGTGCAGCTGCCTGGGAGAGCAGCAGGACAAAGCCAGGGAAGCCACAGGGAAAAGCAGGAAGTGCTCGGCTTCTCCGGGACTGCCGCCACCGTGGGACTCTGGGCCTCCGACTATGGGGGGGGGGGAAGTGAGATGGAGGCTTTGTCAGAGAAGCCCGTCAGGCAGCTCGGCCCTTCGCAGCCTCCCCCCCCCCCAGCCAAGCCAAAAGCCTCCCTTTGAGCAGAGAGGCTGGCCCAGAGCGGGTCCCAGGTTCAAGGGGAAGGCTTTTGTGTTCAACAAGGACTAAGAGGGCCTTAAAGACGTCAGTCCTGCAGGCTGCCACAAATTGAAACAGGGGCACCAAAATGGTTAAACCATAAACATTCACTTTTTTAATTAAGAAAGCATGCACAAAAATAATTTTTGTGAGGCCACCCCCTCCCCTCTCCTTGGCATCAAGCAATGTGGACCGCACAGAGCAATGGGCAAGCGGGGGGGGTCCCCCTCTGTGGTGGGCGGGCAGGCCGCCTGGCTGACCTTTTCCTCAGGCAACCGAGACCCCCGCTGGCGGGGCACTGCCTTGGACCCAACCCTCCCCCCAGGATGACCCCGTTTCTTTGCTCAGAAGGAAAGGGAGAACAAGACAGATTTGGACACTGACCGGCACATATTTACATATGCAAAAAGGAGCAGCTGTGTGGACAAAGAGCCTGATGATCTCTTGCCTCCCGAGTGACCCTTTGGAGGGGGCTCCTCAGAAGCCCCCCTGCCTAGAACCTGGAGGAGTCATCCCTGCATCCTGCCCTGGGCAGCATTCTCACAACGGGAGGCTTCCTGCACATCCGGCTCAGGGTCTCCCCTGAGAGCACCAGATGATGCACCCCCTGTCCAAACTCCCCTCCCTCCCTCCCTCCCTCCCACGCAGCAGCGAGCTGGATGCTGCAGGAACCGGCCCCTCCCCCCAGGAGATGGTTCCGCTTCCAAGTCGGCTCTCCCCCCACCCCACCCCTGAAGCAGGCTTGCAGCTGGAAGGGCATGCAGGGGAAGGAGAGGTCCAGCCAAGAGAAACACACTGGGGGGGAGGGGAGACCAAGCAATGCATTGGGGTGCCAGAGCCAGTCCAAAACGGAACCCCAGGCGGGGTTTTTTCTGGCGCCCGTGCTCGGAAGGGCCTGACTAGGCAATCCATCAAGCCCCTGCCATTCCCGGTTCTCGGACAGCTTCCCTTCCCAATCGTGGACTTTCGCGTCCCCTTCAGAGACGGGCACTTCGCTGCAGGAGAGAGAGGTTCAAATCTGCACCCTCCAAGTTCTGCCCAGCACGGCCTTCCTCTTTTTGTCTCGCTTTGTCCACCACACAGGAAGCATCACTTGCTTAGCTATGCAAGGCCGAGGGGTTAAAAAAAAAACCTCTTCCATTTTTGCATCACAAGTCACAACACATTCCAGCAAAATGAGGGAGGGGGGGGGAAAGTAAAATCCAGAAGTTAAAAAAAGAAAAAAAAACCTTGAAGGGGAGAAGAGTACAATTCTTCTTGATTTGTCTGTCTCATCTGCGTATCCAAAGCGAGAGCCCTGTCGCCTTCGGGGAGGGACGGAGGAGAGAAGGGGGTGGTGGTGCGAGCCCTGAAGGGTCTGGTCCAGCGGTCCTTACTGCCCAGTCCACCTGATGCGGAGCAGACCCCTCCGGCACCTCTGGTCTGCCAAAGGGGACGGCCTTCCCCGCCCTTCTCTCTCAGCAGCAGCTGCACACCCCCTGCCGCCTTCGCCTGCGAGTAGAGAGTAGAGTAGAACCGGCGTGGTCGTCCTTGCTTCCTGTTCCAGCCTCTCTCGGTCTCTCCAAGCTCCGTCCTCCCATCTTGCCACTGGGCCTGGCCTCCCTTCGCTCGCGGGTGCAAGAAAGCGGGCGGCTTTCTCCTTCAGACCAGTCCAACTCCCCCCCCCCCAACACACACACACATACGTTACAACATTTAGGAAGAACATAATTCTTACAGACTCTCAAGACCCACGGGCGCACTCACTTCAGCAGCCATCAAGGGAGTCTCTGGCCACCTCGAGGGGAAAGGGGGATTGTACAATGCAAGGGGTGACAAAGATGAGGATGAGGATGATGATGGCGGTGACGACGCCCTCCGTTCTTTGGAAGTCTCCTCCGGCACCAAGGCCGTCTTCTGACTTGCATCCAGACAAGGTGCTCAATAAACGTGTAAAATCCGAAGCTGGCAGATAGAGCAAAAAGGGCTGCGTACAGCGATGATGATGATGATGGGAATAATAATATAATAATAATAAGGAAGAAGAAGAAGAAGAAAAGAAGGTAAAAACGAGGAGCGCAAGGAAGATTATCTTCGGCAGCATCTTGTGGCAGCTTCTCCGGCTGAAGTAGAGAATATATATCTATATACAGGCAAGGAAGGAGGCCAAGCGCTGGCCCGGGACGGCCGGCGTGGGCGGCTTCCTTCTCGTGCAGGGAGCCCCCCCGGGAGGGACGGGCTGCCGAGTCTCTCGCTTGCTAGGTGATCAAATCCCAGTTGAAATCGTCAGGGATCTCCTCGGGGGCGCCGGGAGGGGGCCGCGAAACCAAATGATGACCTGAGTAAATTGCACAAGGGGAAAGACAGACTAAGGGGTTTAGTCAGTTGAATTCTTCCGAATTGCCCCTCCCCCTTCGATATGGCACTGGACGGAGCCCTAATTGAAGCAACTCATTTAATCTAAAGAATTAAAATGGCCGAACGTTCGTGAGGACCGAGTGGGCAGGCCGATGTCCAGAGCGCCTGCAGGGAAACGGTGAGGAGCATCTGCCAAGCAGCTCAAGCCGAAGCTGGGAGCCGATTTGGGCATCTCCTTACCTGGGCGATTGTACCCTGGCGAATCCTGGGTGGGAATAGGGTACATCGGAGAGGGGCCCCCCGAGTACAGGTGGGGAGGCGCTGGCTGGCCATACGAGTTTACTGGGGAGAAGAGAGACAGACAGGGAGGGTCAGCTCTGAAAATCCGTACCGTCTCTCCGAGACCCCCTTGGCTCCACAGCGGGGGGGGGGGTTTGCAGTGTTTTATGATGTCTGCTGGCTTCCCCCCCCCCCATGATGAATATCCGATGCGTGGCACGTTTTGTAAATGGAAAGGGTTAGGGTCCCCCAGTCGCTCAGAGCTCTTCCCCCTCTGCCCCCCCAGGACTGGGACAGAAGTTGGGGGCCTCATTTGGGCAGCTGGGGGCAGAGATGTCCAATGGGGCCTCCCCACCATCTATGGGGCTGGCCCCAACCTCAGAGACAGGGGTCACTTTTAAGAGAGGCAGGGGGAGAGCCACGAGGCAAAGAGGGGGCTGGGGGCTGCTGCAGAAGGGCGGCCCTGCTCCCTATCAGTGAGGCTGCCCCAGACGGACAGGATGTACAGAGGGTGGCTGAGAGGTCAAGGAAAAGTTCTTCCTGCTTCTCCCCCCCCCCCAGGACACGGCCCTGCTTGCTGGTCTCGCCCCTCCCTCCCCCAGAACGCCCTGTCCGGTACCTTGGCTCATGGGCTGCTCCTGCTTGTTGCTGTTCATGGCACAGGACTCGGAGATGCGGGGGGGCTGCGGAGGGGGCCCCCCCAGGTGAGGGAGCTGCCCGGTCTGGGTGAGGAAGTGATTCAGGGAGTCACAGAGGTTGGCAATGTGGTGCTGGTCTAAGGACCAGTTCTTCCGCTCGGCCTGGCGGAGGCTCTCCATTAACTCTGCAAGGGGAGGGGGGGAACCGGACATCACTGCTCTGCCCATACCACGGGCCCCGCCCCCTTGCGGAGGAGGACGGGACCCCTCCTCCTCCCTCCCTCACCCACCCCCGGGGGGGGGGGAGGGAGATGCCCTCACCGGAGAACTGGGAGTGTTCGATGCTGGACCAGTTGAGTCGATTGACTGCCTTGAAGCTTTCCTTCAGAGAGTCCATGTTGGAGCACCAGTCGGAGGGAAAAGCTGGGGGGGGGGGGGAGAGACAAAGCCGGCAGAGAAGTGAGCTGCCCCTTCGCCCCCGAGGCCTCCCCTCTCATCCCCCGGGCTCATGGGATGCGCCCCAAGGCACTCCAGGGCGGAGCCTGGCGTGGCCCCTCCCCCCTCAGGGAGCAATTTCGCTTTCCGTCCCGTTAAAATCAACCATCGGGCGAAACGTCTCCCCGGGCGGGAACTCACCGAAGCCGGCGTTATTGAGGGAGGCCTGCGACTGCGGTGGGTGGGCGTGGGGATGATGGTGCTGGTGGTACCCTCCGTGCTGCATGGCGGAAGGGTGCAGAGACATCACGGGAGGGGGGCCGTAGCCGTCCCCCGCCTGCTGCTTGCTGCCCTGGCAGCTCTCCGAGGTCGGAGTGTGGAGGGGGGGCACGGCTCCGACGGAGGGGGGCCCCTGTGGCTGCTGGTACATGTAGTAGCTGTGGTTGGAGGGCTGCATCTCCCCCAGGAGGGAGGAGAAATCTGAAGGGAAGATCAGGAGGGAAATGTTCAGGGGGCACACGGGGGGGCTGGGGGGGGGGAAACGGCCTTCCGGCTCTCACTTGCTGGCCTTTCCCTGCAGAGTCCCAGGGCTGCTTCAGGCCAGCTGCCCGTCCCCACCAGAGGGTCCCCAGGCATCCAGCGGTCCCAGATGGCTCCGAGGAGCCGGTGCCGGGTGCCGCTGGCTCACCTCTTCTGCCCCCTTCCCAGACCCCCCTCCTGGCCCTGCCGCCGCCGTTCACCGTGTTGGGAGGAGGAGGACTTCTCGAGCATGGATTTGTAGAGATTCCGGAAGGACCAGCTCAGGTCCTGGAAGTTGATTTCGGAGTAGGAGAACTTCAAGTCGCTGCTGGTGCTGTAGTGCGGAGGGGGCACCTCGGTCCCGTCACGGCCTTGTCCGCCTGCCACCGTGGCGGCCACCTCCACTGGCCCAGTGCTCTGCTGCAGAGGACAAGCAAGTGGGGGGGGGGTGAAACGAGAGCGCCGCGGGGGGGCACCTGTTCTGGGCTGCTGGATGGGGCCAAGGCTCACCGGCCCCCCTGCCCCCACCCAGCCAGATGTCTTTTGCGCCCCCCCTTTTGCGCCCCCCCCACGCACCTGGCCGTAATTGCCCAGAGGGGGTGTGCTTTGCATCGAGAGCTGCTGGTTGGACTCGGGGGACAGCGACGCCTCTGGGCCCAGAGAGATGGACCCCCGGGGGCTTTTGCTGGCCTCCTGATCCGGGGAATCCTGGGACAGCTGGAAAACCCAAGCAGGCAGTTCAGCCCTGAGCAGGCGGAGAGGCAGCCGCCCGTCCTGTGCCAGGGCCGGGCGCCGGAAGGGCTGGCGCAGTCTCCTGAGGAAGGGGCCTCTGAGAGGAGCCCTCCCCTGGGGGCAAAGGTCCCCTGCGCTGGGGGGGGGAACTCTCTTACAGCTGCAGCCCTGAGGGAGCCTCCAGAGGCCGCTGGCCCATAATGAATATGGTTCGATTAGGGCTGGGAGTTTAAGAAAACGGCCATCAAGGGATCAACTGAACAGGATGGCCAAGCAGTTGCTCAGTCAAAGGAGTCTCTTGTGTTTCTTTCAGCAGGAAGCTGGTTTTGGGGATGCGCCACTGAGCTGTGGATGTACGGGGAAGGAACCGGGGGAGCGCTTTTTTTGGTGCCCCCTGGGGAAAAAGACCTACTCCCTCCCCCCTCCGTGCTCTGCTGGGGAGGCAAGCTCACATCTTCATCCGGCGGATGGCGCCTCTTCCGGGAAATATCGGGGCAGGTGTCAATCGTCCAGTACGAGCCCTGAAAAGACAGGGGGGGGGATGAAACCTCCTTCCCCTCTCTGGCAACAACCAGGCCCCCATCATCCCCAGCGAGTTTCAGTCTTTCTCTTGGGAGGAACAGGCTGGACCGGGAGGGCCGCTGCCGTGGGGGAAAGAGCGTGACCCCCACGGAAAGGGAAGGGGGCCTGCCGGGCGCAGCTCCCGTCCACCTGCCTCTGACTCCCCCCTCCGAAGTCCCCCCTCTGCCCAAAGCTCGGCCCCTTCGGGTCAGTTGAGCTTCTCTTCTCCTGCCCGTCGACCCCCCTTCGCCTCACGGGGGTCCAAAGAAGGCGAGGTGCTTGAAGAACCCCTTCGTGGAGGAAAGCCGGCTCACCTTTCCAGGGTCGTCCCGGGGCCGAGGCACTTTCCGGAAGCATTTGTTCAGCGAAAGGTTGTGCCGGATGGAGTTCTAGGAGGAGAACCGGAGGAACCGCTGCAGCAGTCAAGCAGCTGCTCAGCCCCACCTTCCCACCTGTCCCTCCACACGCCTTGCCCACTGCTGGGGGAAAAGGGGTCAGCCCGGCAGCTTCCCCACCTCCTGCGCCTCAGCCCACCCCGCCACACCCCCCCCTGGCAATCCAAGCCCCCCCAGCCCCGAGAGCTCCTTGGCCTCTCCACGAGGGCTCCCGGCCATCGAGGACTCTGCAACCCTCCCCAGCTCCTGCCCAGGGAAGGCAGCTGCGGCCTGAGGCTCTGGAAACCTTGGGGGGGGGGTCCCGGGGGTCCCCTCGTTCTCTGCACCACCAAGCAGCCGAGAAATTGTGGGTCAAATTTTGTTGGGAGCAGCGGCTGGCCTGGGTGAGACCTGGATGGGAGACCCCGATAAAAACACTGTTTCCAAAAGGACTCGGGGAAGTACAGTTGTGTTATTTATCTGTCTTATTCTGTACTGTAATCATCTCAAATCAGCACAGAAACGCTCGACAGAGAAACGAACGAACGAATGTCGCTTGTTGACAGATTCCCGCCCTGCTGGCTTCTTCAGCCCAGCCCAGGCAGTCCAGGAAGAGGGACCGAGAAGACCCCCAGCGGCCTCCAGGCAGCTCCACTCTGAAAAGAAGCAGGACTTTCCCCACAATCTCCTGCCTGGCCAGTCAAGTTCTGGAGCCCTTTTTACGAGAGTCCCAGCCTGACCCTCAGCTTCTCCTATCTCCCGTCCCCAATCAATCTGTCCTCTGAAAATATTTCCGGATCCAGACTTGCTTAATCCTCAGAATATGGTGGCTGCCTGCCAGAAAACCAGGCTCCAGTAGGTACTATTGCTCAGACAAGATAGGCTAGCAGTGGAAAAGCTTTACTCGAGCAACAGCAAAATCTTGATAAAGAAACACGAGGACACACAGAGACAAAGGAATTCCACAACTTCCTCTAGAAGTAGGGTAGGAAACTTTGCTGGCCTTTTCAGGACTAAAACAGCATGTGTGGCATTTTCCCACATAAACAAGTACCCCCACCTCTGCCTCTGCTATGGCCGATCTCATATTTTGGGTTTGGCCTATGTGGCAAACCTACCCCAAAGCCTGGGCTCCCCCAGGGCAGAAAACTTCGGCTCTCTGAGCAAAGACGTCGGCCTCCGGAATCGGCCCCGAGCCTTTGGGGCAGTGATGGCGAACCTTTTAGGGACTGAGGGCCCAACTGCATCCCAAAACCCACTTATGTATTGTCGGGTGCCGGGTGGATGTGGCCCATTAGGTGGACGTGGCTGCGGTGGTAACGGCAGACTGGGTGGAACTAAAAAAGTTCAATCAATCAATTCCAACTTTGCAAGATCTTTTTTTTCCCGTGAAAAGTTGAAATTGATTGATTGATTGAACCTTTTTTTTTTTGCACACGGCGGTGGAGGCCTAAAGCAAAAAGGTTTTATAAAACCCAGCTGAAGGCCTAGGACTGGGGCAATGGCGTGCGTGCCCACAGAGAGGGCTCTGTGTGCCACCTGTGGCACGTGTGTCATAGGTTCGCCATCACGGCTCTGTGTCCCGCCTCTTTTACCCCGGGGTCCCCAACGGGAGAGACAAGAGGGCGTTGTACCTCCCATTGCCCCTCTGTTGTTTCAGCTAGTTTTAACACCGTGTGCTATTTTTCTTATAAGTTTGCTTGATCTTTTTTTTCCCCCTGCAACCCAGAGTCCGTCACACTGCAGCCACACAAATGTGCTAAATCAATAACTACATGTATAAAAAAAAGGGCTTCCCATCCGCCTCATGCGCACAGCCTTCTGGCTTTGGCTCACATTGAGCCCTCCCTGCACTGGGGGCGGCCCACAGCAATGAGGACTAGCTTCTTAAAAGCAACAAGGGAGCCCCAGGCCCGGGTGTGCTCACCTTCCAGCCGATGCCCGCGTTCTTGTAGTAGGGGAAGTTGTCGCAGATCCAGCGGTAGATTTCGCTGAGGGTCATCTTCTTGGCGGGCGAGGAGTTGATGGCGTAGGTGATCAGGGTGGCGTAGCTGTAGCGAGGCTTCCCATCCTGGTGGACGGCAGCCTCATCCTTGCTCAAGGTGGCGTTGGGGTCCGTCGGAGAGCCAGGCGGACACTTCCGGCCAGCTCCCGGGGCGCCTGACTGGGAAGCCCCCCCTAATTTCTCAATGGTGGCCCGAAGAGTAAGCTGCGGTAGCCAGTCGATGGAGGTGAGGCTGCTTTCCAGGTCGGAAGCCATGACCCCGGAGGGCGAGACCTGTGGCCGAGGCAGAGCACAGACAGGAGGGGTGAGCGGGACGGGGCTCCCACAGAGGCCCAAGGCCCAACTAGGTAACATCATCAGGGCTAGTGGTGGGGATGATGATCAGCACTGATGATGTTGTTAGCTAGTTTGGGTAATGAAATGTCTGAAAGAAAACAAGCCAGCTCAGAAAGCACCAAGGACCCCTCAATATGACTTATTTAGATCATGTATGGAATCTTCTATTAATTTATTAGAATAATATATTTTTAACAATACTGAGACAGGAGCTAGATCATAAAATCTGTAGAGTTTTTGGAACATTTGTAAATTTGTAAGGGATGGATCCAACTGTGGACCAGTGCAGGCCTCCCGGCTCTCACAAGGGTTACAATTATTTGCTGATCTGTTTAGTATCTTTGATACAAAGAAGCTTAATGAGCTTCTATCTGTGCAGCCCATTGACTCAAAAGGAGTCTAGAAATTAAGAGTTTTCCTGCAAGGAACCACCAGCAGCAAACATTCTCTGAGGTTTAGTAGGCATCTCCCAAACTTTCATTCTATGTTTTTTTAGAAATTATATTAAGGGCAACATGTCATAATAATACTTTTATTCTTTTAACCACTGGCCATGCCATGCTTCGTTTCTCAGCCTTTTAGATAAGATCAAGGGTATAAAAAGGGGTAATAAATTCAATTATTTGCCTTTTGCCCACTTGATCAGAAATTTGAGGACAAAAACAAGGTGGGAAAAGGAAAGTAACCATATAAACTGCTACCCGAGACTGAATTGATTTTTCTAGAACAATAACCACTCTTCAGTTTCACACTCAAAACCTCTGAATGCGCTTCACTCACAAAGAGGTGGGGAAAGCACAGCTTCAGGTGTGTATCTCCTTTCAGTCTGCTCGGAAGGCAGAACCCGGCTAAGGCACACTCTTGGCTTAAGTGGCCCTGAATTATGCGTTCTCTCGTATGGGTAAACTACTAACCCTTATAGATTTTTCAACACAGCCTTAATTCAAAGACAATTAGCCACCCACGAAAAGAATGAACTCAAGTCAATTATGACTAAGCTTAGAATATCCTTCAAACCGATTTGAACAAATGCAGTTCAGTGACAAGGAAAGTGGAGTTCTGCCCTTAGATAGGAAGACCCCGATGGACAGAGAAGGAGACAGACCAGCGTTTCTCAACCTTAGCCACTTCAAGATGTGTGAACTTCAACTCCCAGAATTCCCTGAGTTGAAGTCCACACTTCTTCAAGTGGTCAAGGTAGAGAAACACTGAGAGAGACAATGCAGGGGTCATACTTGTGAGGAGAGTCTGGGCGCCAGAGCCAGCAACGTCCTGCAGCGACAAAAAGAGCAAACGCAGTCCTGAGCTACATCAATGGAGAGGGATAGCGTTCCACTCTACGTCACACCGATCACAGCATCCCAGCTCTGGTCGTCCCAAAGCAAGGAGGATGCTAAAGAACTGGAAGGAGCGAGGGAAGCGTCACAAGGATTGTGCGGGGCTTCGTAGGCTGAGTCCCACTTGGAATGGTTAAAAGAGCAATTATGTTTAGCTTAAGGAAGAGAAAGCGGAGAGGAGACGTGACAACCTTCCAAGGCCTGAAGGGGTGTCACAGTGCAGAGGGTGGGACAAGAACCAAAGAATGGAAGCCTTGCAGAGGGAGAATCCAACTTAAAATAAGGAGGAAAATCTAGGCGGTGGGTCAGCCTGTTGCCCGGAACTGCTGGGCTGCTTCCACCACTGGAGGTTTCCAATCAAAGGCGGACCCCCCTCGTTCGTCTCACGTGGCCTGCAGTTTCCTTCCCTGGGCAGGGGTCTGGCCTGGGAGACCTCCACAGTCTCTTCCACCCTTCAAGTTCCACCACCCTTTTTCTGCCCCTGGGCTCAGGCAGGCAGGGAGCCTTCCTCCAGCTGTGGGAGGACCATACAAGCAGCCTTCTTCGTCAGATGCTCTGGGGCCTCCCTGGACTAGAAGCAACGCCACCCACCGTGTGAAGACCCCTTCGGAGTCTGCTGCAGGAGAGAGCAGCCCGGCTATTATTATGAAACATGCTGCCCTTTCTATTCTTAGTGACTGAACTATTTACTTCAGTATTAGCTTTCCAGGTCTGAAGCACCAGGAGATGACCAGGCTAACCCTTTCAAGATCAGTTATTCCATTTTCAGCACTCCTTGTGGGCACTTGCTAAGTCTACAAGACAAGGAGTAAACATAAAACAAAACCAGACTTCCAGTGCTTGAAAACAGAATGGATAAACTCTTGGGAGGAAAAGGGACAGAAAAAAGCCATGCCCATCAAAAAGTGAACAGAATCAGAAAGACAGTTCCAGCTCCGGGAGGGGGGGGGGGCACCAAGGACCTTTGGATAAAAACGAACTAAATGAAACTAAATAAATATAAAAGAAAATAAACATGAATATCAGGAAAGGAAGCACAAGAGATTAACATAAAGCATTTGATTCATGCGATAAGCAGGTAACAAGCCACTAAATTCGGGTGGGAGGAGAATCTCCTGGCACCACGTTTGAGATACTAAAAGAGAACTAGACTTCCTTGTTTGGGGAACCTTGAGAGTTGGAACGCACAATTCAATCTGGGGAAACCCACAAGGACACAATTGTCTGGGCCTACCACGAAGGACATATATTTTGAAAAATAATGGCTGTTTTGGTCAGATTTATCTATAAAATATTTAAAAATTACTTCAGTGACCAAGATATTAAAATAAGGAGCCTAACATATTCTATATAGCAAGACTGTGAATAACCCCTCTCTTCTGCGGGGTGGGCGGTTTTCTCGTTGAAAGCAAACAAAACAAAAACTCTAAGCCGATGCAAGAGACGGGCAACTTGCTAGCTAAACTACATTTCCCAGAAGCCCTTGCCCATTGCCAGAAGGCTGATGGGAAGCACCTGAAGTCACCATATTGCCGTCCTGGTTCAAAAAAATTAACATCAGGGACGTTGTTTTCTCATTTTTTAAATATACATTAATATAAATTGTCTTATACTAGGATAGCTTGCTTTAATTATTCTTTTGCTGTTTTTATGTTTATAAGCTTTACTCTGCCCAGATACCTTTGATTCTGGAGTGGATAATAACGAGAACAACAACATTCAAGCCTGAATATAATTCTTTACCTTTTATCACTAAAAAGAAGAATGCAACATAAGCTGATTCATAATATCTGATTTCAAAACAGGACAGCTGCAAAATTTAATGGTAAGATACCTAAACCGCAACAATGAAGTTTAAAACTTGTTCATGTTTTAATTATTTAGTCTGAAATCTAACCTAGCAGTTTAAATATGGATTCCTGCTGAGAAAAACTATGTTACAAAACAGCCCTGAGCTTTGTGAATGCTTTCTGCAATCGTGTCTACAAGGGTCATGAAATTTGCAATGAAAACTCGGCCATTACGGACAAGAGGACGGCCCCTTGAAAGGCCTGTGAATCCACAGCCAGTTCACAATGCAGGAGGCCATCTGCCGATGGACGGTCCCGTCACATCAATCGGTCCAGGTATCAAAGCTCTTAAGAGGGGGACCTGGTGCCTCTGGGCATTTCCTGCCATCGCTGGAGGTGGGCGGGCTCCTCCTCCTCCTGCCACAGCCACAGGGCCTCTCCAGAGCCATTCCTCTTCTTTCATTACACTCATTAAAAAGCTCATTTAAGAGACAGGCCGTGTAAAGTCTTCTACATGCAAACTTTGTGTCATTTTGAAAACAGTCAGCATGTTTTTGACTATCTGGATATAAACCGTGCAAATGCCACGAGGCCCCAAGCCGAAAGGGCACCCCAGACCAGAAGCTGCAGCTGTTAAGTTCTGGAATGGGAACCTCAACCTGTCAGGAAGGGGCGGAATTCTTGGCACGTGGGAGCAAGGAATGAGCGGCTGGGGAATGGCGCTCTGCACATGCCCCGTGCCCTGTCGTTCACCACAAAATGGGACGTTGTTATCCACTCTTCTTAGCAGAAGGCATGTGATTTTAAAGTACCTATCCATTTAATGAAACGAGTTAAAAAATCCAGCACAATGCATCCAGCAGAAAATTTATTTGTAAAGCCCCCAAACAATTGCCCGTTTGCCTTTTGGATTCTAGGGAAGTGAACTGGCCCCTCTGTTGTGGATAAAAAGATAAATATTTCCTTGAACTGAAATGAAATCCGAAAAGAAATATGCTCATTTTTAAAAATCCAACATAATCTTTTACGATCTTTTTTGTTCTTGTTAAAGCAACTTCTTCCATTGCTGTAATTTAATCATAAGCCATTTGGCAAGGATCCTAACTAGACTGCGTGCATAGAACTTGCGTCTCAATAAATATGCAAAGAATTGTACGGTTAAGACAGAAAACTCTGAGTAATTAGTCCTAAGAGCTAAGGGAGATCAGTTTAGAGACTAAACATCGAACTACTAAACAAAAGCAATTGTGAAGAAGTACATTCTGTTGCATTCACACATTGTACTAAGCCATGATATGGTTGCCTGCTTTCGGCTTCAGGTGATACAAGAACATAATCCGTGAATAATATACATAGCTAGCCTGAATACATGGCGTGTTGTGTTGCCTACTGTAACCAACATGTACACTGAGGTGTGAATAGAGACTGATGGAGAGCTCCATGGCGCTAATGCAGAGAGGGGTCAATTTAGTGGTTTGGGGTTTTTTTTGGGCTTAGTGCTGGCTCTCCAACTTTTGGGGCTGGTGGGCACCGTAGGGATCCTGCAGAGCACAAGGCAGGGCAGGAAAAACTGTGCCAAACTGACTGAAACTGATGGTGGCCAATGGTGGGGACAATTTGCAACGCAATGAAAGCTGCAGCTTCTGTCCATTCCTATTTCAGCTTTTGCCAACAGGTCATTTCGAAAAGGAAAGCAATTATTAAGCATGATAGAAAATATAACTATTAATATGTATGACCCTGTCTTAATTAATACAGGGTTTCTCTTCTGCCACTGTTTTTTCAACTCCCAATGCCAGAATTGTTATGAATGCTGTATGAATTATGTGTCACGGTTTTGCAAGCACAGATAATAGGAATCAAACAGTTCAGCTCAGAATCCAGCTCCTGGCCTTACTGGCGGACTCCAGCAACTAAATTAATTTACCTCTGGGGTGGGAAGAAGGTGGTGACCTGAATATACCCAGCCAAAAGCAAAATACACTCCCACCCACTCGTAATGGACTTTCTGGGGTCAATCGGTCCTTCCCCACTTTTATTTCCATTAAGAAAGGCAAAAGGCTGACCCCTGGCCCGGAGGAGGTCAAGTCATTCAATGGTTTTTCATAAGTTTGCAGGGACAAGCGTTTTCTAGCTCTACCCAGAGAAATGTCTAGAAAAGGCGTAGGCAGAAGGGAGACTGAGATGTGCTGATAAATCTTTGGGGATCACAGAAGCCAATGGGTTCATTATGTAACAGCAGCAACAACAGTTTCCACCATAGGCAGCTGCAGTGGGAGAAAGTTGGGAAACCAGGAAGGCAGCCCCAGAAGCCAGCTGGGCTCCTGAAAGAAACTCCCGCTGCTGTTAAGGGTGGCCAGTCAAATCCAAAAAATCACATTATGTTGTAGCATCCTCTGCCTGCCTGTTCAGACGACCAGCGTCCCTAAGCCCCAACTCTGGACATAACTCCACTTGCAGGGGGGGGGAATAGCTCATTATGAACAACCTCAAGGGGGGGCTCGCTACGTCCCCAGCGGGCCCCCCTCCCCAACCCGTCTCCGGGCAGCCCCCGCCCTCCCCGGTCGCCCCCTCCCCTCCGGGCCCGCCGCCCCCGCCATCCGGCCGCCGCCTCGGGCTCCCGCGCGGCCCACGCCCGCCTCCCCGCCCAGGCCTCCTCAAGGGCATCGGGGCCGGGCCGGGGCGCCAACGGCTCCGGCGGGAGAGGCCGCGGCGGCGCCCAGCAACCCGCCCTCCCGCCCCGCTCGCTCACCGGCCGCTCCTCAGGGGGACGCCGCCTCCCTCGCCTTCGCCTCCTTCGCCGCCCCGCGCCCCGGCCTCCTGCTCGGCCCGGCCCTCAGCGCCCGCCGCTCCCGCATCTCCGGCGGAGCGGGCGCCGGGCCTGGCCTGGCCGGACCAGGAAGGGCGCGGCGGAGGCCTCCTCGCGAGGGCCGCTGCGGACGCCGCCGGCAGGAAAGGCCGGCCCGGCCCCGGAGCCTCGCAGCGCCCGGCCCGACCCTCCCGCGCAGCAGGCCCGGCCTCCTCCTCCGCCGCCGCCGCCGCCGCCTCCTCGTCCTCGTCCTCCGCCGCCGCCTCCGCCTCGGCTCGGGCTCGGGCTCGGTGCGCGCTGGGCCGCGGCTCCACTGCAGGCCCCGGCTCCTCCCCGGCGCTGCTCCGCCTCCCCGCGGGCCGCGTCACCCGCCGCCCTCCCCGCCTTAAGGAGGCTCCCTCGGCGGCAGCGGCGGCGGCATCTCGGCGGCCGGGCTCGCTCCCGCCGGAGGGGCCGCAGCTTCTGCGGGGTCCCTCGGAGGGGGGAGAGGAGGAGACCCCCCCACACCCGGGGGGGAGGAGGGAGGGAGCGCGCGGCCCCCGGAGGGCTGCGGGGCACCGGGCGGCAGGTCGGAGCCCCCCGCGCATCGCCCCCCGCTCACCCCCCGGGGGCGCCTGCTGCGGCGGGGGGGGCGGGGGAGGGTCGCGGTCCCGCCCGCAGGTGGAGAGAGAGAGCGCCCCCCCGGCGTCGCCCGCTCGAGGGCGGGGGAGGCCGAGGCATCCAGGCGTCCGCCGGGGGTCCTGCCTCCCCCCCGGCGCTCACCGGCTCATGCCCGCCCGGGGGGGCGCGCGTCCAGCAGCAGCCGGGAGGCATCGGCGCCCAGGAGGCGAGCGGCGGGTGAGCCTGCCGGCGCCCCGACCCTCCCGCCGGTTGGGGAGTTTACGGCCGCCTCGCCCGCCGGCCGCCGCCCCCTTCCTCTTTGGCCCTCCCGGCGGGGGTCGCCCGTGCCCGGGGCGCGCGGAGTGCCGCCGTTGCCGAGGGGCGCCGCCTCCCGCAGCGCCGGGGCGGGGGTCGCTCGGCCCGGCCGCTCCGCTGAAGACGCCGAGGCCACCTTAAGCGCCGTCGACGCCGTCCGGGAGCCGCGCGCGGGCGCCCCTCCCAGCCCCGTGTGGCGGGCAGTCCCGGTACGTGGGCCGCGGCCGCCTCCCTGCCCCGACGCCCCTTCCGGGCAACCTCGGGCGGTGGCCACGGCCGGGCGGTGGCGGGGACCCTCCGGGGCGCGGACGGAGAGGGCGGGCGGCGCTCGGCGCGGGGGGAGCAGCCTATCTGTGGGCGGCCGGGTGGGGAAGTCCGCTTTCGGGAGTGGACCGGGGGCTTTTAGGTGCGCTAGCCTCGGCGGGGAAGGGATGCTCGGCTTCAGTTGCTCCCGCGCTTGAAGGAGCTTTAAGTGCTGCTTCTGCCTCTTCCAGTCCCACTCAAAGCCCTTCGCGAAAAAATCCGGTGTGTCTATTGACGCAATTAGACTTCGCGACCACATCGCGCAGAGATGCCCAGTGGCGTTGCGGGAGGAGGGCTTTGAGGCGGTCTGCCCCTGACTCCCTCGAAGGGATCCCCCCGGAATTGTAAATCTGACATCAGAAAGTCCCCCCGGGTGGGTAGTTTCCGTTGTGGGGTACAGCCTCTGTACGGGGGGGGGGCGGGAGTAGACTTAGGCAGGAGGGGAGCCCAGCGTTCAGGGGCTGAGGTCCCGGGGGAGGGGTCGGGAGTTACGAGGCGTGAACCCCTCTCAACTCAGGGGAGATGGAGGTGGGGAGAGCGAGATGGGGGAGGTGGGGGAGACGGGGCTGGGGGCAGCTGCATGTGGCAGGTGTTGTTCAAGACAGAGAGATCGCCCTCCCCCGAAAACCCTACACCTCCTTGAAGAAGGCTCAGACCACCACGATCCGCAAACGCCAAACATTTCCCACAATCGATCCCCAAAACTAGCCCGACTGGGCGGGAAACCCTCCCCACCGGCAACGCTGCGGGCCCCCGCGGCAGCCGCCGGACCCGACCCGGGTCGCCAGCCGAGCCGCGCTCGCTCTTCCTCCAGCCCCAGGCAAAGCCCGCCCCTCCTCCTCCTCGGCCGTTCCTTCTGTTTGAAGGAAGAGTCGCGGAGCGCCGCTAGAACGCCTACAAGCCCCTCCGCCGCAAACCCAACCCTTGGCTGGGCCGCCCCGGACGGAGGAGGCGGGCAGGCTCCCTGCGCCAGTTGGGTTCGCGCTGGACACTGAGGCTGCCGCGCGCCCCGTCGCCAGCAGGGGGCGCCCGAGCCACTCCGGGCCCTCTAAGCCTGGCGGGGCGATTGGGGGGAGGGCGCTCGGCTCTGGGAGCCTTCCTGCTCCGGCCGCCCCTGGCCAGCAGAGGAAGCCTCGGGCCCCGATCCTGGTCGGGCTCCCTTTGCAGGAGAGAAGCTCCGGCTCCAGCCGCCGCGGCCACCCTGGGCGGAGGAGGCAGCTCTCCCACTTCCCAATGGCGCCCCCGCCCAGCCCCGCGAAAGCCCCGCGCCGGGTCCAGACCGAGCCGCCTTTTGCGCTTCGGCCGGGCGGAACCGGAGCCCCAACGGGCGGCGCCCCCCCCCCCGCGTCCCCCGGCCAGGCAGACGCCCCCCGCCCCTCCCTCCGGGCGGGCAAGGCGGGGAGCAGCGGCCTCGCTTCCCAGCAGGGCTGGCCGCGCTTGCTGCCCCTTCGGAGGCCGGGCCCGGAGGGGGGCGACGGGCTTTCTCCGGCCTGTCCGGGGTCCCTCCTTCGGCTGGGCGGTGCGCCTGCGGGTCTCCTGCTCCCGGATTCCGGAGCCGGCCTCATCCGGGTTGGTTTAGAAGCGGCCCGCCTTCCTCCGTGTCTGCCTCTTTCCAAGCCTTATCTTTGACTTTGAGGCCATTCCGATAAAAAGCCGCGGCGGAAAACTGACCCGGAGTAACACGGCCCACCTTCCACGGCCTGCCGACAGCCTCCCCTGGAGGTCAGCCGGGCCCCCTTTGGTCTGGGAGAGCCAGCTGCGTCGCGCTGCTTTGTCCCCGGTTTCCCTATATTATTGCAGCCCTTGGCCTTGTTTTATTTTTTTACCGCTGGTTATCTTTTAGATTACATTTTTCTGTGTCGCCTGCTGAGGCTTGTTTGATAGGTTCGGCCGATGAATTAATCAGATAAACCCTTTGGCAGAAAACATTTTTTCTCCCTTTAATGGATAAAAGAGTTGAAAGGGAAGGAAAATCTCTGCCTAAGTGAGGTGAAGACCCTCCGCCCTGCTCAGAGGGAAGGAGACCACCTGGCCGTGGGAGGTCTGGAAGTGCAGCCCTCCCTGGAAGAGCCCAGCTCCTTCCAGCCGATGTCCTTCCACCCCCAGGAGACGATGACCTTCGGTGAGGTCTTTGTTTTCTTAAATAGCACCACAAACTGTTGGGGTGTGTGTGGAGTAACAAGGAAGCAAACACAGCATGTTTGCACACTCTGGTTCAGGGGACCTTTTAAGGCAGCGCTGGCCTCCCTCCGCGGTTCCCACCGCTGTTTTGTGGCTGCCCTTCTGGAAGAGGTCCGGTCAGATCCTCCCAGATGCCGGATGCGACAGAAGCATCGTTTTCCCACCAAAGTTAAACAGTTGTGGTGGATTAAGAAGACAAACTACGGCTGAGAAGGAAGCCTGCTCTCATGTTTACATCTTCTCACCTTGCACTTTGAGCCCCAAATGCCTGTGGATGGGGCTAAGTGCCTAGTCCTTAGTGAGGTTTTACTCTTGTTGTAGAAAAGATTTGCTTTGTTGGAAAAAATATTTCAGGAAACAAAGAAACTCTGCAAATATCAATTCTGAATATCAATAGTTTCTGTGTAAATAAATAGAAAAGAGGAACTTTTTAAAAGGCAGTCTCCGTTTGTCACCAGGCAACTGGCTGCCAAAATTGTAGATGTTTAAAAAGAAAAAACAGTCTTTCCAGCTAGACTCGTGAGCATCTTCAGAGGTAGAAGTCAGTTTTGTTTAAGCAAGCAGCAGACAGGAGCTGCCAGAAAGCCACCTGAAGGAGCAGAAGCACCTCGGCTCTGCCGATAACGAGGCCCGGGGACCAAGCGGGCTGGGGCTGCCCTTCCTGGCAGCAGCTTCACTTCAGATCCTCATGAACGTTTCTGGATCAAGAGATCAAAGTTCAGAAAAAATACTGAACTAAAAAAAATAACTTAAAAAAAGAAAAGAAAATAGGAAGCAGCCGCCATTTGCTGACTGGCATGGTCCCAGCCCTGGGTGGGCCTGCAGGCCCCAATTCACCCGAGGACCACGTCGCTGTGTAAGACGCCAGCAAAGGTGGCCGTGCCATGAAGGCAGCTTGGATGGAGCCGGGAGATCCCCGGTGCAGTTAGGAATGGGGGCACACTACGACCCACTGAGCAATCCTTTGGTTTAAAGAACACTCAAGCACACAAAACAGTGTTCCATTTTTCTTAACAAACCAGAATACCAGTTGCTCACGTGCTCCTTCTTAATGGGGGGGGGGGCGGGAGGGAGAGAAATCTTCCAAGAACCAGATCAGTTTCCAGGTACTGTAGCTGGACAATTTCTAAAGGTAAAGGTTCACACACCATCTGATAAAAGCTAGTCTCCTTTGAGCTGACTGCAGACAATTTAAACAATTTATAATGAAGAAAAACCCATGTTCCAGAGGGGTCCAGGACAACTAGCCAAGGGGCAACTGGCTGCAGGACAATTCAACCCTGTATTAATCATTTCACTGTTATTTTTGTTATTGGTGACCATGTTTTCATTGAAATTATTGTAACTCTTGTATTTCTGGATTGGCTTTATTCCCATCGGCCACGGTTCCATTGAAATTACTTTAACTTTTGTACTTGTGAGGAGCTGTCTCTTCTGTTCCCACGGAGTGCAGCCCAAGCTGTAGCCCGAGCTGCCCAGGGCCTCCCTTAGTGCGGGCAGGTCCCAGATAGAAAATGTTCCAGGAAGTGAGAGAGAGGTCACCTCCAAGGAAATCTAAGGGTCAACTTCAAACTGGGCCAGGCATCGTGCCTCAGGCAGGGCCCAGCCTGGGGGGGGGGGGATGGAGATGGCTCTCCAGCTGGGAGAGGAGCTTCCCCAGGGCTCCTGCAGGTAGGCCCCCCCTCCCCAAGTGTGTGTGGGGGGGCACAGCCTTTGCATGCTAATTGAAAGAGAGAAGCAAGGCTCTTCCCCCAGGCCTTTTTCATCCAGTTTTTCCTGACTTCAGCCTCTCCCTGCCTCTGGGCCCTCTGACCTTTACCACCTGCCCCAGGCAGCCTTCCTGCCCTGATCCTACCCAGGTGATCTCTGCCCCGCTAGGCGCTCCCAGGCTGGGACCCTCCGTGGAAGGCCTGCTGCTTCCCAAGAACTCCCTCAAGGAGCCAGAGCACCCCGTTTCTAGCATCAGCCCCAGAAGTACCCAGGCCCCAGAAGGGGCCACCCCGTGCAGTTTCTGGCAATGGGGCCTGTGGCCTTGTGGGGTGGGCGGCTGCTTCAGTGGCCACGATGGGTCAGATCCACCAGTCTTCCCTTCAGGACAAGTGGGCCTTCTGGGCTGTGGGCTCCGTCGGTGTGCCGCTGAGCCCAGCAGGATGGGCCATTGGAAGGAAAAAGCTGTTGCCCAGTTGCTCCATCTGGCTGGATGTTTGCCCAGCTCTGCACTAGCCAAGCTGGCCATTCTCTCTTCCACAAGGATGGAAAAGGCCTCAGCAGTGTTTTTCTGAATCTACTTCTCTCTGCTGCCCTCTCCATGACCCACATCCCCATCCACACCTGTGCCCCTCATCCAGAGAGGGAAGATGCTCTAGTCTAGGAGGGTGTGGCTGAAGAAAACCAGATGTTCAGCTCCCCTGGTCCAAAAAGAGCAATCAGGGTGCGGCAGTCCGGATGTTGAGGGAGAGGAGGAGGAAGATAAAACTTGTGGCTTTGAGGCCACAAGATTTCTGCAGTTCTGCAGAATTGCAGCTCCTGCTAAAGTCCTCCTGTCATCTTGCAACGGGAGGGGGGAGGGGCTGCACCTTCCCCTGTTAAGAGCTCCCTCAGCCTCCGTTACTCTTGAATGCCTCTTCCTCCTCCTCTTCCGATGCCCCCTCCCAGATCGTTATTCCGTTAAAGACACCGGTTCCTCTCTGTCACCTTCCGGTTCCTTTTTTTCTTTTCTTTTGCATGCTGAGGTCATGCTGGATTTGCAATGAGTTGTTGCAATAAAAGGTTTTGAAAATGCAGCTCTTCTGTGGCTTAAATGCTTTCTCAACCATTTGCTAGCAATTTGTAACATTTATCTCCGAGGTTGCAAATTACTCCCTCTAGATTCCGCTTTCTCTCTCTGAGATGAAATGTTATCTTTGTGGCTAACTTCATTGTCTTAATAGTTTACAAGCCTTGATACTTTGTGGCAGGGGCTGAATTGTTTTGCTCTGGTGTTTTTGGAACTTGATAGTTCCCACCATCACAGCCACCACCATCAGACACATCCGGGCGAAAAATGTTCACGCCGCCTGGACTAAAAAACCCCCCACCCACCTTCCTGCTGAGACGTTTCTCAACCTGCATCTCTTTAAGAGGGGCGGATTGCAGCTCCCAGAATTCCCCAGCCAGCATCCCAAGCGCAAAGCCTCGGCAGGGAAGGCCCGCGGGGGAGGCGGCTGGCAGGCGCTCAGGGTATCCCCGGAGCGGAGGGGTCTGGACGGCCGAGTCCCCCTGGCCCCGCGGACCCTCTCGCTCTCCGGCGGGTCTCGGAGCGGTTTCCCTCGCAGACCCCGGGCGGCTCCAGCCCTTCGCCCGGGGGTGGCCGTTGCCGTATCCTCCCGCCTGCCTCCTGGACTGGCCAGGGCAGCTGGGTCCAGGCGCCGGCTCCTCTCCCCCTCCTCCTCCTCCTCCCGGTTTCCCACTGGCCACAGCAGTCCTTCGGGAAGCTCCGGGCAGGAGGGCCAGGCCGAGAGGACCCCCCCCCCTCTTCCCCAGTTTCTTGGAAGGTAGGAAGCGGGGACCTCCTCGCGGGCGCCCTTCCCCGGGGAGCTGGGTCCTTCTGCAGGGCCGGAAGCGAAGACTTCCCCGGAGCCGTCGGAGGAGCATCCCTCCCCTTTGCTTCAACCGGAGGGCTCCTGGGCATGTGCAGAAGCTCGGCCGCTTCGCAACGAACATTCCTAGGATCTGCCTTCCTGCTCCTTGGTGAACAGCGAAGGGCGCGTCACAAATTCCTGCCGGTGCAGCACAGGAAGGGCCGGTGGGGCCACTCGGGGAAGGCTGCGTCGCAGCCGCGTTGTCCGTCGCTTAGCTCTGCGCCCGGCTTTTCGCCTTCCCGCCCTGCCCAGGACGACCAGGCAGCCGGGAAGGGAGCCTGGCCGCCGCCGGGCCCCGAGGGCCTTTCCCTCGCCCTTTCCCCGAAGCTGAGCTCTGCCGGCCTCGCAGACGGGCGGGGGGGGGGCTCCATCCCATCATTCCAACCATCATTTTGACTTTTTTGACCATATCCCTCAGACCTCCCCCCCCCCAGGAAGAGTATCTTAAGAGCTGTCGCTTCATCTGTTGACCGTCTAAAATTGGAATGACCTTAGAAGATTCTTTGTTACTGAAAGGTTTGTCCAGCAAGGTCTATTTCTTGACTTCCCCCAAGGAAGACGAACCCCCCCCCCGTGGCTGAACTTTGAACGTGCTCGTTCCAAATGAGAACTTCAAAAAACCAGGTTAAGAACGTAGTGTGACCCCGCCCTTTCCTGCACACCCCGGCTCTGGCTTCCTGGGGGCTTCTCACCATCTCCCCCACTTCCTCCTGTGGCTTCCTGCCATCTCTCAGGCCTCCTGGCGGGCCCTTTGGGTAGCCCACCCCGGCCTAGCTTCCCTGCCTTGGCCCTTTGGGAGCCCGGCTCCCCGTCCCGGCAGGAAACGAGGCTGGAGCTGGCGGAGCAGGGGGGGATGGGAGTCTCAGGGGGGGGTTCTGCATTTCCCGTCTTTGGTGGGCTCCTCCCCTGGGGAAGAAGAGCAATAGGAAGGAGACCCCCCAGCTGTAAAATGGTTCGCTTCCCCCATGTAACTTTCATTCGGCTTATCATCAATCATTTTAAGTGAGTTGTTGCAAAGGGAATTCAGATTGCCCAAAATTGAGAAAAGGCAGCATGTTCAAATGGACATCAGTCGAATTTGCAATTTGGTCCTAAGGCTTTTGCAACATCGAAATCTTGTGAATTATCAGTACAATGAAACCTTTATTTTAGGAGAGGGAAGAAACGGCAGTTTTTTCCCAAGAAGGTCCGTTGAATCAGGGGGCTGGATCTTCACCAGAACGCTAAGAAACGACTAGAAGGCAGGACGAGATGGATCTGTCTGAGATTCTGGGCAAAAGGAATCTTTCAATCGGGGAGCCTCATCGGAACATCTCATTCTACACCGCACACACAGCAGAGCTGTTCTCCAAAGAGGAGCCAGACAAGGTCCGAGACAGCCCTGCTGGCTTTAGGCCTAGAATAAAACCCTGGCAGACGTTCAGCAGAACCTTTGGGACGGAGCTCAACTTCCTCCTCCCTTGGAGAGTCCTCCCTTAGTTCTGTCAAACTCTGCCTGCCCCCCAGGGAGGGCTCTTCCCAAGCTCCCGGGGAGCCTCGAGGCCTTTGGGGGACGCTGCCCGGACAGGTGCCGGCCTAACGCCGGGACTCTTCTCGCATCCCACCCGGCGCCCAGGAGCGGCGGCTTTCCACGGCTCCGCGGCTCCTCTTTTGGGATGCCAGGCCTCGGTTGCCATGGCAACAGACCAAGGCCGGGCTGCGGACGGCGAGGATGCGGCATCGCATCTTTCCGCTCGGAGGCGGCGATTGCGAGAGGGAGGGGGGAGGGGGGGCAGCTGGCGAGGCGGCACGTCCCGCTCGTAAGCGGCCAGTCCCAGAGCCCAGGCAGCCCGCCGGCCCCGGGCGTTTCCCTCGGCAGCCGCCGCCGCTCGGGGGCTCGGCTTCCCGGGAGGGAGAAGCCCCGCCGGTCCCCAGGCAGGAACGGACCGGCGAGGAAAGCCCCGAAATCCCGAGGAAGCCTCGGCCCGGCCGGGCAGCAGCTCCTCCCGGGCCGGCCCCGCTCGGCTCCCCTCCTCCGGGCTCTCCCCGGCCCGGCGGCTGGTCGCGGGGGCTACGCCCGGGGGCGGCGGGGCCGGGAGGGGCCGTCGGGCTCCGCAACCCGCCCGAGCCTCCTCGCAGCTTCCCACCGCGGGCGCTTGGGCGGGGAGGCGGCGCCGCTCGGCTCCGCTGCTCTCGGGGCTCCCTCGGGCGGGTCCGGCTGCTCGCCCTGCTGGCCTTTCGCAGCGGCCGCCTTGGCTCAGGAGGGGCTGGGGGGGGGCTTCTGCCTGCCTCGCCCGCCCGGCTGAGGAGGAGGAGGAGGGGAAGCTGGGAGCCCCGCAGCCGCCCCCTCCCGTCTCGTGGCCCATAGCCCGCCCCGCGCGCGTCATCGGGGGGCGAGGCAGCCGCGCCTCTCCCGACGGGCCCCTGGGCGGGGGCTGCTCTGCCCGCCCCCCTCGCCCTCCAGCCCACGGCGGCTATAAAGGCGGCGGAGGCGGCGGGAGGCAGGAGCGGCATCCGGGCGGGCGCGGAGGCGGCGGCGCATCTGCGGCAGACCTAACGGGGACGGACGGACGAACGCGCGAACGGGCGAGGGATGGAGGCGGCCGGCCCCGCGCAGCAGGGGAAGGTCAGCGCGGGGGCCGCCGCTGGGAGGCCGCGGGGCTTGGCGGAAAAGGGGGCTTGGCGGGCTCCGCGGAGGACGCGGCGAGGGTGGCGTCTGGCCAAGGGCGCTTTGGGGGCCGTTCGCCGGAAGGGAGGCTCGGCCTCTGCCCCGGGCAGGGCGGGAGGCTTCGAAATGCCGGGCGGAGGGACGGGGACGTCGCTTCTCCCGAGGCGTCGGGTGTAAAGTCTCCAGGGCTTCGGCAGCGAGGACTCTGCCCGGACTGCCTCCGGCTGCCTCGCCAGGGCCCATTCGGAGGAGAACCAGCGCGCTCCGGAAGGGTGCCTGGAGCAGAGACGGGCTCGGCCGGGGCGGCTTCGCATTGGGACCCTCAGCAGGTGTCAAGGTCATCTGGAGGTGGGAGAGAACAAGCCCCCCTGCCCGACCTCCAAGGGGGGGCAAGATCCACCCAACCCCCTGCCAACACCGTCTGTGCAAATGCCAGCGCCTGCAGGAGGAGCAGGAGGTTGGCTCTCTGGCAGATTTTCTGCCATTTTGCTGCCTCTCCCTCCCTCCCTTCCCTCCCATCTGTATCTTTTGACGCTGCAAAGGATGCTGGCCAGCAACAGGACCCTCTCCCAGTTGGGGGGAGGCAGGCAGAAGGGTGGCAAGGCGGGATTTTGCTAGCAAATGGCTCTCCAGTGCAAGAGACGTCAACCACCTACCCTCCAGATAAACCCCTCCCCCCCAGGATTCTAGAGACAACAAGTCAGGTGATTGGTGGAAAGGAATTGCAGTTGGACGCCCCAGGGGCCACAGTGTCGGCAGCTCTAAAGCTGGGTGGCCCCGGGGCTCTCAAGGGTTGGGCTGCAGCACCAGGAAGTGGCCTCTGACTCTCGGGGCCTCAGTTGTGCACCTGCCTAGGTGTGACATTGTTTGTGGCTCTGTAGCCAGGGATGTATTGGGTCGCCCTTATTCTTGGATCACTTACCTACCTGCCTTGGTCTGCTGGGTGATTTTCACTCAATTTAAGGGCATTTAAGAGTGGCAGCTGAGAAGAACGCTGAGAAGCCTTAGCTGAACATTTTTTGGAGGTTTAAGACAGAACCTCAAGAAAGCGGTGGGTGCTAAATTCCTTCTCGGCGCACTGTGTCCCTTTTAATCGATTTGTGCAGCCATAGAAGAAGAGGTTCTCTATCTCTTTCTGATAATCTTTTAACATCAGAAAAATTAAAAAGCAAACCAGGCCGCTAAAATAGTTAAAATGAAAATAAAAATAGGGAAAAGATAGCAAACCAAACACAACTCTACCGGAAGCAAAAATTCTTCTCTGGATCGTGAGATGACCTAGGATCACCCACAAGTGCTCCGGACTGTTGCTCCTAATGGGGAGACCCCAAGACAGCAATCTGCAGTGAATTTAAAACTCTGGGAGATGAGGAAAGAGGCGTCTTGTGCAATCCGCGTTTGCTGCCTTCAGAAGGACACTGGATTTGCAACTTCCTTTTGTAATCACTTTCTGAAATTGCTTGTTAATTTTTTTTTTAGAGAGATTTTGGGAAACTTCAGAAACAAGCTCTTACAATACTAGTTGAATTTCAGTCTTTAGTTTTAAATACAAGTTTGTGAAATAAAGAACAAAATAATGATTGATTTTAGAAAGTTGCAAACTGATTAAGAGTCCAGATATATTTGAAATAATATTTTGAAATTCATTATACGACTACTTTCTGTGGAAAAATGCTGTTTTAGAAAAGAGGATAGGATGCTACCTTGAAGCTTGGGCACTAGAGGGAACTAGAAAGAGCCAAACAGCACAATGAAAGGAAAACAACATCCACTCTGACTTAATATAGAACGAAGCAGAAAATTTTAACATTGGACTTACCAAAAGACACTTGTGAACAGTGCAAAACGGGGGGAGGGGCACGCTGTGTTTGTGTGGGGGAAATCGGTTCCACTGGAGGCAGTAAGCAAATGACTTCCCACCAGTCTTTTCATTTTACCTGTTGCCATGGAAACATGGACTCCCCGGGTGGGTAAGGAGCCCATCTGCCAGTGAAAGGCTAACGAGGGAGGCCTTTGGGGGATGAGATAAGGGGTCTGGGGGGGGGGGCTTACCTTGGGGTCTGGCTGTGGGAGGCCCCCTGGCGAGAGGGCCTGAGTGCTTTGCGCATCCCTAGATATTTGGCAAGATGCAGAGAGTGAAGCCGGCCTGAGGTCTCTCGGCCCTCTACAGAACAGGGGGACGTTGCCCCACCTTGCCCCACGACTGCACCGAATGGGGAGAGGAGAGCCTGCTGGGGGTGGCGGTTCAGGCTGGGCGACCCCGGGCCGGTCCCTCCCTCTCCGCCGAGGAAGAAGCGGGCAGGGCAGGGCAGGGCAGACCCCCTGAAACCTGGCCAGGAAAACTGCCGGGACTGGCCAGGGAGTCGCCTCTGGTCCAACCGACGCCGCATCAGCGGGCTTCGCCGCCTTCAAAATCCGGCCGAGCCGCCGCGCGGGCCCCCTTCGCCCCCGCGGAGAGCCTGACTAGCCCGGCGCTGTCTTTGCAGGGGAAGCTGACGGCGTCCCTGCTCGCCGCTGTGTCTGTGGCGGCGATCGGATCCCTCCAGTTTGGGTACAACACGGGAGTCATCAACGCCCCCGAGAAGGTAAGCGGGGGGGGACGAGGGCGGGGGGGGGCTTTCCGTTGCCCGGAGAATTTGCTGCAGCGGCCAAGGGGGGGGGGCGTCGCTGTGTGAGGCCAGGCGGCCCTGTGGGAGGACGCGGCGTCTCCGCTTGAGGGAGGCGACGGAGCTGCCAGCTTTGCGCGGGAGCGAAGGGCTCCTGGCTGCCGGGTTGGTGCTGGGAAACGGTGACGCCGGGACTCGCCTGTTTCCACGGAGGCGGGAGGAGCCTCTCCGGGGGAAAGAGCGCCGAGGAGGGGCGGCGTTGTTGCCGCTCCGCCATGCGCCGGGCCCCGGAGGCAGCGGCCGGCTCAGAGGTGGGGACGGGGGCAGGAGGGAGGCCGGCCCGAGCCCTCCCTGGGACGGAGAGGGCGTCCCCCTCCTCGGCCCTGGAAGCCCACGGACTCGGCTCCTCCTCGGCTGCGGAACGGGCCCGAATAGCTGAGCGAAGAGGGGGAGAGTCCTCTCCCCGCCGGCCCTCCCGCCGCCTCCGCCCAGCCGGGGCAGGACCCGCCTGGCTCTGGCAGCCGCTTCTCCTCAGCTGGGCTCCCCTCCCTCCGCTCGGCCGGGGAAGGGCCCGGGAGAAAGAAAGCGCCTCGTCCCCAGGCAGCCGGCTTGAGCCAGCGCCCCCATTTCCGGAGCCCCTTCTGGTTGCCGTCCTCGAAGCGCTCCCCCTCCGCTGCCCTCTGCGTCTCCCGCCAGAGAAGGAGCGGCCCCGTTTCCTCTCTCTGTGCCGATAGGGCCTCGCACATTTCGTTGTGAGGCTTGGGGGGGGGGGCTGTTTCTGCAGACTGCCAGCACGTCTGGAGATGGAGCCCCCCCCATCCCCGGTCCCCAGGACTCCCGGGGGGACTTTGGGCCAGTGGGGCTGTCTCTTCTGGGGAGAAACATGTAGGCGTTGGGGGACAGAGGGAGGGGTTGGGCCTCCATGCCGAACGGGGAGAACCGAGGCCAGGGATCCCCTTCAGGTCTCACCGGGGGTGGCTGGCCAGGGGGATGTCCTGGTGCATCGTGGGAGGGCAGTTGCCTTCCCCTCCAAGGCACCACATTTCTTCACAACTTGCACGGTTGAGCCTTTTTAATAAGGATCACTCTGGCTCCAATTTTTTTGTACAACCCCCCTTTATTAATGCAAGACCTAAAATTAAGGAACAGTCTGACAAGGATAACGCTCCCACCCACCCCATCCCCAAAGGCAGCGGCAGGAGCGGAGAGCGGAGAAGATCTTGGGAACTTTACCTTCGGCTGAGATTAAATTTGGATCGCTAGGGCTTTGGAAAGCTAGCCCTGCGAGGTAGTCCAGACGAGAAGCACAGCCAGGAGTCCCGGTTCGATTTTTATACTGCAAGGTTGCATTAAGAGAATCTGGCAAGGTTGAAAATATTTGCTCCTGCCTCTCTTTCTAATCTAGGGAGGCTCCCCACGCCTGCTGTGGGGCGAGGCCCCTTGGCAAGACCCTGTCCAGAAAGGCTCTTCAGCCGCGCGCCCAGCTGTGACACACCCTTCCCTAGAAGGGTCTGCAGAGGGGGGAGGGGAGGGGAGGGAGGAGAGGAGCGGGGGTGGGTGGGGAAAATCTGCTGCTGAGTCACAGAAGGGTGGAAGGAGCAAGGAGAGCCCCGGGGGACCCTGGCAGGCCAGAGACCGGCAGGTTTACGGTAATCTCTCCAGCTCCTTCATCCTGCCAGCGCCTCCAGCTGTCATCTTTTCCACACTGTGGTCAAAACAGGGGAAGGAAAATGACTCAGGGAATTCCGAAATCATTTGTCTCTGATGAATGAAGACGGCAAGGACGGCGGAGGAAATGCGTGGGTCGCGCTCCTCGTCACTCCTCAGGCTGGTGATTCACGTGCCGCATCCTGCCCTCCACGCTCCTGGGTGGGGGGAGACAGGATAGCGGCTAGACGGGTCTCCGGGCTGGCCTCCTGCTGCCCCCTGGTGTCTCCTCAGGGGATCCCTGGCCCGGCTGCCCCCTGCAGCTCAGACCCGGACAGGGGCAGCTGGAGCCAGCCCTGCGGGGGAAGGGAGCTGCTGGGGGCAGCAGGGGGACTTTCCCCGTTTTAACAAAGCCCCGATGCCCTTTTCCGAAGGAAAGCCTTTTACCTCCCTGTTAACAATTTAGCCCTTTGGGTACATTTAAAGGGCTACAAATAATAAAACATAACTCTTTCAATCTACCAACCCATGTTTCATGGAATAAACCTGGTGGGTATTGGAGGAGCATTTGGTATTCCTCTACTACTACTACTACTAACTACTAACACTACTAACGTGAGAGCGTAAGCGGTTTTCCCTCATGAGTGAGAAAAAACTGACTTGTAGGAATATTGAAGTTACCCGGCCAGAATTTATTAAAGAAATTTCCTGATTTTTCAAATCTTGGATGCTTTTATTGTTGACTTCTGCTTGTACATATTGATTTAATCCTGGGAACATCTACAGTCTGATTATCTTTTCTTGGATACCCGTTCTTCTCCAAAAAGGATCATTCTGGAGGTTTTCTTCAAAACTGCAGAAAGTTCGTCTTTGATTTTTGTTGTTATTCTTGTTCAGTTTATCCAGAATGAAAAGCCATTAATATAATGGAATGCAATAAGATTTTCTTCAAGAGGAATGTGTGAGGAGCACAAAGAGCTTCTTGAAAATATTATTCTGCTAGCTATTTTGAGAGAGATAACTTGGTCCCAGCTTAGCCAAAGAAGGTCCCCCTGGAGGACGTGGTCTTGGCAAGGAGTCTTCCGTTCAAGTAGAGGCGAAGGAGGCGGCTTCCTCTGCTTGTCCCGGTCCCCCCCTTCCCCCCCCCCATGGATGTCCCCTTGCTCTTTGCAGGGAGGTGTACTGGGAACTCAGGATGGGCAGCAGCCAAACGCCCCTGGGAAAGTTGTGTGAACACAACCGCAGGCCTAACAATGGGCAGTCTCCCCGCTGGCTTGCTTTGCTGGAAGGCCGCCCCTTCAGGAGGCAGCGGGGAGCCTCGGCTTGGCCAGGAGCTCCTCTCCACGGGGAGTCTTCACATCGGGCCGGGTTGGTTGGCCGTCCCTGCTCCAGGTGTGGGAACTTGCCAGGCCTCCTGGCTTGGTGGTTTTCCTCTTTTCCTGGCCGTCCCTGATGAGCTGCTGACCGTGCCCACTCTCAACTTCCCCCCCTTTTCCTCCTCTTCTTCCAGTTCAGAAACCCCAGCTCCCTTTTCTCTCCTTGCAGATCATCAAGGACTTTCTCAACACCACCTGGATAGAGCGGACGGGACACCACATCCCGGATAGCCTGCTGACCGCTCTGTGGTCCGTTTCGGTGGCCATTTTCTCAGTCGGAGGGATGATTGGCTCTTTCTCCGTTGGTTTTTTTGTCAACCGCTTTGGCAGGTGGGTGAGGGTTGGCCCAGAAGAGGGGCAGGGGAGAGGCAGGGGCCCAGGTCTGAAAGGAGCCTTGAGGTGAAGCTGCTGGGGGTTGAGTCTGGCCAGGGAAGGGTCTGGGGTGGCTCCCCCCAAGGCAGCCGCTACGAGACCAGGACTTCAAGCACCAGCTGGGCATCCCCTGTGGGCACCTCCGTGCCATGACCGGCAGATCGTGGCTGTCCCAGAGACTGGTGAAGCCCTGAGATGTTGTGGCTGCTCTCTGAATTCGGACGCTGTGCTGGAGCCCCAGAGACCCTCCCCCTTCTCTGACCTTTTCTAATGCTTCTTTCAATTCTCTCTCTCAAACTTTTTCCCCCCTCTGCAGGCGAAACTCCATGCTGCTGGTGAACGTTCTGGCCATCGCAGCTGGCATCTTGATGGGCTTCTCCAAGCTGGCCAGGGCGGTGGAGATGCTGATCATCGGGCGCTTCATCGTTGGGGTCTTTTGTGGCCTCTGCACCGGCTTTGTGCCCATGTACATCAGTGAAGTCTCCCCGACTACCTTGCGGGGGGCTTTTGGCACCCTGAACCAGCTGGGCATTGTGGTGGGCATCCTGGTGGCCCAGGTGAGCGAGCCCTCGTCCCAGAAGTGTGGCTGCGTTGGGCAGCCTTGCCTTCACAGGGCAGAGAGGCCTGGGGTTGTCCACTTGGCCCTTGGACTTCCTGGGGAAGAGATTGATGCTCTGAGATCCGCTGTGGGCAGCGATTGCGCCGAGCAGGAGAGGATTCCTCAGCTAAATCAGTTTCCGTGGGATCTGGGGCAGCAGGGGGACTTCTGGGTCGGCTCAGTCTGTGGAAGGCCAGGGATCTCTTGAGCCTCAGCAGCCCCAAGAAAGTTCTCCGGAGGTTCCGAGGAAATCCTGACCAGCCGACTTACTCCCTCCTCGCATTTCGGTTTCTGGGGACGGGGCCTGACCCCTCTTGTGCCTCTCTCTTGCTTGCCCTCAGATCTTCGGCCTGCATGTTATCCTGGGGACGGAAGCTCTCTGGCCCGTCTTGCTGGGGTTCACCATCATCCCAGCCCTCCTGCAGCTCCTGGCCCTCCCCTTCTGCCCGGAGAGCCCCCGTTTCCTGCTCATCAACAAGATGGAGGAAGAGAAGGCCGTCAAAGGTATTTGTCCTGCAGAGCTGCACAATGGCACGCCTGTTTTAGCAAAACATTTTGCCAGGCAGGTGCTAACCCCAAAAGCATTGTAGCAGTAAGTGAAAGGACGGGTGAAAATGAAAACTTTGATAAATAATACCTGCTAGGAAGACGGTTCCTGGGAAGGGCACAGCAGTTTTCAGAACTTGGCTGTCCTTCCTCCTTGTTGAAAGAACGGCAACGGAGTCTTCACCGATGTCACTGCTGGTCCGGCCGCTCCATCCAGATCGCAGATGGCTCAGGACAGGAGGTCTCTCTGTTGTTTCCGAAGGTGGATCTCTGCCTTTCTTGCTCCCCTCTTCTGAACCGGCAGGCACAATCCTCTGCTTGTTCTGAGGCTGAGGTTCTGGCACGCTGGAATGCAACACCGCACAAAAGTCCATGTGTGTGCAGAAGCCTCTCCTCCCTGACCACAAAGGACTGGAATATTAGCCATCCGTCGTCTCCAGGGCTAGTGAATGGGGCTCCTGTCCTCACCTGGGCAGGAGGAGGAGTTCAGGGAAGGAGAACCCTTCCTAGAAGTAGGTTGGGCACACAACGGATGGGCGCTCTCCCGTCTGACTCGGTCCATGTCCTCCTTCCCTCAGTGCTCCAGAGCCTGCGGGGTGTCCAGGATGTGTCCAGCGACATCCAGGAGATGAAAGAGGAAAGCGCCAAGATGTCCCAGGAGAAGAAAGTCACCATCCCAGAACTCTTCCGCTCCCCCAGCTACCGCCAGGCCATCATCATCGCCATCGCCTTGCAACTCTCGCAGCAGCTCTCGGGCATCAACGCGGTGCGTCCCCCAAGGGCCTCTCTCCATGCTGGGCCTGCTGGAAACCACTGGTCTGGAGGGAGATGGGCGGAGCTACCTGGGAAGGGAGGGGAGCTGGTCCGAGGGAAGGCGGGGAGCAGCCATAAGAGGGGAACTCAAAAGGCCAGGAGGCCCTCTGCAACCACGCCATTGAAGGATCAAAAGGGCAGGGGGTCAGTGGCACAGTGGCATTATGGGTTTTGGGATCTTCCTGTGGACGCACCTGGCGCTTTTGTTTGGCTTCATGTTTTACGCTCACTGGGGTGCAAGAGGCGCCTCCCTTTATCACCTGTCCTCCAGCAGGTGCTATGTGCTCAGAGCTCAAATTTCCCTCCCAATTCTAAGCACCGCCCTCCACCCTCGGTCTTCCTCGCAGGTTTTCTACTATTCCACTGGGATCTTCAGTGATGCTGGAGTGGAGCAACCAGTTTATGCCACCATCGGGGCCGGCGTGGTCAACACCGTCTTTACTGTGGTGTCGGTACGTGGTGATAAAGGATGGGATCGCCCTGCATTGGGGGGCCTGAGGCGGAAGATCCTCTTGGAAATCTGGAGGGACTTGCCAGAGAAAATGTTCCTAGCCTCAGGGGTAGTTTGGGGGGTGGGGGTGAGGACCCATTCTGTTAAAAAAGGATGGGGCTTAGATCACCCGAGTGTGGCTGACATGTTGACCTGGAGTGGGCTTAAGATGGGCATTACACACTCTGCCGCCCACCAGACGATCGATCGCGGAAGGCTCGTGTGCGTGTTGCCTTTAAAGTGTGGTACCACGTTGGACCGCTGTGTGGCGAGGGGATTCCAGAGGGTGCAGTTCAATAAGTCAAGGGTAGCAGTCACAGCAACGGGATCCAATTTACCATTTCACGGAGAGTTTTTTGACCGTTCTCTGGTGACTGTTCCTATGGTTGCAGAGAGATTTGCTGCCCACCACAATCTTATGTGTCCCCTTCCCATTCTGCAGCTCTTCCTTGTGGAGCGAGCGGGACGTCGGACCCTGCACCTGATTGGCTTAGGGGGCATGGCTGTCTGCGCAACCCTCATGACGGTGGCCTTGGCGCTGAAGGTAGGCAGCAGCATTTCTGCTTCCTGGTAGCCCCCCCTCCCAGTTTGGACTGAAATGAAATACACACCCTGAGGAAAGAGGACGGAGGCAGCTTTGTGTCTGGACTTACATATCTTAGGGGGTTCTACCCTCCCCCATTCCTCATCCCCATGTGGAAAACCACTGATTTCTAATCAAGTTTCCTGGCAGTCACAGATTGTACAATCTAGCTGGGAAACAAGATAATTGAGGCCACTTTGCCCAGCTGCCCCTTAGAGACAAGAGACTCCTCTCCACATGGTTCATAGGAGAACAGGAACTCCTTGAGATGTCCTCCTCCAGGCGATTTAGGCAAGCAGGAATCAAAATCGAGGTCATGAACTAGGGTGGGATAATGTTCTTCTGGTCTCAATCATTTAGCTTTGGCATTTTGTACAAACTTTAAGTTTCTGAAATTCCAACTGAACTTTGGACTCTCTATGGGCTCCAGAGATTTCAGTAGATGTTGTTGCACCCTCAGAATTTTGTTAGTCATGGGAGAAGAACAGGGGAGATGTGGTGATAGTCCAAAGAAGACAATCATGAATGTCCACTATGGACAAATGCCTATCACCAAATGGTCTTATCAGGGCCGAGTTTAGACCTACTAAATAACTTACAGTCCATATTAGCACTATCGTAGTTATCGAGAGGCAGAAGCTGGAAATTTAGCCAGCCCTTTCCCCGTTTCTCTCGGGGGGGCTTTGTGGGCACAATCATTAATGTCTGCATAGCTTCATGAATATAAGTCTTCCTTTAGTGCACTTTCCAATTCCAGCCCAACTAGGTAGAGCTCACATTGCTGATTGAGATGACTTTCCCAACTACTCTAAGCAGAGAGGCTAACCAAGCTAGTAATCTAGATAGTTACCAAAATTTGTCTTTTACTTCCGTGTTTCCAGAAAGATTTCCCAGCAGCAGCAGCTAAAATAACAAGGTGCAGAGTAGAGGAGCCCTTGAGCCCTTCACTCTCTCTCTCAAACACACATACACAACATACGCACTGAGCTCCTCTCCTATTTTATAACTTGAACTCTGACAGCTGCTTTTCATGGGCTTTATCATGGGGCTTTTGTTATGGCTTGAGAAAACAAATTGGGGAAGAGTTGAGATGTTCTCAAGCAGTTCCTGATCATGGAAGACCATGTGCTGATTCTTGATGCTTTGATCTGTCAGCCACACCTTGATCTTCTTTTGGGCATATCACTGTTTAGTCCAACCTAGTGTCCCATTGCTGTCTTATGTTCCTGGGCTTTCAGAGTAGGAACGTCGTCGGTATCTGATCTTCATCATGGACTTTACTGAACTCTGCATGCAGGTCATCTACCACAATCCCCAGAAGAGCTTATCTGCTGGGCAAGCCTGCAAAGAGGCCACTTTCTTTCAAGTGTGGTCTTGGTTCCTGCATATCCAAAGTGCCCTCCTCAAATGGCTTCATTTAATTTAGTAAAAAGAGAAATAAACAGTTGCCACCATTCTGATAACTGTGGACTCTGGGACCCCTCTTGGATACTTCATGTAGGCATTCATGCTGATGGGAAAGATAACAATGGCACACTACACAAACACACCCACTTCCATATATCCAAACGTTTAAGTGGCCAGCTAGGTTGAACCAAAACTCTTCAAATGCAGAGTGCCACCAAATTGGTATAAGTGTTCTGGAAAGGTAGAAAGAGTAGAAAGTGTGAGCTATTTCTCCAGGTCGTCCTCCAGTTTTAGCCACCTCTTTGACTAAAATATTTTGCTGCCCAAGCAAGGCGAGAAATTAGAATGAACTGGTTGCTGCTCATCTCTGCTCTCCAAGGAAATCTGGAGTTATGCAGATTTCTTGGACCACCTGACCGAAGAAAGGTTCCTGGTTGATCAATTCCCGGGTCAGCAGATGCTAAGAGTTGGGATCAACCAGTGCTACCCTGGGATTACCAACGGTTAACTCCGCATCTCTGTTTTTGCAGGACATAGTGACTTGGATCAGCTACGTCAGTATTTTTGGCACTTTTGCCTTTGTGGCTCTCTTTGAAATTGGACCTGGACCGATCCCGTGGTTCATTGTGTCCGAGCTCTTCAGCCAGGGCCCTCGTCCTGCAGCTGTGGCGGTGGCTGGTTTCTGCAATTGGGCCTCCAACTTCCTGGTGGGCATGCTCTTCCCCTATGCAGAGGTAAGGCCTCCACCTTGGACCTTCTTTGTGGGCTTGGTGTGAACACAGTGAGGTCTGCTCCTTTCCCCTGAAGTTGGCCGTCGGGTGGGGAATAGGAGGAGGAAAGCACAAGCACTAAAAGGGGGTCAAGAACTGCAGGCTGCTGTTATCAGAATGGCTGTTGAGAGGGAGAACTTGCTTCACTGTAGTCCATTGCTCGGCTGAAGCCCAGTAGGAGAGGCTTTGCATAAATATCAACTTGAGCAAAGTTCGTACTTCTGCTCCTCATGAAGAACTAAACCACAGGAGGGCCTTATCCTTGCACTTCCTGCTCCTCAAATGTCCTTCAGTGACCCAGAGAATGAGGCCTTTCTCATTAAGGCACGGCATCAGTCTAGTCTGGCCGTGTCACAGGGTGCGGCAGAGGTGGTGGGAAAAGTGGGCTGTTGAATAAAGACCGGGCCCTGACCCTTTGCTCCTTGCAGACCAGAGCTATTGTATGTGTGAACTTTCAGGCCCATTGTCTTAGAGCAAAGATAACATTTTGATCATCTTCCTTACAGAAATTATGTGGGCCTTATGTTTTCCTGATCTTCGTTGCCTTCCTTCTCTTCTTCTTCTTCTTCACCTTCTTCAAAGTCCCTGAGACAAAAGGCAGGACTTTTGAAGACATCTCCAGTGGGTTTGAGAGGCGAACCGCGAACGGTCTTGCTCCAGCGACTGGCAACAAGAGCTCAATGGTGGAATTAACTAGCATTCAGCCTAAGGAAGATGCCTAATCCCGCCATCCTTGCTTGTCTCTGAAAGGAGCTCTCCCTTGTAACCACTGCTGTGATTCCCCAAGTCCTCCGTGTGTTTTCCTGGTCCTTGCCATGACTTCAGTGCTCCACTAGGACAAGAGGAAGGCGGCTGTTTATCTTGCCATCCTCCTTCCGGCCACGTACCTCCTGAGGACTGAGGAATGGCCCTTTGAGCTCCTTGAATCTTACGTGGAGGCTAAACCGTGTTTGTGTTGGTCACTCATGTCTTACAGGCCAGTTCCTTGTGAGTTAACCCTCCCTTCCTCCTGATGTTTTACAGTGTTTCCTGCAGGGTGAAGTGCAACACACTGGAATTTACTGAAATGCCAGGCAAAGAGACATTTTGCTCCACTTCGTCAAATGGAGGTTTACTTCTATGTTTGGGAAATTATGATCAGAACTACTTTTTTATTTGCCAGTTTTAATTTATTCCTTACGTCACTTTACTTGGAAATATTTATTTTTATGCAATATTCCTCTCCTCTGAGTATAAAGACTAGAAATAAGCATAAGATGGCCTTTAAAAAAAAAAGTCCTAGCGATGGTGGGGTACCAAAGAGACCAAGGGTGGGTGGTGCCTCCCTTGAGCCTGGAAAAGGGGACCCCCCAGCTGACACCCTTGGAACCAGCCGTCAAGGGTCCCTTGAAAGTGGGGAAGTTAAAGGCATGGCGTGGGGAGCACAGGTGGAGGGCGGAGGTCCTGCCAGTCAGGGGGAGACCTGCCCTTCCCACTGGGGAGAACCCCAGGCCTGCCCGGATAGGGTGGGGGAGGGGGAGCTTTGGGGTTTGCACCCCTTCCCTAAGAGCTTCTGTCTGCCGGGCTCTCATGCCAGGGAGTCACCGGAAGGACTTGCCTGGGGCATCTAGGGGGGCTCCCTGATGGGGTCTGAGGGACGGCAAAGGCAGGGGCGGGGGTGCCTTCTGGGACCAAAGATGGTGGGCCCCATCATCCTCTCCCACTTTAACAATTGGGGCTGCAGACTGTGAATTCCCAAAGAACGGAGGGGCAGGGCAGCATTTTAGTGCCAGCCCCAAAGGTCGCCCATTCGGGGGGGGGGCAACTTGGATAAACAGCAAGATGGTCAAGATGGTCTTGGGCTGGGGAGTCTTCTCCAGGGCCCCCCTCCATCCAATTACTTCCTGAGGGGGTGCCCTTCCCCATTGATCTTAAAGGGGCAGCGTTGGAATGGTGCAGCTGCAGCTCTTGACCTTATTGGCCCCCACCCCAGACATCCCTGGAGCAGTCCTTTGTCTTGTAAAGAAGGAAATATAGAGAATTTTTAATTCTCCAGACACTTTTGACCTACTGATTCTGGTGACTGATTTAATTTCCTCCTTTATGATATGATTACATTAAAAAAAATATCAGATGTTATTTGCTAAAGTGTATTTTTGCAATTTTTTGTTGTTAGATGAAATCAAAGGTGAAATTTTGAGGATGAAGAATAGGCAGCTAAGACTTCAGATGAAGGAACTTAGAGACCAAAGCTATCAAATAAAAGAACTAAAGTATAGTTTTTTCCTGATCTATTTATTTATTGGAAAGAATTAAAGAATTAAATGGTATATATTTATATAATGCAAAGTGACTTTGCTGGTTGCTCTTTCTATGGCTAGGGGACAAAGTCCTAGTCTGGATTAAGAGCTCCCAGGGGTGTGAACCTTCCTCGGGGGTCTGGAATAGACCCTCCTGGGCCCCCCTCTTCCCACGGCTCTGCTGGGATGCTGCTGATTCTCCAGGACGGTCACGTAGGCCAGGAGAGGGACCCGCCTTCTCCAGCTCAGCCTCTCTCTGCTGGGAGGGATGTTGAGCAGCTACCCGGCTGTAAAAGAGAGTCGAAGATTGAAAGGTAGACGGGGGATACGGCGCAAAAGTTGGGATCTTCTGGATGTGTCTATGTCTGGTTTAATTGGAAGCTGGCAAAAGGGAAGGATGGTTTCTGGAGTGTGGCTTGACTGCCTGCCTCAACCGACCTCTGGAATAGTTTGCATTCTCTCTCTTCCTTCAGAAATCTGTACCTCATCTCCATCCTGCCTTGTTTTTCTGAATACTTTTTTAAAAAAATCTTTATTTAGCCCACTGAATGCTCGTTTATCTCCTCCCTTCCAACAGAGAAACTGTGGGAGTGCAAAATATTCCACACCTGAAGTACGTTTGTAAGTTTTTGGTTTCTTGTGTGGTGAAGAATTTTATAAATGTTATTGTGAATGTGTCATTTTTTAAAAAAATAAATAAAACAAAACAAAACTTTTGGCTGGATATGGGCCTGTCTTTATTGATCCAAATCTTAACGTTTTCCTTCTCCTACATTTGGAACAAAAGGCCAAGGCTTTATCTTTCCAGATTCATGTGGCCCCACTGAGCCTAGCAGGGCCTTTGCCAGAGGCCCCCCCCCCACCCGCAGCCCCCTGCCTGTCTTTCCATTCGCAGCCCAGAAGGGCAACAATGACTCCATCCTCCCTGCAAAATGGCCTTCGTGGTTGAGGTTCCCTGAAGAGCCCCAGCAGGCAGGATGAAGGCGAGCACAGCGCAGAGGGAGAATGAAGCCCCGTAGGGAGGAAAGGGGGGCGGCTGAGGGACTTCTGGTTTTGCAATTGCCACCCTTTGCCAGCACAACACAACACAACACACCGGGTTGCCAGCTGCACCGTGTCCCAGAGCAGGCCAGTCAGAAGCTGCGGAACGGGGCAAATCACGGAGCTGGTTCTCCTTGGAAAAGGAGGGTCTGACCCGTTTGGTTTTGATTCTGGTTCCCCACAACTTTCTCTGGAGCTTCAGCTCTGAAGAAACTTGGTTGGAAAAGGAACATTGTTGATTATGGTAAAATGCCCACAAGGAAGGGATTTGGTGATTATGGTGACCCCCCCCCCCCCCAAGCCCTGAGCTCAAATGAGACCAGTTGTCGCAAACAGACCATTGTTGGTCCTGTCCAGCACAGGACTGCTGCATTTCCGACCGCTGGTCTCCAGGGTCCTTGTGGTTTTTTTATTCCTAAACTGGCCTCTTACAAAATTCATCCCTTATTCTTTTCCCTAACTTCTGAGAGCTAATTAGCTTTCTGGCCTTGCATTTGGACAGCTGCATCGTCAAACTTTACCTTTGCACAGAAATTTATCTTTGAAATTTCCCACCAGGTGATGGGAAGACGACCCGGGGAGAGAGCAGTGGATTACCAAACAAGACATTTAATGGGGATGCTGACATGTGTGTCGGAAAATTACAAAGTTTTGTGTCAGTATGAAACGGTGGAGCAAAACAGGAGGATACACAGCCAGGATTGCACAGCCAGATGACTTTTTCCACACCAGAATGCACTATTATTTGTAAATACAGACTTTCTATATAATCCCTAGAATTTAAATTTAGGAGAATTTCGTTCCACAAATGCAAACATTTCACATGTTTTAAATAAAGTACAGCTAAGAATTGTATTTTGCCAATCTGGACACACTTACGTTACAGTCTAGTTGTAATGTTTTTTTGTTGTTGTTGTTGTTTTTTACAGTAGTTTGCATCTGAAATACTGGTTGGCATGTGAGAAAATTAAATTTCACAATGTTACAGTGTAGATTTGCTCTTATTTTATTTCTAAAAATGTGTCGCACACAATCATTGGCAAGAGTGAGTTTCTGTCATTCTTTTCTTTGATCTTTTTCACATTGGCTTTATTTTATGTCATTTTGCCCCCTGGGGGATGCCCCCTCCTGACTTTGTATGGGGTCTGCTCACGAGTCCAAAAATGTGGAGGCCAAACTGTGGCCGAATATTTTGCTTTGGTCAAAATGACGGTTCTTTCTTTCCTATCTGAGATTATCAGGTTTGGTTTTGCCTTTGCAGCGAGCAACGAATAAAGCAATAACTGGAAGCGAGATTGTCACACCCTTTAATGAGCTGGCCGGAGGGGGGGAAGGAAGAGCGAGCCAGGCCTCCCGCGGGGTCGGTTTCTCTGCCCAAATACAGTGAAGCGCGATGAGGGGGAGTTGCAGGTGCGCGCAGGTGGTGGGAGGAAGGACGGAGCTGGCCTACGTCAAGAAGCACGTTTCTCTTAGTTCCGGGCGGGCTAGAAAAGCAAAGCTTTTTTCTTCAGCTCGTTGCGTTTCCAAAGTGCAAGTCGTTCAAATTGTTCCATGCTCATTTTGAAGACCTCCTGGAACTCCTCGGTGGAAAGGTGGTGCTTGGAGACAGAGAACGGACACGGTAAGTACTTCAAAGAGAGGCGAGATCCACGTAACGCGGCAGACCAGAAACCAAGGGACTGCGACGTTGTGGATCAACCCACAACTTCTGTCTACAGAGCAAGAACCGCAGATGCTGTTAAGGCGGCTTCCTTAGGCCAGAGGGCATCGGAAGGGTCCCCCGCGCTCGGAGGAAGCTGCCTGTGCAAATGGAAGGGAGGGAGGAAGGAAGAGAGGGAGGGAGGGAAACTTTTGGCTCACAAACAGGCCCTTGGAAGACTTATTTGAACGTGCTTTGGAAACATTCATTTCTACCACATACTTAGAAAGTACCCACAGTCAATTTGGGAATCCCTCATTGACTATAATGCAGTCTCTCTCTCTCTCTCACACACACAACAGAGAGAGGGAGAGAGAGAGAGAGAGACACACACACACACAGGCATGCATGCATATCTAATGCAGTCTCTCTCTCACACACACACAACAGAGAGAGAGAGAGAGAGAGAGAGAATTTCCAAGATGTGAAAGTATTCTTGAGTTACATACTGGAATTTCAGTCACATGGATCACAATTCTACTTGTTTGTTTGTATGTGTATATGTGTATTTGTGTGTGAGAGAGAGACCTACATTTATAAGGTTCATTGGAATTTTAATCATTTAGTCACTTTTCAAGTTCTTCAAATTAACAAATAGTTGCCAAATGATACTGAACCGCCACCTGTGCTGAGCTCAAGGCTGTTACCTTCCAGGCAATGGCACAGCCTGTGAAATTACACCATTATTAACCTTTAAAAACATCGATTCTTGAAATGTAGCCCTAGTAAAAAGTCCTCTAGCGGTGGGTTCTTTTTTAGCAAGTTTAGGTCTTGAAATGTTTAAATAGGAGAGACCATCAAAGTGTGTAGTTATTTAGATCAGATGCCAATTCTCAAATCCCACAAAAGACTCTTTTCTAATCTGGCCCTTCTCCAGTGAGTCCTTCCTTCTCATTAGGTGGCCAAAGTATTTGAGTTTTAACTTCAGGATCTGGCCTTCTAAAGAGCAGTCGGGGTTGATCTCTTCTAGGACTGACCGGTTTGAACGCCTTGCAGTCCAAGGGACTCGCAGGAGTCTTCTCCAGCACCATAGTTCAAAGGCCTCAATTCTTTGGCGCTCAGCCTTTCTTATGGTCCAACTTTCACAGCCATACATTGCAAATGGGAAAACCATGGCCTGGACTATACGCACTTTTGTTGGCAGGGTGATGTCTCTGCTTTTTAGTATGCTGTCTAGATTTGCCATAGCTTTCCTCCCCAGGAGCAAGCGTCTTTTAATTTCTTGGCTGCAGTCCCCATCTGAGGTGATCTTGGAGCCCAGAAAAATAAAATCTGTCACTACCTCCATTTCTTCCCCATCTATTTGCCAGGAATTGAGAGGGCCGGATGCCATGATTTTGGTTTTCTTAATGTTGAGTTTCAAGCCAACTTTTGCACTCTCCTTCTTCACCCGCATCAAGAGGCTCTTTAGTTCCTCTTCACTTTCTGCCATTAGAGTGGTATCATCTGCATATCTTAGGTTGTTGATATTTCTCCCGGCAATCTTAATTCCAACTTTTGATTCATCTAGCCCTGCCTTTCTCATGATGTGCTCTGCATATAAGTTAAATAGGCAGGGCGACAGTATACAGCCTTGCCGGACTCCTTTTCCAATTTTGAACCAATCAGTGGTTCCGTGTTCGGTTCTCACTGTTGCTTCTTGACCCGCATATAGGTTTCTCAAGAGACAAATGAGATGGTCTGGTACTCCCATCTCTTTAAGAACTTGCCACAATTTGTTGTGATCCACACAATCAAAGGCTTTTGCATAGTCAATGAAGCAGAAGTAGATGTTTTTCTGGAACTCCCTAGCTTTCTCCATGATCCAGCGTATGTTGGCAATTTGATCTCTAGTTCCTCTGCCTCTTCGAAATCCTGCCTGTACTTCTGGTAGTTCTCGATCCACATACTGCTGGAGTCTAGCTTGTAGGATTTTAAGCATAACTTTACTAGCATGTGAAATGAGTGCAATGGTGCGATAGTTTGAACATTCTTTGGCATTGCCTTTCTTTGGAATTGGAATGTAAACTGACCTTTTCCAATCCTGTGGCCACTGTTGAGTTTTCCAAATTTGCTGGCAAATTGAGTGTAGCACTATTACTGCATCGTCTTTTAAGATTTTGAATAGCTCAGCTGGAATACTGTCACCTCCACTAGCTTTGTTGATGCTCAGATTTTCTAAGGCCCATTTCACTTCACATTCTAGGATGTCTGTGCCAGTGTGAAAGCCAGTGTGAAAAAAGAAAATGAAATCTATCAATCTAAAACCAATCTTGGAAGTTCTGTGAGATGGGTTTGTTATGATTCACGTTTGCAATTAATCTCCAGGGTAACCATGTCCTCCTTCCTTACCTCCAGTCTGGCTCTGTCCACATCCTTTGGTAGTTTTACCCGAACTCGGTTGGTGACAATAAGGGTTTCATACGGGTAGACCTGGGAGGAAAGGGGAAAAGTCTGATTCCTGGAAAAACAGGCTCCTTGCGGCCATTTTTAGAGAGATGTACATACTTGCTCAGTTTTTACACGGAGTAAAGAAGAGAAAGGAGTCAACCTTTGGGACAAAAAGGCTGAATTTCAACATGCTTTGATGTCCTTACCTTGTATTCTGCAAAAGACAAAGAAAAATAAACTAATCAGTGCAGGTTCAGCTAGAATACAGTGTGCCTCTTTCTGCAATCTCCTGTTTTCTCTGGGGGAAAGCAAGGAGGGAGGGAGCCCCCCCCCAGGGGCAGGACTTTGGCCATCATGGGAGGGAGGGGCAGCCCTGGTTTGCCTGGGGGCAGGACAGCTGCTGCAGCCCCGTCGTGGGGGGGTGGGGCCTTTGGGGCAGAGCAAGGGCTGGTCCTGCATTGGGCAATGAGCAGGGGTAAGGGGGCTGGCCAGACAGGTGCACACGGACCTCTTGACCCTCTCCTCTGGCCTGGCCAGTTCAGGTCCATCCCCGGATTAGCAGAGACCAGGGGAGACCAACTCCTTTCTCGCCCCAAGTTTCAGGGCTGGATGCTAAGCGAGTGCAGGGAGGAAGCGAGGCTGAGGGGCAGCACCACAGGGGAGGCGCCAGGGGAGGGGGGGGGGAAGAACAGGTGTGCGCTTCCGGAGCCAGAAGGACAGAGGAGGAGGGAGGGGCTGTCTGGCCCAGCGAGGGGGCTAATCCGGAGCCAGAGTCCGGCCTCCACTGACCCCTAAAGCTTTACAGTTCGCATCCGTCCTGTATAGCTGGAGTGGCCCGTTTGTTTTGATGGTGGCTTTTGTGGAGCCCGATTTGTGGGCTGCAGCATCCATCCTGTGGGGAAAAACCCCCTTCGCCCCCCCCTGCTGCCCGCCCCAGGGAGGGTGGGGTGGACTAAGTACCTCTTTTCCCCCAGGCGGCCTCCGGGTCCTCTGGGCCCACCACTGCGGCCTAGGAAAGAAAGGAAGATTCAATGTGTGTGTGTGTGGGGGGGGAAGGCTGCTGTAGAAGTCAATTCCTACACGTTCACACACACACACACACACACACACACACACACACAGCGGGCATCACAAGGTTATTTGTTAGGCCCATTTTGAGAGGGTTATGGGCCAAGCCCGTCCATGGCTTGCATTGGGGTGGCTCCCTGGATAAGGACTGGCAGGATTTGCTTAACGACAGCCTGCGGAGGGGGGGCCAGCGTGGGCCAAGAGGTTTTCCCAGGAGATCCTGTGTCCGTCTCTCCCAGTCAGGAGATGGGGAGGAGGCCCAAAGCAAGCAGAGCTTGCAGGCTCTCAAAATGCTGCTGAAAACCTGGGGTGGTGGGTGGGGGGAGAGGATTGGGGGAGTTTCAGGGAAGGGGCCAGAGACCCCCAAGAATGATGGCAGCCGAGAGGCGGGAGACCCCCGGATGGACTGCGCAAGAAAAAAGGGGCCTTGGTGAAGGGCCAACCCTCGGTCCATCGTCCACCCGGCCCCGGTGTGGCGTTCTCACGTCCTCCACCTACGTGCTGCTGCTGCTGCTGCAAGCCGTGCTTTCCGTAGTCGGGAAGAGAAGCCGATTTGGAATAGGGGAATCCTGTAGGGAAGAGGAAAGAGTCCTCTTTCAGGGGAGAGCAGGGGGCTGGACTAGAAGACCTCCAAGGCCCCTTCCCGCTCTATTCTATTCCATCCCAGAGGAGCTCGTTCGTAGCTCTGCCCTTCTGGCTCCCTGCTCTGGAGCTCCTGGAAGGGCCGGCACCCCCGGCCCCGTGGCAGGCAGGCCTGGCAGCAGCCAGCTACTCACGCAGGAAGGTGCAGTGTGTGTTGCTGTGCAGCCGCTGAAGTTGCCGGTCTGTCCCAGGGCTTTGAGGCAGCGACTGAGTATCCAGATCGGGAGAGTTAGTCCTAAAATCCATGTCCCCTTTCAAAGTCAGCCAGCTGGACTTTAGCTGCGAGAAACAAGGTCCCACGTTAGAAATCTCCCACGTTTCGTCTGATGTCAAGAGGGAGGGAGGGAGGGAGGGAAGGGGGCTCTCTAGGTGAACCAAGAAAACTGCATTTCTCTTCCAGCTTTAGAGTGATTTCTACCCTGGGGACAACCCATTTCCATTGCTTTTACCCAAAGGGATTTTTTTAAATCACTGAGACTTATCACAACAGTGAAGAAGGAAGGGGAGGAGGAAGGGTTGTTTGGAAAGCTGGTTTATTTTTGTTCAAGTGTTGAACACAACCACAATTAAACACATGCACTGTTGTTTTAACGCAGTACTGGACCGCAAAACAGGGCTCTTGTGCTACTGGGAATCCTCACTGGATCCCACTGAAATTTACCTTCTTGCTGTCTTGATTGGAGCTCCTGTCGCCATCGGATATTCTTGAGGCTAGACCATAGAAAAATGTCCCAGTAAGAGAAAAAGGCCTGACTTTAAATCTCTCTCTCTCTCTCTCTGCCCCAACAGATGGGAGGTGGCGAAAAGGTGGGGAGGGGTCCCTTCGGAGGAGGAAGGAAGCTGGTGGAATCCCTGCTGAGGCAAAGGGGGGAGGGCTGGTTCCCTGCCGGGGAGGCACCAGATCTGGAGTTGGCCCCGGAGGAGAAATGTGGGGATGACGTCAGTCAGCCGCAGACAGTCTCATTTCACCCTCCTCCCAGCCCCGGCCCACAGGCCATGCCCGACGTGCTCTCAACTGCCATCACGGCTGGCCTGGTGCCTGAGGGAGAGCCGAGGTGCCCAGCTTGGCCATTTGACCCCACCGTTCAGTCTCACTGTGCAGCCCCTGCTATGGTGGCACTTTGGGGGGGGGCTGAGTTTTGTTGGGACCCAGTCGCTCTTGCTCCTAGGGGCTGTTTACCACCCCCCTGAAGAGGGGCCCTTTGCCATGAGAGGGGATCACGAAGAGTGTGGGGCTGGAGCCTTGGTAGAGTGATGACGCTCCCTCCCACTGCACCATTACATCTAGGCTAAAACAGCCTGCCTGCCCTCAGGACCTGTGTCCGAAGGCCCTGCGGGCCGGACGAGGGGCCAGAGAGCAGCTGGACCTGCCAGTTTGCCCCCCTCCAGGAGGGAGAGATGTGGGAGAGGCCACAGAAATCCCTCACTGTCTCTGGGTGTTCAGGTCACGTGGCCAGTGGTGATTTCCAAACAGCGACACCTCTTAGTCATTCTAATCTGCCCAGACTGGAAACCTCATGCCTGATTTTCTGAGATCCAGACAGAAAACTTGAGTGACAATAAAATGTAAAAAAAAAAAGCTAACAAGAGTTCCTAAAACGCTTGTTTGGTCGATATTTAAGACCTGCAAAAGACAGCCGTGGCCTGCTTGTTCTCTAGAAACAGCGTTCGTCTCAAGTGACGTGGCCGACTGCAGCCCGAGAGGCACTGTCCGTCCTGGGGGCTCAAAGCTATTCCGATCCATAAACTGAAACAAGAGGATGATCACAAGCCAGCAAGGTCGCCCGAGGACCACCTGGAACCGTCCAACTCTCTGCAGACAAAACGTTCTTGGTTTTGCCGTGTCTAGCCTGAGATCCAGTGGAGCTCACTTTTTTCTTTCCATTTAAAAAGGTGGACGCGCCCTCCTGCACAAGTCAAACGCCCTTGTTTCCTCGCCTGTACAATCCACCCTGCACACAATGACATCCAGACACACTCCAAAGGCTGCAGAGCAATTACAAACTCTTCTTGAAAAAGTGAGCTTTAAGTACACAGCCAAGTCTTCAGAACACGAATTTATGCTAACGTTTTCTTATGCTAACGTTTTCTTGAAAAAGACATTTTGATCCTGTCCTACCATCCCTCAGGTGTTGAAGGAGACCAGCTGCCTCCCGCAAGGACTCTCCTTTCCCCAGAAAGGACGGAGAAGAGGCAGCCAGGAAGGCAGAAAGGAGACCTGCGCTGCAGCCGAGGCACCACGCAACTTGCCCAGGGCTGTGAGGGCCGGCACAGAGGATGCTCATGGAAGCGCCAGGCCACCTCGGGAGGGCTTCCCCTCGGGGGCTGGAGAAAAGCAGGGCTGCAGAGCCAAGCCTTCCGTCTGGACGAAGCCCACCCCCCCAAGTCAGGCAGGTGCCCCAGAAGCCAGAGGCTGCTCGGATTGAGGGGCCCTGCGTGATCTGGAGACCCCGCCCTGGAAAGCAGGACAGCCAGATCCAGGCAGGCCACCGGTGGCTGGCCAGCAAAACTCCAGAGGGCTGCTGTGTGTGTGTGTGTGTGTGTGAAAATGCCCCAATGGCAGCCCAGGACTGACTGCAGGAGGACAAGGCAGCGACCCACATGCCCCGGGAGTGTGTGTGTATGTGGGGGGGGGAGTGTGCCAAGAAGGGGAAAGTGCAGCTGAGCAAAGCAGACTGTACCATGCTGTCGGTAGATGGGGGGTTTCCTATAGATGTTATCTTTTATTCCAGTCTCTGAGGAAAAGGAAAGAAAAAAAGGAAAGAAAAAAACAAGCAATGGAAACCGGATTTCTCTGTCTGGAAGCCCTCCCGCCCTCTTCCCCACCCGTCTCAAGCAAGGGCACTGAACTGGACTCCACCTTCTTCTGGGGGGGGGCAGTGCCACTTTCTTTCCCACGGAAGGAAGGACCGGCTTCCCTGGAGCCCCTCACCTTCCCCCTTCACGGAGCAGAACATTGGGATCCAGGCCAATGGGAAGCTCACTGTTCTTCCCTTCCCTTCCTTTCTTCCTTCCTTCCTTTCCTTCCTTCCCTCCCCCCCTCCTTCCTTCCTTCCTCCCTTTCCTCCCTCAATCTCTCCCCCAGCACCAGCCTCTCCCTGTGACAGAGAGAGGAAGGAGGGTGGGGAGAGACGGAGGTGAAATTCTCCTATTAAAAAGCCAGCTTGGGACACCGCTGACTTCAACTGGGGAATCTGCAAACTCCAGGACTTCTCTGTTTTTTACTCCTTGTTAGCAAAGGAACAGATGCTGGAGAATTATTTTCCCTGCAGATGCTTCCAGAAGGGCTTTTCACCAGTGAGAGGGTTTCTGAAGAGATGGTTCCACAGAAACATGCCATTTATTCTAAAGAAAATCTTATTTTAGATCTTATACAACGTAGGCATTTTTGTTCATTCTGCCTCTCACTACCCAGCAGCCCCCCTGTCCGCCTGTAGGACGCTGCAGAGGGCCCCAAGGGAGGATGAGAAAGGAGTCGTGAATCCTACCTGGAATATGAAAATGTTTGGGTGCCTGCGGGTAGAGAGAGGACGCAGATCTGCTGTCTGAGCAGAGGGATAAGCTTGGGGTGCTCCGGCCACTTTCACTGCCTCCAAGGGGAAGAGCACAAAAATGGAAAAGGAAAAGAAAAAGCATATAAAACAAAACAAAAAAAATGGCAAGCAAAATAGATAAAATTCAATAGAAAAAAAAAGCTTCTTTCAAATAACTTGTTAATCCAACAAATATTCACGTAAAACACTTTGGGACTCATATTTCAGCCCTGGCTCTGATTCTGGGGCCAAAAAGCTTGAATCGGTCTCAGAATTATCTCTCCAATAAATGAAGATGTGGGACTATCAAGTCACGGATTCACAGGGCCAAAACACCGCCTTCAGAAGGGCTACTGTGCCTGCTTGTTTCCCCCGAACATCTGGAAGGAACCCATCATTCTGGGACGCCAGGGGGATTCCTTGATCGCCATCCTCTGTCTCACCAGGCAAAGCCTGTAGCTGGAAGACCCCACGCATGTGATGAGCTCTCTGGACAGGTCTCCCCCCCTCTCTCAAAAAAGCCCCCTCCCTCCGGCTGCTCTGCTCGGCCTTTTGGGCACGGCCGGCCCACCACTCGGCTGCACAACTCAGCGTCCCCCCTCTCCGATGTGACAAGCAACGGCTCGTCTCCTGGCTCTTTTCAAAGGGGGTCTTAAGGGGCCCCGCGAAGGAAGGCCTCCCCTGGACGGAGCTGAAAGACTCTTTAGGCAGGACGAAAAAGCACAAGGTGCAGAAGCATCATCACAGCTGCTTCTGTGTGTGAAATAACTTGCTATGTTTGGTAAGGGGCGAGTGGGCTGCAGCTGAGGGTCCCCTGCAGTTTCACGGCTGCCAGCAAGAAACTCAGACCATCAAGGACCCAGCGTGACTCAGGGTCAGGATGTGGGGGGAGGGGTGAGGGAAGAGGATGGTGGGAACCACTTTCAGCAAAGCTTCCTTTCTCTGACCTGGTACCTATTCTGCTCCCTCCGTTCTTGCACTCCCCCCCCTCCTGTTTCCAGGTCCAGGGTGGCCCATCAGCCATAGGAAGGGGCACCGAAGGAGGCACCAGCAAGGGGGCACCCGGTGTGAGAAGGGTGCTTGTGTGCGTCTTAAGGGGAAAGGGCCAAAGGGCAGCGACCCTCTTGGGAAGGCCATCCCTTGGCAGGGGCCTCTGGCAGATCGGATGCAGGGATCAGGGGAAGGGCTTCTGGGATCCGCTTCGGTTCTGGGATCCCAGAGGCCACTTGTGGCTTTGTTCTCCTCTAGGTAGAGCAGGTCAGGTGGACGGCTGCCCACCCAGCTTCAGGGCATTCCTAGCCCAGCTCCTCCTCCTCCTCCTCCTCCTGCATTTGGCTGAGGTCATCCAGGGTCTCAAATGGGCCCCCAGAGCCCTCCCCTTGTGTCTGATCACAAGCACTGACATCGAAGCTAGCAAAGCCCCTTCGGCCCACAGCAACCGGCGGAGACGCGGGGAGGCCGAAACAGCCTCTGCGATGCTACAGCGACGAACGGCAAGAGATCCCTGCCTCAGTATCCTCGTCCTGGCCAGTTCTCCAAATCCCCACACAAATTCTGCGTCTGATCCTGCAAAGTCTCTTTATTTCCATGAGGGTTTTTTGGGTTTTTTTTTTTTACCCAAACAGTGACAAAACCTGTTTAAAATAATGCAACATGGTTTATCAAATTTAAAAAGTTTTGCCTTCTGTAACCGTTCTGTTCTCGTGGAGGGCCTGGGCTGGAAATTAAAGTGAGAAAGGACTCACAAACGTCAGGAGAAAAAATACGCCACACAGGCACATGCAGACACACAAGGCATGGAGCACACAGCGGGAGATGTCCACAGGCACCACAGCACATTCCTGAGCCTTACCTTTGAAGAAGGGGACGTAATGATGTCTGAATGCGGAGGGAAGGCTGGGGTAGGTGGGCAGGGAGATGCAGCTACTGGTACCAGGGGTCTCGGTACCAGCTGGGGGGGCAACAGAAAGTTCAGTGAAAACAAACTCGCTCTCTCACTTGCTAGAAAGTTCGCACAAACACATCTTTCAATGCACGCAATGCGTGTTTTCCCGTGGCTCTGGCGGTTCCCAGCATCCCAGTCAGACTGCCATCCTGGCAGCAGGCAGCGCCCCAGACCGGCCGGTTTCTCAGGCCAAGGACCCCAGGAGCCCCTCTGCTCTGCACCCAGGACAAAAAGCCCCTCTGCTTCAGTAGGAAGTGCACCCCAAAGAAAAGGGGTGGTCTAGGTCCTGCCCCCTTCCTTTCCCAGTCTGGACACAGCCCACCCGCTTCCTGGCAGGGCCCTCCTAGCTGGAGCCTTGTTCTCCTGCCCAGTGCAGGGCTTCCCCATTATCACTACTTCTGCCAGTCAGGGTGTCCATAATTAATCTCAATTGTGCAGCAATGCATTGGTTCAAGTCACAGTAAGCAACGGTTACTTGAACAGACCACAGTGGCATAGTTCAGACGTGACCATTATGGGGGTGTGCAGCCTGAAAGAGATTTGGAAATTGTCCCATGGATCTCATGTGCACACAGCACCTCTTTGCTAACCAATAAAACAGCCATCCCCCCCCCCCCCGGCTTTCCTATGAACCTGAAAAAAGATGTGGCTGCTTTAAGGAGGAATCTCCTTAAACCAATGCAAGTCTTGAAGCGCTCTGGAGCCTGAAAAGAGGCTGCTTTAGCAAGGAGCAGCTGCTGCTCACACCAGGGGGTCTGCAACAGAAATGCCCACGTAGCCATAAACCATGTCTTATCAGCACAGTCCCTAGGCTGATACATCACCCTAAACATCCAACCCCATAAAAGGGAAACAAGCACCCAAAGGCATTCATGTTTTGCACCATGTGTAAAATCAACCTTATTTAGTGGATGAAAAGAAAAACCTTAATCTTAAAATTAATGTGTCAGGGTGTAATATGTGCAGGGCACAGCAGGGTCCATCTTAATACCCATTAGTACATTTTGATTTGAATTTCAAAGGGAGACCGTATTAAAGGCTCTTTACTAGCCACAGGAAAGCAGTAACTAAACCGTGCTATTATTCCTTTAGGACTTGGAAGAAAAACTACTTATCCCCAAGGTCACTCAGGACCACGGCCATCAAGTCCGTGAACACAGGTAAGTGTCAAACTCATGGCTTATTTGGGAAACGTCAACCACACCAGCCAGGGCACAAACGCCCTTCAGACAATATCACAAAAGCCCAAACGAAGTGCCAGGAATGGGGCCTCCTCTTACCAAGGGTGTGTGTGTGTGTGACAGAGAGAGAAAGAGAGGGGGGGGGGGAACGTGAGATGCTGAGGTAGCCGTGCTGGAGCGAGCAAGGAGGTCTAGCCAGTTGTCAGCCATGGGTGACATCTCCAGTCTCCAAGGGCCACTCCTGGCAATTTGGCCAAGAGGAGAGCAATCTTACATTGAAGGTCCCCCCCCTCTGGCGGAAAAGCCAGGCCCACATCAGGGGCATTGTGACCCTCTAGAGCAGGGGTCCTCAAACTTGGCCACTTTAAGACTTGTGGACTTCAACTCCCAGAACACCCCAGCCAGCCATGGGAGTTGAAGTCCACAAGTCTTAAAGTGGCCAAGTTTGCGGACCCCTGCTCTAGAGGGTCCAGCAGAGCTGACTGTGGAGAGAGAGGGGTGGGATACACAGCATGGCTTTGGCCCAATGGCAGCTCTCCTTTGGCACATGGGCTCCGTGAATGTGCACAGGCTTAGGAAAGGGGCGGGGCCTGCGTCACCATGCCACAACATGAGAGTGAAAGAGGCGGGGCTCCTGCCAATCTCAGCAGGCCAAACACAAAAACATGCAAACATGCAAACAAACAAACAAACAAAAAGCACAACTCAAAGACCGGTCCTTCCTCTGACTGCTCCATCAGTGAAACTGGTTCTTTTTTTTTTTTTTAAAGCCAACTTTCTCACCAATCTGTGGATAAATGTGCTAAAAATAGAAATAAAATGGCCCCGAAGGTTATCCGAGAGCACTTCTGCGGCACACCACAGAGTGAAGGTCTTGGCTCAGGAGGGAATTTGTAGTGTGCGCATGGGAGGCTTTAGCACTCTCGTCCATCGACCCATCCAGACAGCTGGACTTGAGAGAGAGATCCAGAAAACACAAATTTTGACGCGTGGCAGAAAAGCATGAGTGACAGCTGTCTCCCCAGCGGGCTGGGGGCAGGGAGAGGACCACATCTGTAAAGGCCCACTTGGATTAGCTGGCTCTGCCAATCAGGCTCAACTATTCGGAGCTCTCGAGCGCCCCAGCCCTCCAATGCAGGTCACGAGGAGATGCCGCCAGCCCCTCGGGGAGCAGCCGGCCGGTGCAGTGGGGCTGGCGTTACCCCCAAGACCCCCCTCTCTGCGGCCTACGCCTTCCAGTCAGCTTGGTTAGTTGGAAAAGGGGCTACTGAGCTCCTCTCAGTTTTGGAAATACAGAAAAGAGGCAAATGTCAGAAAAAAGTCCCATCCCAGAAGCATTTCAGAAAGCCTGCTTGCAAATAAAATGATGTGCCCCCCCCCCCGAGGGTCTCAAAGACGGATCCTCCTGTGGAAAGGGAGTGCCTGGCACGAGGACATTTCTCACTGGCAGAGGGCCCTCTCCGCCCCCTCCCCCCCCAAGACCCTCAGCTCTGCCTGGAAAACCGAAAGCCACCCCCCCTCCTCCTCGCACTGCCTTTCCCAGGTCTCAGCCTCCCTGTGTGAACGTGTTCTGGGTCTTTTGCTAGGGGATCCGGCCTGCCTCTCAGCCCAGCCAAACCAAGAGGGCAGCACCCTGGAGAGCAGGTTAGGGGATTTGCCCCCGCACTCCACCCTCTCGGAGCAGGCCGGTGGTTTGGGTTCAAGGTTCTCCCCTCGGCCAAGGGCTCTGGCAGAATCCTGAAGCTCAGCCTCTTCCACCCCTGTTTCTTTCTTCAGCCTGTTGGGCTTTTCCCAGCCTTCGCAATTCTCCAGCGCTTCCTCAGCAGTTTTAAAGAAGGGGAAGGCGATTCATCCCTTACTTTCATCCAGAACAAGACACGAAATAAACAAACAAAGAAACTGAAAGGCACACGTATGTCTCCTGTCTTATTAAAAACGTCCGTAATTTTCTTCTATAGAGAAAGGCGTTCAAGGTAATTGCCCTCAAGGGCCGGCTTTCTCACACTCTCCGTTTGCTCACAAAGGCTGCATTAGGTGGGCATGGCTGCGGTGGTAACAGCAGACTGGGGGAGGGGCTAAAAAGTTCAATCAATCAATTCCAACTTTGCAAGATCTTTTTTTTTCTCACGAGAAGTTGAAATTGACTGATTGAATCTTTTTTTTTTTTTTTTTTTTGCACACGGTGGCGGAGACCTAAAGTGAAAAGGTTTTATAAAACCCAGCTGAAGGCCCAGGACTGGGGCGACGGCGTGCGTGCTCACAGAGAGGGCTCCGAGTGCCACCTCTGGCACCCGTGCCATAGGTTCGCCACCACTGTTCTAGCCAAAGGCATACAAACACATGCAGATACACCAGAAAAATATAAATATCTTTGGCAAAAATGTCTATGTTTTGCCTTTCCCCTAAAAAATACCATAGATGGATAATAAAATCAGTCCCAGACAACTGCCAAGCATGACAATGGCCAGTCAACTCAGGTGTGTTTATCCACAGGCCTTTCCGACACCCGGGACCCGTTTGAATGGCATTAATTTTTCAGAAGGAGGCAGCCCAGGGAATCCCCAGCCTCCCCCCCAGAAAAGCAGAGGCCACGGCGGAAGAATTGCTCCCTGCTCCCTACTGCTACGTGGCTTTTCTCCTTCCCTGGAGAGGCCTGGAGGCCAGGGATACGGGCTGCTGCTGGTCAGAAAGGGCTCCCTGAGAGGGCTGTCCGACCGTGCTTAAAGCCTTCCGGGCCACACCGGCCCCCCAGTCTGGGATGGCTTGGCTACCCGCTCCGGAAGAGGGAAAGGGGTCTCTTCCGGGGGAGGAAGGACGATGGGCCTCAGCCTGCCGGGCCTCTTACCTGCTCGGCTGAAATTCGGAGGCGAAGCGCAGAGAGGCGTGGTGCGCCCGTAGCCCAGCGAGCTGGTGGAACTGGGGCTCGAAATCCGGCCCGGCTTGAGGGGCTGGTCCTCTTGGTCACCCTGTGAAGAAGGCAGGGAAGGTGGACCTATTTTTACGCCGTCAGGAGAGGGAAAGGCAGCCCTGCCCTCGGCAGCCGTCCTGAGGTAGGCAACGTTCCTTTCTTGGGACTGTTTGCCCTGAGCAGGAGGTTGGATCCCACAATTTTGTGATTTTAGTTTTAGAAAAAATGCGAACTTTCATCTCCCCCCTCAGGAAGCAAAAGATACGAAACAAATGTGGCACTTAGGCCGGACTGTGGTGTAACGGACAGGGCTTTGCGCTGAACTCGAGTGTTCACACCTGCCCCGTGAAAGGGCGTGAACACCCGAGCAGGAGAGGAAACCGAGACTGGAGTCCCAGTGCAACGGGCGCTGCTCCAGACCCGCAGGGACCGGCAGTACCTCAACGTAGTAGCTGGGCCGGTCGCTGGCCGAGTGGCTGATGTAGGGAGAGTAGGAGATCATGTCTGGGCGGTCAATGTTGTAGATGGCCTTGTTCTTAGGGAGGGCGGCCAAGTCCCGGTAGTCCAGGATTTCCTCCCCGAGCTTCGCCTGAACGAGAAGAGAGAAGGACGGAAGGTAGCAGCTTCCTTGACAAAGTGCAAAAGGGAATAACAAAAATAATAATAAAAAAATCCTGGCTCCTTACAATGGATCCCCCAGAGATTTTAGAGAACTTACAGTGTGAAATTGCCAACAGCAAGAGAAAAGAAAATGAAACTTTTTCCTGAAATAGCATCTATTTCTAAGAACAGGAAAATAGCTAACGTACAGTAGTAGCTTCCGTTTTAAAAAGGGATTGGGGAAGGTTACTGGAAATGATCACCAGTTTGCTTAAGAGCCATTCCAGGACGGCCCTCGTGGGGTGGTATCGGCCCCCTCAGAGGCAGAGCGGGCCAGAAGGAAGGCCAGAGCTAGGCCTTTTATGGAGATGGGCTACACAAATGCAGCCTTGCCAATCTGATGATGCTTTAACCTTCCTCCTCCTCCTCCTCCTCCTCCTCCTCCTCCTCCTCACGGCCCAGGGACCCGTGAGGGAGGCCTCTGCCCAAGCGGCTCCCGACCGTCCTCTGGCTTCCAGCTCTTGAAGAAGGGAGGAAGGCTCTGCCTGCCCCCTCCACCTTGCTCCAAGGGTCCCCTCACCCCCACAGCCTCTCCCGTGATTGTGGTCCCTTCTCTGAAACAAGGCCGTCCGATGGGCCTGCCTCAGCAATGGCCTCCCACCAATGTCCGGCTAGCCCCGAGGCGGCCGGCCCTCCGAACGGTGGAACGAGCTCTGGGGCCAGGATGGTGGGCATCCTTGCCAGGGCAGGCCTAAGGCATATTGGTGTTCCCAATTGGCTACTGCTTCTTGTCACTCTGACTTTGACTGTGATCATGGGAGTTCTTTTTATTTTCTTGTTTGAGTCCAGATATTGGACAGCTGTCTGAGCTGGTCAGCCACACAAGTGTCTTACATAAATGCAAGCCCTCAGATGTGGTTGTTTGGATGCAACGAACTATCATGTTTGGTGGTCCTGTAAAAATATAAAGGCTTTTTGGATTAAGATTTGGTGGAACATTCAAAGATTTTTTAATAGAAGGATAAAATTTACACCACAATTGTTTTTGTTAGGCATTATTGTTGATTGTGATGATAAAGAAATTATTTTAATGTTGAATTTAATTACAGCGGCAAGGCTGCTGATAGGGCAATACTGGAAGAAGGAGTTTTTGCCTACTTTAGAAGAATGGTTTCTTAAAGTTTCTTATTTATCTGAAATGGCAAAAATTTCAGGCTTATTTGAAAGATTAATCGCAAGAGAAATATTTTTTGGTGTGGAAAAGATGGGTGAATTTTATACAGCACAAATATGAGATTAAAAAGTATTACTTAGCTTTTGAATAATTTATGTTTAAGGTAACGACTTGAACTATTGGTTTGTTTTGTTTTTATATATTGGAGTTAAAGTATTTAAAAATTTGTTTTTTTGAATGTATTTATAATTGTTTGATGTTTATTCAAGTTGTAAGGTTTTTTTTTTTAGTTTTTATTAACCCTGTATTCAGCTCTGGGAAGGAGGGGGGAGGGTATGGGGGGAAGGGGAGGGTGGGAGAGGGGGACTATTTTATTGTAAAACTGTAAAAATTTTCAATATAAAAAAATAAAAATAAATGCAAGCACTCCACCTCACCAAACCCAGAGGCTCCTCCCAAAGAACTCCGGGTGACGATCCCTTACAAATAACCGGTTTTCTAAATGGTTGTATTCTGAAAAATTCCTACTTTCCCGTTTTTTGTTTTGTTTTTTGTTTTGCATTTTACCCACGGCTACGTACATAAATTATTCGACTTGGGGAACCTGATGTACTTGAAGGAGGCACCGAAATTATGCTTTCAGATGATGTTCGGGTTTCCTGCAACTGAAAACAAATATAGGTATGAATTTTGTAACATATCTATTTTTGTAAAAATACCTTAAAAGCCTCCTGCTTACAGATAAACTTTGCCCTAAAATTAGCGGGTAAAGGGCTCAATTACTTCAAAACTGGAATTTTTTTAACCAACTAGTTTTATAACCAACCATTTTTAGTTCTAGCAACACGAGGAAAATAAGAATTTCACTCCATAGGAAAGGTCCCTCCTTCACTGCCCCATTTCCATTTTCCTCTTATTTCTCATGTCCGGGATCACGCAGGAAGCAAAGGAGGAGAGCCGGATCACTGGATCTATGCAAGCCAAAAATCAAGGAATTTGAAAAAGTGCCACCATCTTGATAGGAGCCTTCTGGGCCAAATGCTCCCCGTCTTGTAAACAACACACCGAGGACATTCCAGGACATTCTTTGATTCTGTCCACTCACCTGATCCTTTTTTTACCTACTTCTCTCAACCTTTCCAGGTGCAGTCATTTTTTTCCTGGTCCATCCCCCACCACCTAGCAAAGTCCAATACGTCAGTTTCCGTTTGCTGATTCTCAGCTCCAAGAGTCTCCAGTACTGACCCAAAGGTGCTTTTTTTCCCAAAGGGCAACTGGACTCTTTTGATTTTTCTTTGAAAATGTTTCGCTTCTGATCCAAGAAGCTTCTGCACTTCAGAACTGAAGAAGCTTCGTGGATGAGAAGCAAAACGTTTTCAAGCAAAAAACCCCAAGAAAGTCCAATTGCCTTTTAGAAAAAAAAAAAAAGCACCTTTGGGACAAGCACCATGACCTGGATGACGGAGAAACGCCACAAAGACTCGCTGTCCCTGGTATTCTTGATCTCCTGGAGTCTGCTATTTTCTTTTCCAGCTCATACATTTTATTTAAAGGGAGAAAGTGCAGCTCATCAAAACTTATGCCTATAAATAAACTGTGTGAGTCAGAAACAGACTACCCCTCGTTTTTCGCTAGCATGGGAGCTACAGGGACTCTCCTCTTAGTAACCGTCTCCAAATCCATCGCTCAAAGGAACATTTTTCTCACAATTATCTCACTTGCACAGTTGCACAACTTCCTTTGACTAGTTGTAGACTAGATGAGACGTACGAGAGTCTGCCCAAGAAGACCAGACAGGAAACATGATGAGTGGTGAGCGAATTCTACTTCATCGTAAAGCCACATTAACAGATGCTTGCAGACTTCCCACCACCATTTTTAACTTCCTAAATTTCTTCCTCTGACCTTTAACTCCCCCCCTCTCTCGTTTGATTGTTTCCTAGGCAACATCTCTTTCCCTCGTCCCCCAAGGTCTTCACCCTCAGGTTCCCTTTCAAAATGTCCCCATCCTTTATCTTGGCTAAATCTATACTTGCCTTTCTTTTGCCCGTCTCCTCTTGAACTGAAGAAAGAAAACAACAACACTGCCCCCTTTCCTTTACTCATCACTAACTCTGAGCACGGAGGCTGCTGCTCTTAACATTTCATGGTCTGCATCCTTTTCACCTTCCCTTTTTCCGTTCGGGAGACGCTCTTCTCTTTCACTTTCCAAACGGTTAGAGAGGATGGGGACAAGACCCATCCCAGTAAAAAGTAAGGTCTCCCTTGAGTGTTTAACTCAGTTTATTCAATTTATGGTCATGACTTACAAAAGAAAGAGAAAGAAAAGGTATGTCTTCCAGATAAAATATAGCTTTGAAGCCAGGTTAAAAAAAAAGATACTAAAATTCTTTCTAGGAACAGTACATTTCTCTTGCAAGGTCAGAATTTGGCTGCTGATCCTGAACATGGCAAAATTCAGCCCCTGCCAGCCATGTGGGCTTGTACCGAGTGGCCAGTGGCGGTTAGACAGAAGGGCAGTTTATACCTCCTGCGATGCCCACTGGACCAGGTGTTTCCAGCCTCTCTGCCCCAAAGGCTGCAGAGCAAAGTGTGACTTAAGAGTTCCAGGGCACTCCAGGCACAAGGACATCATCCATCAGTATGAGGAGAATCCCCTTTGGATTCTCCTGCCAGGACAGCAACAGGCAAAGCACCACAGAGAACCAACAGGGAGACGCTTCTAGATTTGCGTATGGTCCTGTGCCTCCAATAGTTTCCCCACCCAGGAGCAGAGCTGCCTAAAAAAGGGAGGCTGAATTCGTTTGCCACTCTAAGCCCAGGATCCAAAAACCTCTTGCTTTGCCTGCCTGTTTATGGGGTGGCAGAAGTTTCACAAGATCACCCAGTGGAATGCGTTCCTTTCCCAGGTGGGCTGGAGGGATGGGCCAATGCAGGGGGGATCAATCAGTCCAACCAGGCCAACCAGGAGGGAGGCTGGGCTCTCCACGGCCTTGGTAGAGCTGTTAGAGGGAGGGGCATTTAGACTCTCCTCTTTCCACAGAGGCCCAGCTGCAATGCAACCCAGCTTGGCCTCCACGCCACAATGGGGGAACCACCTTCAATGGCTCTGGAAAGAAAGAAAAAGCACCCCCAGTTTGACAGATGTGAGTTAGGGCGATGGCAGTCCCGGGAGTGGAGCCTGGAGATTCCCAGGACATTTCCTCATTGCTTTCTCGGAGGAAAATGGAAAGTTCTGCCAGCGTTGCCTCAAAGAGGAGGTTCTTTTGAGCTCCCGGCTGGTGGCTGGGGGATTTCTGGGCAGCTAGGAAGAGGCGGCTGGATGCTGCCCTGTGCTCTGAGAAAGACGTCCAGCAGGATATAAAATAAGATCCAGCCGGGCCCCCTTACCTTGGCCTTTTCTTCACCTTTGGCTGCCTGCCTACAGGCTGGGTGCCAAATAGAAGATCCTGAAAACAGAATTAGAGTCTCAGTTAGCTGTTTGTCCAAGTTTTTTCTTCAGCCTTCTGCCTACAGACGACAAATGACCGCTTTACTGGACGGTTCTGCCCAGCCACGGATTACAGAGGGGAGCCCCCTTCAGACCCAGCCCTGCCCTCCTTCATGGGTCGCCCTCCTTGCAAACATCCCCACAGCTTTTCTTCGGGGTGGGGGCTTCCCTCCAACTCCTGGCCAGTCTGACCTTCCATCACTCAGGCGGATGCCGCCATCTAGCTGGACAGCCAGGAATTAAACAGGGAAGGTTTCATTCCTCTGGAGTTGGGGTGAATGTGCTAAACCAAGTTCAGAGGGAAGGGTGATGTCTCCACGTGTGAGTTAATTATTTGCACGATTCTAAGTATGGGACAATGTTTTGATCCTTTCAGTATCACGGTCACCGGACACACAAAGGTCATTTGGGTATTACTAAGCAACCAGCAGCAGCTTTTTAGAAACACAATGGGACAACTCGCTGTAGTGAGCTGCCCGCAGTGAGTTGGCCGCAATGAGCTGGCTACGGCAAGTTCAGGAATTCTGGGAGTTGAAGTCCATGAGTCATAAAAGAGCCAAGGTTGCCTACCCCTGTCCTAAATATACATTGTACATATATTTTTTGGGGGGGGGAATCACAGCCCGTTTATTCAGTTATTTTTTAGACTATTTCCCTTACTGAAAGTGAATGATCCCAGTGAAAGCTCTGTCTGGCATTGCGTATGAAACAAAAACCTTGCAAACTGGCTGTCCCTCCTGCTTAAGAAGCCCCAGAGCCAGCTGTTGCAGACTGGAGGACAGCTCTTCTGGCCACCCCGGAAGTGGTTTGCATTCAATATACAGCTCCTCCTCGCTACTGGAATTGTTGAGACAGTCTCCCATTTCTCAAGGGTGCTTTTTTCAAAAGGCAACTGGACTGTTTTTTCTTTGAGGAAGAAGACAATGTGCTTCTTATCCAAGAAGCTTCATCACTTCTGAACCTTCATCGGTCAGAACTGGTGAAGCTTCTTGGATGAGAAACAAAATGTCTTCTTCCTCAAGGAAAAAACAGTCCAGTTGCACCCTGGAGACAACCGTGACTGAGAATCATATTTAGCCTCCCATTTCAAACACAAACTAACCGTCCTGAACTCCTGACAGGATATCTCGAGGTTGGAATATCTGGAATCGGATGAGAAACATTTGCCCACCCCAAATGCCAGTCAATTCGCAGGCCTGGCTGTCCGAGGGGTTGGTTTACCTTGAAGATACATCTCCTCCCCTTCGGCGAACATCTGGCTGCACCTGTCACAGCAGGCACAGGTGGGGTGGTAGTGCTTTTCTCCAGCCTGGGGGAGGGGGGAAGTAGTGAATGTGAACATAATCACGGAGGGCACAATCACTTCCTGTCCCCTGAAGTGCGAGGCCAGTTGTGTTAAAGAGCCGACTCGCAAGTCACACATAAAACTGCTTCCGCCTGGCTTCAGGGAAGAGGCAGCTTTAAATATGTGAAAAGATCCTAAATACTCCCGGTTTACTTCACAGCGGAGATACAGTCACAACCTTGCTTTACAAAAGAAAATAAAAAGGCTGTAACTAGTAATTTATCAAACAGATGACAAAATGTAAAAAAAAAAATCTGCTTTACAGTTTTACTGTGTTTTGAAATGATGATTTTTGTGGGTTTCCCCCCCCCAGGCTTGTCACTGCTTGCGTTTCCCTGTCTCTTCTAGTGGCACTTCATAAAATCTATGATCTCTTCCAGCAGGTGCCTGGCCAGTTCCTTTCCACACGCCCTGCCCAGTTTCTTCCACCAGTTGCAGTAACTCTTCTGCCTGTGATTGATCTTTCGGCTTTAAATAGAAGGCTGGATTTAGCCTGAGCTTTGCATATAAGCACCCGCTGCCTGCCGGGTTTGCCATGGTTGAACAACTCCCCCCCAGGGGATAAAAATCCATCTGAGGCCTTAAAGTCACTTCCTCCCATAGGAGCAGGGTAAGAAATGAAATTACACGATCATGAGTGGGGCACTTCCTTTCCAGAGGGGAGGAAGGGCGTGGGGCAGAGAGCCTGCTGCCCTGAGCAGATGGACGCCACCGGGCTCAGGTTTTCAGGATCTGTCCTCCGTTCTCTGCTCCAAGTTTTAAAAGGGGGCTTTTAAAGTTCTAGCCTGGATTTTAAAAGTGAGAAAAGCGGGGAGGGGGGAGGCAATCAATGGAGTCTCAGGCAAGGGAACCCCCATCATCCCCTCGGCCAGATTCCGTTGCTCGCCTTCCTTGAAATCCTGCAGTGTCCAAGAAGCAGGTCTGACTGGAGAAGGAAGAGCAAGAGAACTATCCAAAATAAAGATGTCTGCCTCGAGAAACAGGGTCTCTCCTGATTTTTAAATGACATTAAACAAAGCTTCTGCTACTGTGATGGAATGTGGCCTGGATTCCCAGGAGGGAGGGACTGCTTTGGGAAGTTTGGGTGGCAGGAAGAGTGTTAAGAAGCCTCTTCTTGCTTCACTCCAGCAAGATCCTGTAGGCGAAGAACAGTAAAGGAAACTACTCCGAAGTAACTCCATGTGTCGTTCTTGGGGCCCGACGGGTACCTCACGAGTCAAACTCTGCTGCTTTTTTCCTGCTGCGCCTTTCTTTTAGCCTCGCCTTACCTCCAAAACTCTGCCGGTGATAAACTTCCCACAACGGTCACAGTGGATCCCAAAGGTAGCGTGATAGTCTCTTTCGCAGTATGGAACGCCATCCCTGCAGGGGAGAAAAGATCACGGCCACGCAGCACTTCAGAAGAACAGCTGGCACTACCCAACCTGCACCCCCCCCGCAAGGTGACCGAAGGGGGCCCCCCACTTACTTGCTGATGTACTCCCCGGTGAGCAGCTTCCCACAAGCCTTGCACTTGAAGCAGGCCAGGTGCCAGTGCTTGTCCAGAGCCACCAAGGACTGGCCGTTCTTGATTTCGGAGCCACAGTTCCCGCAATCTGTGAAGAGGAAGTCAAACCTCCGGAAGCTGCACCTGCCACACCCACCAGGCCTTGCAGGGGATCCGACAAGACCGGCCTGGGGGCAGCCTCACAGCTGGACAATTAAGAGCCCCTTCAGGTGTGTGTGTGTCCCTGTCTGGAAGATCAAGCCGAGCAGGCTGAGGGGGTGTCCTGGGGCTCCACCACCGAGCAGCGATTCACATCGTGAACTGGGCCCAGAGCCAGGGATCAGCAATCAGGATCCATCCTATTCTCACCCAAACAGGGAGGAATCTGGCTGGCATAGGCTGCCTCCATCAGCAGCACCACGTCCCGCACATTGCAGGAGGCCAGCCAGAGGTTGAAAAGGTACTCTGGGCACCGTTTACTTAACATCAAACTGGAGGCTCCAGAGGCAAATATTCAGGGAGGATATTTTCCTCCAGCTATTAAAAGCAGCCGCTTCGCAATAGATTCCTAAAGATAACGACTTACTTCGGAGGGATGGAAAACTGGCACCAGCAGGGGGCAGTGAACATTTCTGGCAGATGCACTCCTTGCCATTGAAAGTCACCCGGTCCCCAGGAGGAAACGGCTGCCTGCAGAAGGATGTAGAAACGGCATCACTAAAGGGGTCTTCCGGCTCTCTTTCCCCTTTGTCTCCCCTCCCTTCAATCTTTTCCCCCGTGGAAATCCTCTGCAGAAGGGGTCATTTTCCTCCACAAACATTCCTTCACTCCCCTTCTCAGTCACCCGGATGACTCTTGCTTGTGGCTGCCCTTCAGATCAGACCAACATTTAACCGTCTTTGCGCAGACACACTGAAGGGCACAATGTTCACTTTCTGAAGGGGTATATTTTACACAAACCACATGAGCTGGAATGAGAAAGCTATAAAGGGTCATTCTCCAAGAATCTGAGAAGCTGCCTGGACCTCTCTCGACTAGCACGAAGTCTGTTCTGTATCAAGCAAGGAGGCTGCTGCTACCTATTACTTGATACGGGCAGATTAACTCCACGGAAAGGCTGCATGCAGATTACTTTAATTCACCAGGCATTCTCCAAACATTAATTTACAGTTACTGTAGAGATCCTTCTGAAATACAGGTCATAATCTGGACCCATCACGTAGTTAAAAAAGGATAGCTTCTTCCATGCTAACGAAGCAAACAGATCTTGTGGCTGGACTTCATAAAGACCTCGCTGGCTGGCACGTAGCCAGGAAATCCGGTACCTAATCTGAAGTCCCTCCCAGTGGCCAGTCCGAATACAGATATGACCAGGTAACTTAAACTACATTACCCAGAAGGCTATCCCTTAAGGGGAGAGTTCTTAATTCCTAAGAGAGCTATACACTCTGACCAGCACAAAGTCTCTCCAGAACTCTTCTAGGTCTTATCCAAAGCAGGGATGGAGAAGGACACAAGAAATCCCCACCATCACCCCCAAACAAACAGCCTGGAGGACTGGACATCATCAGTCACAGGCGGGAAATCAAAGTTTCTCCTCCTCTGAGATTTGGGGAATTCTGATGTGTTCCCAAAGGCTGCAGCCGAGTGGACAAGTTTTCAGAGGAGAGAGAGAAAAAAAGGAGCATCTCAAAAGCTGAGAACCAGAGCAGAAAAAAGTTTTCTCCAAAGACCTCCGAGACCCCCAGTTTCGCAATCTGGGAGAAAGAAAGTCGAGCAATTCGGAGAGACAGTCACCTTCCTGATTTCACTAATCAACAAAGGCCGGCATTCTGCCTGCATCCCAGCCCCTTTCTCTCCTGGCATTAAATGGGATTATTAACACCCTGGGCAATTCCGGCCTCTCCGGTTGTTGAAGGTTTGACAAAGAGGCCAGAGGCTGTTGGGCTGCCTCTCTCCCTTCTAGAGGGTGTGTGGGGGGGGGAGGGGAGGGTTCTGGGATTACAGGGACAAACAGATCTGGGCGGCCCTTGAGGCTCACAGCACTTGGGAGCCATGTTGGGCCCCTGGATGGAGGCTTCCGGCTTCCCCATCAGCAGAGGATCTGAACTGGAGTGAAGCCGGTTCTTGGATGGCGCCCCAGGTTCTTGTCCGCTGCCCTGGACACTCTCTGGAGCAGCCCCAGGGGAAAAACAGCGTGGGCCGAACCCGTTTTGGAAAGGGGAAAAGGGGGCGCCCAGGCGCCTACCTGCAGAGCACGCAGACGAAGCAGCGTGGGTGGTAGGTCTTCCCCAGGGCGGAGACCACCTCGCCCTCAATGAACTCATTGCAGCTGAAGCACCGGGTGCCGTAGAGCCGCTGGTAGTCCGAGGTGCAGATGTGATCCCCCTGCCTCACGAAGAAGCCCCCCTGGGCCAGGTCGCATCCGCAGGCTGCAAGCAAAACAGACCCAGGGAGCTGAAGCACAAAGCCTCCCTCTCCGAGGCCCCAGGCCAGGCACCGGGAGCGGTGGGGGAACAGGCCAGGCATCTGACCGTTTCCCCCTCATCCTCCTGCAGGACCCCCTGGGAACCAAACCATGGGGGGGGGAGAGGTCCCTGTCCTCTTCCAGCATCGGTCGGACTAGAAGATGTCCAAGGTCCTGGGGCCACCAGCTCACAAGGCGCTTCTCCCCACCGAGAGAAGCAGCAGCGACACCCCCACCCCAGAAATCTAAGGGACCAGCTGCTCAGGAGTCCCGAGACACACCTTTGGGTTGTTTGGAGAGCTGCCTTCATTCTTATGAACAGAGGCCGTGGCCTGTTCTGCAAAAGGGCTGCAGGTCCTCTCGTCCAGGCGCCCGCGTCCGAGCCAGAGCCCACGGCCAGCATTGCATTTCGGCCACAGAGGCCCCGTGGTAATAAGCTCTCCTGCTCCAAAGGGCCCCAACCCCCGGCATTCCTACCGAGCGGGAGCCTGTGAGGGGCACCGGGCCTTTGCAGCCCAGCTTACGCCAAGGCACAGCCGCTGCTTTGGACGCGGCGTCTCTGCTGTGCCCTCCTGGTTGGCCCTGGGAACGCGGACGCCCTGATTCTAGCTTTCATGATCCAGCAACTGTTTCCAGCCAGCCACTGGCCCGTCCCTCTCGCGCCGTGTGCCGGCTCTCCAGGATGACATTTCAGTTCTCTGGAAGGACCCTATTTTTAGATTTGCCCAGGGAGGGGTCTGCTCTGGGCCAACTGCCTGAGCCCCCCCCCCCCGCCCCCGCCAGCAATGGCCTTGTGTTTACATAGTGTTTACTATGAAGTTACCTCTTAACCCTGCAGTCTCCTCACTGGCCAATCTGTGACCGTCGCAGAATGCTTCGGTCTCCTTCTGATGTGCTCAGAAGAGGCCCCTCTTCCTTTCCCAGGAAAAGCCAAGACCAGAAAAAAATCCGATTCTCCCTTCCCTGGAAGGGTCCTGGGCCTTTCTTCGCCCGTGGGAAAACAGGACAGTGAAATTAGGGTGGGGTGTGACTGCGCCACTGAGAGTTGACACCCAGTTGCTGCTACAAACCCTGAAGGCTGAGGCTTGGGAGAGACTTAACGCCACGGAGAGGGCCTTTCCTCCCAAGCCTCGTCCTTTGTGTTTGTAGCAGCAACTGGATCGTCAACACTCAGTAGCACAGTCACACCCCACCCTAATTTCACTGTCCTATTTTCCCACGTGCAAATTATGTTTCCCTCAATTAATTTTCAGCTCTGGGGTATAATACAAATCTAAACCTCTGTTCAGAAATAAGGAACGATATAATACCCTGGCTATGCGTAGACGGGGGGGGGGGGAGGAGAAGGTTAGCATGTGTGTGGGTCAAAAAAGACCAGCGGTTGGCTGTGACTATGTGATTCCTGCATGCAATACCTGCAAAAAGGGGACAGGACCCTCCCCTAATTTAACTGTCCTATTTCCCATGTGTGAATGTCTGCAAAGCGTGCCGGTGTGCAAATTTTAGGGAGGAACATCCGGGCCCCCTTATAGCAAAATGGCAAAAAAGCTCAGTGTTCACGTCATTTTCCCACTACAGAAGTTATCGCACGTACCTTTGCAAACGAAACACTTAATATGAAAATACTTCTTCTGCACTCTCAGCACTTCTCCTTTGCACGGACTCCCACAGTTGTGGCAAAGGATGGCGGCTCCGGAGGGCGTCTCCAGGTGGCTGTGCACAGCCTGTCGCTGGGAGGCTGCTGGAAAGGGAAACGGCCTTTATTCAGAGGGTTACAGAGAAGGTGGCTTCCATCCCTGCTTTGGTCCTTCAGCAGAGACCGACCCGACTCTGCCTGTCCTGGAACGGGGGTCTCTAACAGTGGCCATTTTATGACCTGTGGACTTTAACTCCCAGAATTCCCCAGCCAGCAAGAACCAACAAGTGAAGGAAAACAACTGTTTCTGCTTGAAAATAGGGCAAAAAAAAAAAAAAAGATAATTTAGGAAGTATAGACCACTCACTGTCCTCAGCACCTGGAAGAATCCTCAAGTAGATCATAAAAAGATCCATGAAAACAATGGAGAGGGATTGTTTCTGAAATTTTGAGATGGGGTGGAGAGGACGTTGGACAAAGTCCATTTCCCACAGTGGTTTCTTTAACTCAATAATTATCAGATTTTTTTTCTTTTTACGACCCAGTAATCCCTTTTTTTTATTGAATTTTTTTTATTTTTTAATATACAAGCATTTATAAAAATACAATAAAATTTTAAAGTAGAAAAAAAAACCCACCCCCTTACCCTCCCTCCCGCCCCCAACCCCCCTCCCTTCACTTCCCAGAGCAGAATACAGGGTTAATAATAACAAAATTTATAATAATTAAGAAAAAAGAAAAAAAAGAAAAGAAAAAAGAGAAAAAAAATTTATCATAATTAACCTTTAACTCCATAACCTATGAAACAAGTGTACCGATCTTCGGTCAAGGGTATACGATAGCTGCGCTCCCCTGCTAGAACCTCCAAACAAGCTCAAGGTCCCAGTAATCCCTTCTATCGGGGTGGAGTCTGGGCGATTGAATGGAGCTGAGCATTTACTGGCCAGATGCCCTCCCTGATACCTACGTGGAGATCGCAGTAGGTATTTTCTCTTCATGCCCTGATAAACATCTGTCGCCGCCTGGGATTGAACTCTCAACCTCCGAGTGGGAGGAGAGGGTCTTCCCCTCTAGGCCACCAGACCGCCTTAACTATCATCGGATAATTACCTTAATGAAATTAAGAGCGATAATCATTTTCATTTCCTACAGGGTGTGTAAAGTAAAGTGTTTTATATGGAATAAGAGAGGCTATTTGTCTACTTGTCCCCTATTTTTATGATCGTTCAGGCATCAGGTTGTTTGCTTGTGAACTTGCCCAGTACGTTGCCTTCCTATCAAAGCCGGACCCTTCATGGTGGCCTGGCTGCACCAGGACTGATGCTCGAGCGGTGTCTCTCCTACCCATCCAGGCTTTAATTGGATTGCTGCCCTCCTTGGCTGCAAGTAAGCTTGGCATTGTGGATCTACACCCAGCAGGAGCCTGGAGAGAGGATGTTCTCCTGGGCTAAATTAATGATGGTAATTATGCAGCAGAAAGTCATTTTAAAGAGAATAAAATGCTCAAAAAATAGTTACCTTGGAGATTTAAGCCTGTGTTTCAGTGAATGCTGGCAGATACTCCTTACACTGTTTTTAGGGAAAGTTCCATTTGTTAAGAAGAAATATGCAGACTAGGAAAGTTTCACTTCTAACTAGGCTACTAGATAGAGAGAGGCAAGCTGTGGGCAGGGGGGCAAGCAGGGGACAAGAGAAATGAAAGGGCCCTGACCCTCACACACGCAAGGGGTCCTTCAGATAACAACAGACCAGTTGGAAGACGAGACTCACCGATGGACGGAGGCAGGGGCTTCCCTTGATCTATCTCCCAGCATCGGCCTTTGTGGTGGCCAATGGGAGGAGAAGAGGCCGTTCTCCTCCTCTTGGCCACCATCTTCTCCCAGGGTCCTCAGAGCATCAGCCGCCAACAGCTTTTGGGAGCCAGTCCTGCAGACGGACATGTCTGGAGTTTGTAAATCCAGAACTAGGACTGTTTGGCGTCAGTTGCTCCTCTCTTCACAGTAATGAATTCCTTCTTTCTGTGAGAACTGAATACCACCTTTGTCTCTCCTAAAATTAGCACAAGCTTGAGTTCAGCCACTCCAAAGATAGTAGCCAGAAATCAGGGAGAGGCTGGCGGCCCTTTTTTTATTAAAAGGCAGAAGCTTTTGTTCTGGCTGCTCTTCTAGTGATTTGCAAGCCCCTGTGGCTTCATAATTGGCCAGACAAAACCTATTCAGCCACGGGTTATGGCCAATTGCTGCACCGATGTGATGTCCACTTGTAGACTATCCTCAGCTCAGTCTGAATCCAGGTGGCCGGATGGTTCAAGGTAGCTGCTGGCTGGCAGATTCGACTTCAGCTCAATTCATCCCCCAGGAGTTAAGCCCTCCGCCCAGCCCTCTGGCTGCAGTCCTGCTTGTGTTAGCCTGGCACTTGTTTTCCTGCCTTCGGTTCTCCCCACTGTGACCGTCTCTGGTCTAGTTTGTGTCGACACATCCAGGAGCTCCCCAACTCTGCTCCTCTATTTCCTGTTCCCAGCTTCGCTGTTCAATCTTCCCTTGGGAAATTTGGCTTCCACAAGGAGGCTGACCGGAGGAGCCTCCAGGTGCTCTAAACCAAATGCCGCGTTCAGTTGAGGAGCTGACTTCTTTCTTCATCTCTTTCAGTCTCCAAAATCCCAAGAGGCTTTTCACCCAGATTGGATTAATTTGGTCGCCACAATGTAAAAAAGATGTTGAGATTCCGGAAAGAGTGCAGAGAAGAGCCACAAAGACTTGACTGGAAGAGCCATAAAGATTTGACTGGAGGCCAAAACATATGAAGAACGGTTGCGGGAACTCAATATGTCTAGTTTAACGAAGAGAAGGACGAGGGGGAGACAGGATAGCAGTCTTCCAAAATCTCAGGGGCTGCCCCAAGGAAGCGGGAATCAAGCTATTCTTCAAAGCACCTGAAGGCAGGACAAGAAGCAATGGATGGAAACGCATCAAGGAGAGAAGCAACCCAGAACTAAGGAGAAATTTCCTGACAGAACAATTAATCAGTGGAACAACTTGCCTCAAGAAGCGGTGGATGCTCCAACACTGGAAGTTTTTAAGAGGAGACTGGACAAACATTTGTCTGAAATGATGTAGGATTTCCTGCCTGGTATAGAAGACCTCCAAGGTCCCTTCTAACTCTATTATTCTGTTAAATAAATGAATGAATCAACAAAACAAACCACAGCAATGTTTTCCTCTAATTCTCCGTGCAAGAAAGGCCTTTGTGTCCAGAACTTCCGTGCCTCTGGCTGCCTCTGGCATTTCCACAGCAGCAGCAGCAGCAGCAGCAGCAGGGATAGTTTCACCAGGGTCCTCGCCAGTTCTATGGCCTCGTAATCCTCAAGCGGCCACACTCTAGTCTTTTGTTGTTTTTCCAAACGGACAATATTTGAGTGTTTCCCATGTGCCTGGATCTTGTCCATTAACCTGACTTGTGTGTGTGTGTGTGTGTTAGGTTTCTGCAATTGTCTGCACCTCAACCAGCACTGTAAAACTGACCTGGAAGAGGGAACAGGGAATAGGGCAGAGGGATTGTCTGCTAGCGGCTGTTGGGTTGAGATCCTGAGGCTTGACCCTCAGCTGGCCCTGCTCTCCTCAGAGAGAGCTACGCTCGCTGTTCCATCCTTTGAGTGGGTGCATCATGGATCCTGTGCCCCGTGCGCCAGTTGCAGACCCAATCACGATACCTTCTCCCATTGAAGAAACACGAGAAAGAGAAGCTCCCTCAAACAGAGACACATTGAACTAGCAATAGGTGAAGTAGAAACAAGACAGGCAGAGCATGTGAAGACGCCTCCTCTTGTAGCCAAAGACGGTGCAAGATTCCTAGGGGCAAAGGGCACCAGCACGCTTCTCCTGTCTGTCTCTGGTCCAGGCAAGAGTCTGGGGGGCTGTGTAAATCAAATTAATCAACATGCTTGGCTAAAAATGCCCCCACCTGTCCTGCTTCAGAGGGCAAACGGCTTCTTTGTTGAACCCATTGCTCAACTATTTCACGAGCTTACACTAAAAGATTTTGACCCAATTTCCCCCCCCCTTAATTTTCTCTTGCCCGACACCTTTTCAGGTGTTTGAAGAGGGCTAGCATAGCCCCCTCTGTCTTCTCAAGGCTAACCAAGTCCATCCGAAGAATCTCCCTTCAGGGACTCTCCTATTTCTCCAGGCCTCCAGGCCTCTCTGATGCTCTCCTCCGATCCTTCCGAGAGTCCTGTCCGCAGGGCAGGGGTGGGGTATATCCAACCCAAAGAGAGTGGAGCTTTTGTCATTTGGAATCTGCAGCCCTTTTTCACAGCTGTGTCAGACTAATGAATCTTATTCAATTTACTGTCAACTATAATTCAAATGTCTTCTTTGTGAATATCCCCTATTTTATACCTGGACATTTCATTTCTGATTTTTAAATTAAAGACATTTCCTTCTGCTCGTTTCTCTAATCCACCAAGACAGTTTTGTAGTTTATTTCTGTCTATTGGAATATTAACCATCCCGCTCGATTTATGTCATCTGCAAACTTGATAAGCATCCTTTACCTCCCTCATCAAACACATTATTTAAAATGTTTCAGTGGGCCGAACTTTTCAGCACTCTTCCATCCCTCCAGTTTAACAGGAACCCCTGAGTCCCTTTCCATGATTTTTGTACTCCCTTACCTGTCATGCCATCCAACCCACTCAATGTAGCCTACTAATCAGATTGGCAGAAATCCATGTATTGTGCAAATTAACAGCAAAACATAGCAGCATTTTGAAGCACCACAAATTACAGATAACAAACGTATTTAAGTCATTTGATTAAAACAGCCAAAGTCCCCGCTCTGGCCTCTCCACTGCCTGCTTATACTGCCTTTTCTACGGCAGGCGGTTCCCTCCAGCATTTCTGGGAATAATCTCAGGTGGTCAGGAGCCTCTGTGTTTAAAGGGTCTCTCTGGGATGGGCCTGAGGCTGGTGCTGAAGGCAATCTGGCCCAAGACTTTGGCAGCAACCTGAACTGAAATACAACAGTAGCATTCCCTCTAGTAAGATTTTAAAGCGAAAAGAAGCCCCAGTATAAGGATTCCAGCAAGAAGACGCCACTGTTTGGAATCCATATAGATCTCATAGTGGGACTTTTGAGTCTTTTTCTTTTTCTTGTGGGACCTGATTGGGGGGGGCAATCCCTCTTCTTTCTCTCTCTTGGTGCCTCACCCTCCCTCTTGAGAGGCAGCTGACAGGGCAAGACTCGCTGCATGGGGGGATGGGGGGGGGCTTCTGTCAGGAGCTCTTGGAGCTGCCACGGGCAGCTGGGCCACCTGCGCCTGCTCACCTTCTCAGGAGCCACCATGCTGGGCATCCAAGGCCTCCCTCGTCTGCCCCCATGACTGCCTCTTGCCATTCCTCTCCCTCCAGGATCTTCTAGATCTCCCATCCGCGGGTGGAGTCCAGGGAGATCTAGTGGGTTTGCTCTTCCTGGGCCCTGAGGAGAGTAGGCCCTTCCCCAGTCTTTGGACCACTGAAGTGTGGGGCTGACCCTCAGCAGGCTCCCCAGCTCTGCCCTTTCTGCCCCCGGGGGCCCTTCTCAGCTGCAGCCCTCCTGGCCCGGGGCGCCCAGCACCCAGACGGGCGTCCCACTGGGGGAGGCGGGAGGGCCGGCCTTCCGCTTTCTTGGCTGCCAGGCCAGAGGGAGGGGCGGCTGCTGGAAGGCAGAGCAGGGACTGGGGGGTCCTCCCAGGGGCAGGAGGTGCCCCCCCTCGTCCAGTCCCCCGCCCTCGCCTGTCTTTTTGCTGCTATTGGCAAATTCACCGCCATTGCTTGCCCTGAATTTGCTGCAGCCGAGCAAACCCGGAGAGGCCTCGGGTGATGCTCCTGAGAACGCTCCGCTCCCGGACTTCGGACCGGTCGACCCCGAGGGATGCCGGGAGTTGTAGTTCAGGAGCCGCTCGAGGGCCACGGGCTCCCCACGCCCGCAACGGCGACCCTCTCCGCCTGGAATGTCTGCATCGCAGAATCGTCTCCCCGAGCCGGATATTAGCGCCGCGCCCGGTGCCCGAAAGGGAAAGCCGAGCTAAGCCCCCCATTGCGGCCTGAGGGTCGGGGCGGAGGGCAGCGCCGCAGGAGGCAGCCGGGGGCTTCCCGTCGCTGCGACACCTGCTCCCAGCAACGCCCAGGCCGCCCCGCCGGGGAGGGGCTGCGGCCGAGGCGCCCGGCGGACAGACCCGGCGCCTCGCGGAGCCTTCCGAGCCCAGCCTGCTTCCGCCGGGGCCGCAGCCGCAGCGGCCGGAGAGCGGCGCCGGAGGGCACCGGCACCTGCCAAGCGCAGCGGTGCCTGGGCCGCGGGGGGCGCCCGGAGGGGCCGGCAGCGCTCGGAAGCCCCCTCGCCCATCCCCCCGCCCGCGCGGCTCGGCCTGCCTGGCCTTCCCGGGCCCGGCGGGGTGGGGCAGGGGGACGCCCTCCCCCGCTTCCCCGGAGGGGCGGCAGCCGCAGCCGCCGCAGTCGGACGTGGCCGCCCGGCCAGACCCGCCCGCCCCGCGCCTACCTGCCGTGGCCGAGCTCATCCTGCCCGCCTCGCGCCCCGGCCGCGGAGGGGCTGCCCCTGGCGCTGGTCTGCGGGGCGCGCATCCCCCGGGCACCTGTTGCGGGGCGGCGGCGGCGGCTCCTCTGCGGAGCTCCTGCGGGCTCCCGCCTCCTCCCTGCGGCTGGCCAGCCGGGCGCGCCGCGGCGCTTGTGCGCGGCTGCGGCTGCCGCTCCTCCGCGCTGTCGATCTCCGGCGCAGAAGGTGGGGCGAGCGGCGGCGGGGCCAGGGAATCCGCGCCGGCCGTCTGCCAGCCAGCCAGGCACGGCCACGCTCCGCCGGGTACCGGCGCCTCTGCGGAGCCGCTGGGCTGGGCGCCAGCTGGACCCGGCGCAGACAGCAGGCGCGATGAGAGACCCGGGCGCCCCCCCCGCACAAGCCCCCCCGCAGTCCCGGGGAGGGCGGGGCCCGGGGAAGGGGCAGCTGGGCGCGGAGGGGGGGCGGTGAAGCTCCTGGCGGGCTTGGCGGGGCGGGGCGGGGCGGGGGCGGCTGAGCGCAAACTTGGACGGGCTGCTGCGCATCTCTTGGGGGCGGCCAGGCGGGCTCTGGGCTGGCGGCGGGCCCCACGATCCGGCCTGGGGGTCGAGGCGGCTTTCGGACGGCACTTCCCGGGCTCAGCTCAAGATCGCGGACGGGAAGGCACCGAGAGCGCCTCCGACCTGCCCGCAGCCGCCGCGAGTCTCTGCAGGCTGCTCCGGCCCTCGGCGGAGACCCCACTCCCGCGGGAACGGCCGCCTGGGGCGGTCTGCCCACCCGAGAAACCAGGCTGAAAGTCGGCACGAATGCCTCGGCCGAGGAGCCAGGGCCCCGCCGCCCCGAAGTGGGGAACCTTCTCTGGCCCTGCGGCAAACTCGGGTTTTACTCGCCTTTTCGGTCCCTGAGGGGCTGGGCCTCCTGGCTCCCAGGACCGTTGTTGTTGTTGTTAATTGCGAAGTCGTGTCCGACCCATCGCGACCCCATGGACAATGTTCCTCCGGGTTCCCACGACCGAGGCTGTGCCAAAGATGGGGCGCGGGCTGGTTTGGGCTCCCCCCTCCTGGCACCTGTGGCTGGTGGCTCAGGCAGCCTGGGGCATTTTTCCTAGCTCCAGCACGGTCGATGTATTCCTTTTATGCAAATAATAAACTAATCAAAAGGAAGAAAATTGTCTGTTTTAATAACCGTGTTAATAACTACTGCAACAATAAGGCTGTTTTTATTATTTTTTTCTATAATTTATATAATAAAACACTAGTCTTTGACTTGCAGCTGGTCAGTCATTGACCATTTGAAGTTGTGAAGGACACCCCTATCCCCCCCATCCCCGGGGGGGGGCATTTATGACCTGGATTCAAAGCTTGGGAGCTTGGCAACCGGGCTGTATATATGACCATTTCCAGCATTTTATGCCTCTTTTCTTAAAAAGCAGCATTTTTTTCAGCAAAACTGGCCTAAAGCGAACCCTTGCTTCACTTAATGACTGTGGCAGTTGCTTTACAACCGTCTCAAAAAAAGTTGTAAAATCGCACTGGTGGCTGATCCAATTTATGACCGTCATGAGTTATGACCGATGCGCACACTCCATTAACTGTTCACAATCTGAGGACTCCTCAGGGTGCCCGGATGGACCCTGATGCGTTGCTGCTGGGTTTCCTCCATCAGGGCAGCTGAGACAGAGGATTTCAACTTCCCAAATTCTGTGGATTGAAGTACACAGTCTTTAAAATTGCCCAGGTATTTACATCTATATGTGGAAAAGGAGAAGAATAAGCAGTCTAGTCAAAGCCAGACTTCATCCTAATTTAGAAGGCCAGATAAAAATCAAATGAAAACATATCCAATACTCTCAACGGTTTTCAGGACAAGTTCATGGGAGGCAGGACACGTGTCTGTTGAAAACAAACAAACAAACAAAATAGAATTGGTGCTCATTTGCTAAACTGAGGCTGCTCTTGTAGTCTTAATTCTTCTTGTAACACACAAAGGTCTACAGGGCAGCAAGTCTTAACTCCTTGAGGAGTGATTCATTTTTTGGCCTGTGAAGTCCAGAAAGAGAAAGAAAAACAAAGGGGAGAGGAGTCATGAGGGTGCCCTCAAAGCCCCCCAAGTTTACATACACCACAAAAACCCCAGTCTTATGAGATTCATGGGGTCCCCTCGCCCACCCTGACAGGCCCCTGTAAACCCTGTCATTCTGTTCTTCAGATGAACTTGATCGCCTAATTCAACAAGAAAGGTAGAAATGGAATATTTAAAATCAACAAGTGCTGAATTCTTGCTGAGAAAGGCCCCAAATCTGCATTTGGGCTTCGTTGTCAGGTAGATTTTCTTACTTAGTTCCTGGGGTTATTCCTTGGAGCTCCGGGCGGGAGTCAAAACAGAATGGCAGACGCAACCACAACATTGAAACCCGGACTCTTTTTTTGTGTGAGCGTGGTATAACTGTATTAAATATTTTATTTAAAAAACCAGATTAATATAAAGTGAGAAAAAAGACAGAAGAAATCAAAGAGAAAGCTAAAAATGCAAGAAAAGGGAACAAGAAAAAAACATTTGTCTTCTCATGTTTACCTCACAAATACCTTTTGCACCAATCTAGCTGGGCTTTAATTGGAGTTTTCCCGCCTTGAGCCAAGGCCGGAAGCCTAAAGTGAAGCCACAGTTAAGTGGCCAAATTTGCACTGTCCTCAGGGCTGTAAGGGAGGCGCAGGCGGAGCATTCCTCCCCCTGTGTGAGGAGAATTCACACATGCTCCAATCCCTTCACCCAATTGCTGGTCTCGGAAATTACCCAGTTCTTTTAAGCGAATTGCCTGACTTCCCCTCAAGTATCTCCTACCTGAATTCCGGTGACCTTCCCTTGCTGAAGTGACCCCAAAAGCACCAAGAGAGCCCAGGACCTGATTAGCAAATGGGACTCCTTGGGCAGCGGAGGCAGCCAGGCCTGCTTCCTCAGCCGGGCCTGCTCAAAGAGTGGCAGTCAGACTGCTGGGCCAGGAGGCAGCCTTCGTTGCAGGAAAAGCAGCCGTTGGAAGCTCCTCCTGGGGTGGATTCGGATACACGGTGCTCAGTCGAGGAAGGAAATGCAGGGGGTGGTCAGAAGTGGCCTTGTGGGGATCCTTTAAGCTGAGCCTTCCTCCCCTCTTTATTGGCTGAAACCACCCCTGGCTGTTTTCCTGCTGCTAAATTGCTTTGCTTTCCCCCCCTCAGCTCTGCATCTCATTATCCTTCCTTCTCACCAGGTTTTTGGTTCGTTTCTGGGGTCTGGTGGTATGACTACCAATAGCCCCAAGAGTCCACAAAAAGAGGTAAGAGGCTCTGGCAATTTTTCAGGGACTGTTTCTGAGGCGTGGTTGAGTTAATATTTTCCTGACTGCAAGTCTTGTTTTTAAAATTGTGGCTACTACAACCTCGTAGTTAAAGGTTCCCCCCCACCTTTTTTTGAAATTATTTTTACTTATTAGCAGCTTTCTGTAGATGAAAAGCTAACATTGGTTGACAGTGGGGAACTGAAGAAATATTTCAGTTACACTTTCTAACATTTTAGAGGCAAAAGCCTTAAACCTGGTGATGAAATTAAATTATGTTACCTGCTTTTCTGATTCCAATAATAGTGTAGTAGTGAAGAACAGGGATAAAAAATGCAGCCATCCAACCAGTAAGCCATCCTTTGCTCAGTGTGGGCCTGCATTTTAATCCTGAGTTATTTGTGGCCATGCCAGTAGAGCCAGCTACCTGTTGCCCTTCAGGTGTTGCTGTTGTGAGTTTATGATCTTTGGGCGTTGTTCATTTGTTTGTTGACGGTTGACGTTCCCCAAACTTTTACTAGGAGAAAAAAGTACATTTTGCTTGCTATCTTCTGTAACGCTGGAAAGATTTATGAACTGTCAGAAAGACAGTTTATAAAATTACACAGGAAGCTTCTTACTTCCGAATGAGAGAGATAAAAATGCTGCTTTGAATGCAAATGCAAGGATATACAGTTAAATGTATGCAATAAGCTAGTACTTTATGACTACTTATACTTGTAGCTTTTTACCAAAAGCAAAACTGGGCCTGCTAATTGAATTGGCCTGGACCCATAACCCTGGTTGATCACAATGCTTATAAGCTATCAAACTGACATTGGCTCTTAGCCACCACATAGATAGATTTCTCTAAGATGGTCAGTCTCCAACCAAGCCCTTCAGGCCTCCGGACAGTGCTGGGCACCCATCGCTGCTGTGATCAAGTCTGAGGATTGCAAACCTGCCTCCCAAGTCAAGAACTTTGCATTCGCCTCTGGTAAATTTCAGCTTGTTCTTCTCAGTCTGCTTCTCTCGCTCACTCAAAACCATGTTAAATTTTGTCCCTGTCCTGCGGAGGATGAGCTGAACCTCACAGTTGAGTGTCCCCTTTCACAGCTATTTCCCCACCCCCGATTTCCATTATCTAAGCCAGTGTTTCCCAAACTTGACAATTTTAAGGCATGTGGACTTCAACTCCCAGAATTCCACAGCCAGCATTGCTGGCTATGGAATTCTGGGAGTTGAAGTCCACATGCCTTAAAATTGTCAAGTTTGGGAAACACTGATCTAAGCTGTTAACAGAGCAGTGGACCTGGTCCATAACTGACCCTTCCCACCCTTGATGAGGGTCACCAAGGAGACTCCGAGTCCTTTTGGAGTAGCCGGGATCCACCTCACACAGACCTGCTTTCTGCCCGTTATTCCCTGGCTTGCTAGTGAGAGTCGAGAGGCACCTTCTTTTCAGCAAAGTAATTCGCAATCTCCATTTCTGAACAGGAATTCAGAGGCGTAGAGGACACTGTTCCAAACCTCCCCACTGCCAGAGTTTGTGCAGAGGTGCGACTTAAATGCTCTTCAGGAGCTGCTCTTCTTAAACGTAGAGCAAGGCACTGCGTGATGCGCTTTCAGTGTGAGGAGAGCCACAATCCCTTCGGCTGCCCATGTCCAGCTCTCTGCTCCAACCCCGGCCCAGCCCCTGCATCGTGTGGATGTTCCTCAGCAGACGGTACAGAAACTCTGCAGGGAAGCCAGCCAAGCGGGCAGGGCAATGAAGCAGGAAACAGGCCGGTCCTAAAGGAAACAATGAAAGGAAGCGCTGGAGTCCCACCATCCCAACGCTGGTTGTGTCCACAGCTTCCTTTCAGAGAAATTCAAAACAGCAGATCCACCGAAAAGGAATTTGGAAAGGGAGGGATCGTGTTTTTGTGTTTTGATGTGCAGCAAAAACAAGGAAGTCCAAATCTGGGCATCTGGAAAGAGAACGTTGTGCACCATCAAATGGCCTAACGAAAAAGTCTATTTAAAATGTTGTTATTCCACTTTTCTACTCCAGAAGTGCTTCAGGTTGGGATCCTGTGATCTCTGGTTCTGTCCTCGATAAGGGATCCGGCAGAACCAGCGTGGTTATCCTCCTCTTCCCAGTGTAGATTATCTACCTGAGTGACCAAGGGCTGAATTCCAATCAAAATGAGGGCATCCATTGGAAATTCTGCCCACAGTCCCACAACTGTCTGTCATACTTGCTGTCAGAAGGGAGAGAGTCCATTTAGATTCTGACAGGCTTGGTCATCCTCATAGGGAAATCTTTCAGCAAGGAGAATCCCTTCCTGATGGTTGAGCCTCCCCTTTCCTTGCCTGCAAAAAGATTCCAGCAAAGAGGAGGAGGAGGAGGAAGAGGAGGAGGAGGTCTCAATCCTTCTCTGCCAGTCCTGCCAGGACAGTAACTGACTGTGACATGTGTTGGCCCTCTGCGGCATGAATAGAATCTGCTCTCGCTCATATGGACACCTCAGTCACTTTTTATTGGTCAATCCTGATATTTGATCTAGTCAGATGGACTCTAGGGTGGTGCACCAAAGGAACATCTCGGGAATAACTTAGAAACAATTCCCATATTAAATAGGTGCTCCCAGTTCTTCTAGGGGCCCTGTGAAACCAGGTGTCCTTGAGGGCCTTCAGCTGCACCCCCAGGACCCTGCATTCATAGCAGGGGGGCTCTGTTCCTGCCCCCTCCCTTCCTGTGCAGGCCTTGGGGAGACGCTAGGCTTTGGGGGGCCAATGCAGGTATGGCCTCAGGCCATCTGGCTAGGGGTCTGGCACGGGCCCAGGGAGGAGTGTAACATCAGGTCCTCCCCTCCCCCCGTCCAGCAGCACCTCGGCCCTTGGCAGGGAAAGGAAGCTCCCCCCAGCCCCCCCCCAGATGCAGGTGGTGCCTCCTGCATGCTCCAAACCCCCCTTGTGGATGGCTAAGTGGTGAAGCAGGAGATAAGAAGTGAGGTGAAGCTAGATGGGTTGTGAATTTGCCGGCACTCTGAGACAAATTATTTGCTCTACCAGTTCCAGAACTCAGATGACTTGGGGGCGGGGTGGGGTGGGGGCTCTTGGGTGCTTTGGGGCTGCTGTCCAGCTCTCCTTCCATTCCCCTGAGCAGGAAACTTTTGTGGGATAAAATGAATGAAGACGCCCCTTGAGCTTCCAAAGGACAGGCTGAAGACGACACGGCAATGGCGGTTATAGTATAAGAAAGGAAAGTGAAAAGCTTCCTGTAGAATTAGCCAACGGTGGAGCCTCTGTTAACTCTCCCTTCTTGTGAGCATCTTTGGCACTTTCACAGATGTTTCTGTGGTGGCATTTTAGGGAAGTGAGAGACCCCCACCCTGAGGAATTGAGCACCCAAGGCAGCAGTCTGGATGCAGAAGCAGCAGTCCACTCCAGGCTCCGTAATTCATGAGCCATTGAGAGGAACCTCAGGTGTGTCTGTGTGTGTGTGGAGGAAAGAAGATCATTTCTGTGCTCCAAGCCTGGACAGGTGAGAAAAGGGGGCTGGACTGCTTTCCAAACGCTCCAGTGAGTCTGAGCACCGTTGCCTGGACTGGCCCCGTGAGGGTGAAACAGACTCTACAGAGTCCTTGATCCAGAAAATGGGGCCAAAGGGCCTGAATGGGGCTTCTGAGTGGGGCCCCTGGGTGTTGAGGTCAACCTCAATGTGTGGTCACTCTCAGCCTGTTCAATTTATGCAAGCCTAAAGCATCGCAACGTGTGCCCTCATACCGTTGGTGGTTAATTTGCAGCCAGCTCAGAAGTTGCTGTTGGGGGCTCTGAAGGCCCCTGGGTCCGAAAGCCCCCCTCCCACGCCTTGTCTCGGAAGGGCTTCCTGGCCGGCAGCCGTTTCCAGGAGGCCAGAGTGGCAGGGCTGACAACTGCGGCTAGGAAGAAGCAGGGATATTTCGGCTCCTGGAATTCTTGGGAAAAAAGAGGTCCATAAATTCACTCAGGCCCAGGAGGTCAGATAGGCTGTTTCTGAGCAAGACCTACCTTCAGGAAGAGGCTGTGAAGATTAACAGAGCCTGTTAAAGGTCAACATGCTGTGTTTGCAGAAAGGGCCCGATTAGCCCACAGCCAACAGGAAAAGAAGTGTGTGTGTGTGTGTGTGTGTGTGTGTGTGTGTGTGTGAAAGAGAGAGAGAGAGAGAACTGGGTGGGGGACGAGCTGGGAGCCTGAACAGGAAGGGAAGGATCAGCACTTTTGGAGTGGCAGAGCGAAAATTGGAGCGAGCGAGACTGAAGGAGGTAGGCGCCTGCTAAGTTGGCTTTTTGGGTGTTACTGGTTCTTTTCACGACCTGGACGATGAGCAAGACTTTAGGGGTGATCCTGAGCAAGGAGAGGGGATCAGCGTTTGGCAGGAATGTCAAAAAGGCTGCCGGCGCAGCTGCTCGCTCTCGGACACCAGGGTGGGCCCAGGGCCATTGGTGGAAAGGGGCACTGCAGTGGCACCAACAGCCCTTCCCCAAAGGCGGCATCAGTCTGAGCGGCTGAGAAAAGGAGGGCGGGGCCTTCTTGCAAGGAGGGGAGGGGCCTTGGAACCTCTGAGATTTGCACCCTGCCGCCTTCCCTGCCCTTTTGTCCCAGGGGCCCTTAAGATGTCCGAGAAGGGAAAGGGCCGAGGGAGCGTCCCCTAGGATGGTTGCGGGCGTCTGGGAAGCACGAAACTGCCCCTCTCCATCTGACAACCCTCCCCAGCAAGCACTCCTCCCCCGGCAGCCAAAGGCAGGGAGAAATCTTGGTCCATGCAGCTGAGAAGGTCCCCTTCCTTCCAACTTCCATCGTCATGGCTGCAGATGTTCCATTGCTCGGGGAGAGTCTCCTAAGCCCAGGCAGGTCTCCCATCTTTTTAGAAATCAAAGAAATAAAGAGGCAGCCTCGGCACACACACGTTTCTCAAGATTCAGGGGATCTCCATTTTAGGAGAGTTGGTGTCCAGGTGTGTTCCTTTCTTCAGATCTGTCAGAAATGGAGACCTGTCTGCGGGAATTATGCAGGACGGCTAACTGCTAAACGGGAATAAAGCGGGTGAATTCGCTTTCCGATTAAATTGATGAGCGGTGGTTTCAGCGGCTCCAGAAACTTCCCAGACGTGACCTAGTTGCATTCATGCAGCCGGACAGTCTTACTGCGCAGCTGAGGGTGAAAAAGGGGCTATGAGGAAACGCCTTGTCAAAGTCCACTCAGCGCGTGGCTCCTAGCAAAGGCGACCTTTTAACCTAAGATGGTTTATCACCATGTAGGCCTTGTGTGACCGGGTGTTTCTGCTGCCCAGGCCGCAGCTAGAAAACATGGAGCCCTCAGGAGGAGCAGCAGCAGAAGCAGCTGACGGGAGCCCTGAAGCCACCACGTCCGACTTCGTTCCCCGGGAAAAGCCTCCCCTTGGCGCTCCCCTTGACCCCGGAGCAGGGCAGACACCGAGCTGCGAAGAAGAGCCTGAGCTCCTGGGACAACCGGACCCCGGACAGATGTGTCCACCCGCCCACTCGAAAGTCCTGCCGTCTCCAATGGGGAAGGAGGGAGCTACACTGCAGCAGCCGCAAAAAGGTTACACACACACACACACACACACACAGAGAGAGACAACCCCCCCCATCCCCCCAATCTTTCCAGCTGCTCCTTGACTTTTGAATGGGTTTCTTCTCTGGGCTTTAGGGATGCTCCCCCCGCCACCCTCCCCCCCATATAATCTCTGGTTGGCCAGAAGCCAGAGTGAAAGTTTGTGATCTCATTTTGTGACACTGAATAACCGTTTTACTAATTTGAGATGCCAAAGCTTTTGTGATTCAGCAAATTAAAAACTGCTGCAGGGCACAATTCCTACCACCCCATGGCTTGTAGCAAAGAGAGATGGGTATCAGCTAAAGTAATACATAACATCAGCCAAAAATAAGTATGGATAAATACTTTTATCATAAGGAACGGGAATGGTATTTTAATGTTTATCTTTTATTTTTGGATTGATTCCCTGTCTTTCTACCCTGGAAGCACTCAAGGCTACAAACAAAATTGATAGCAAAAGGAGAGTATTTAATTAAATATGCCAAAGAGAATAAAGTCTGCCATGGAGATTAAGTTCCTCAAAGGATGGAAAAGTGAAGCTCTGACGTGCAGTTTCAGTGCTGGGAGAAGGGGGTCAAGCAGTCCACGGGGGGGGGGTATTCAGAGCTTGGGGGAAGATCTTTATTCCTCTTGCTGGCCACCTGGGGCTCTGCTGGGCAGGCCAGACCAGGCCTCAGCCAGGCAAGGTCCATCAGTTGCCATGGAGGGTCAGGACTACGTCTGTGGAAGAGCTCTGGCCAGGTCTGAAAGTGCTTCCCCTCCCTCCCCTTCTCTTCCTGGCCCCTGTGGAAGGAAAGGGGGCTTCTTGGCCGGGCTCAGGACCCTCTGATCTGGCCATTGCCCGGCTGGGGGCTTTTCTCCATCTCCCTCTGCACCAAGGGACCCTCCTGCCGCCCTCCTTTCTGGACGGGTTTGCAGGGAAGATTTTATTACTCGTTTCAGGAAAGGTAGGGGTTATTTCACTGACCTGTTTTCTGACTCTTTGCAACACAGAGTGAAATTCCCTTGCTCACACCTGAGCCCCATAGCTGCCCCAGAGAAAAGAAACGGAGAGGGGGTTTTGCCCTCCACAGGCCGGGAAGCGCCACTGTCCTCAGCAGGGAGGGGGCGAAAGGAAAACTGAACGGCTGTTCTTGGGGACGTTTCCGTCACCCGTAAACCTGACATTTTCAGCTCTCTTCCTGAGGATAACCCTGATCAGACGACGGACGGGCCTTCCTGATTCTCAGCTGCAGGAGTATCTGCAGGGAAGACTCCGTCTCCTGGAGAACGACAGCCAAGGGGCCGTGGCAGTCTTTAGTGTAAGTTTGTAAAGGTGGGATGAAAGACAGCCTTTGTCTTATGACCCCAGTGGCTCCTCCATCCTATTTCCAGGGTGGTGTGGAGAGGAGGGGGGACATCTGCGCCACGGCTTTCCTCCTCCTGACAGGCGGTGCCTCCGTGGCCTCTTTTGCCCCATGTCAGAGGTTCTCTTGAATGTATGGCAGCTGCAGGGAGGGAGGCAGTTGACGCTCCTCTGCGATTCCCCTTTGTGTGCTTGGAAAGAACGACGTGGGAAGGAGCTGAGGGCTCTTCCCAAATTTGAGATCAGGGTTGTGGACCTCCTGACCGTGAGCCCCTCTTTCTTCTTGCTCCCCCATCCCTTCTCCTCTCTCTCTCCTAAAGAGATTTAGAGATGCTTTTGTCTCACAAGATTCCACAGAGCGCTTTACATGGAGGTCAGTGTCCGTTTCTACCTATGTAATTGTCTTAACCCATTCAGAAAATAGATTTTTTTTAACATATAGCATAATGGAATAATGATTACCAAACTTAAACACTTTTAAGAGCAGATGTAACCGGGCCGGTAAAAGGCAGAAATTAGCTGCAAAAGTCTGTTTCCATTTTTGGCCAGCCATATTTGTGCCATTGTTCAAGAAGGGAGCAAAGTGTAATACAGAACCAGGCTGCCACGATGACTTTCTTGCACTTAAACTCAAAGATTTACTAGTTTTGTTCCCAGAAGAAATGCCCAGTTCCTTTTTGCCTTCCTCAGGAGTTGTCGGCCAGGTTGCTGTCCATCCGCAGTGAAGACCACCTCGTTGCCATCACATTTTGGACCTTGGAGGAAATCTGGAAGTTTATAACTTACTATTCTCTTGGTAAAGACACACACAAGAACGTTTGGTGTTTTGCTGGTTGTTGGTCCTGTGAATATGAAGACATGGTTTAAGAAATCAAATTTAAAGATCCAGTTTTAAATGTTGTGTCTGATAGTGCCTCAGTCAATTTCACACCAGGGGTTTTCACGGGTAGAGGCCAGAACTATTCAGACTGGATCCACCTCCCTGAGGCCGAGATCTAACCGTGGTTTCGGGTAGATTTGTTTGACTCTGCTGCGCCGTCTGCCCCTCTTCTCCCTTTCTAGTTTTCTCAACCTCTGAGCTGAGAGATTGACAGAATTGCTAGGGTTGTGAAAGTCGCCTTCCCCGCTTCTTCCTTCCCCGTCCAAGGACAGCTTCAGGAATATACAATCTGTTGTATTCCACCAGAAGGCAAATAACTGGGGGGGGGGGAAGCAACACGGCCCCCGGGCCCCAATCTGCCAATTCCACCCTGGGGGAGTTTTTGAAGGATCAGGAAAGGGAGATTTTGCTCAGAGGTGGGAAAGGGCCTCAGTTTAGGGACTGTGTTACTATTTTACTGTATTCAGGTTGAAATGGACAAAATCGGAAAATCCAACGATTGTCAAAATAAGGACATTTCATTCTCCAATTTGTATTGATCAAGGGATCCTTTTTGCCCCATAAGGCACAGCTGCCCCACTGCTCTGCCTCTCCTTTTCTTCTTGAACCTGGGATGGATTAAGGGTAGAAATAATCTGGAGGTCAAGGAGTTTGGGTACCTCATCAAAAGTTGTGGTACTTCCAGGAAGAATACGCTTCAGATTAATGCTACTTATTTTTAAAGAATAAACCTTGTTGGATAATATGAAAAATGCCTTTGATAGGTTTCTTAAATCCCTGTCTGGAGACTCTGTTGCTGGACGACTCTTTCTGGCTCTCTTCACCAGAAGAAGCTGCTGGAATTGAGGTCCTCCTAGATGAAAATTGTCTCCACCGGGTGTACAGAGGACTCTTGGTTCAAGAAGGTACCTGAGTTTTTATCTGCACTTGTGAAACTGTGTTTAATGAGCTGAATGAGATGCGAGTAGAAGCTTTGGGCCCTGCCTCAGTTCCATAACCATCTGGGTGAGGAAGGAAAAGAGGACTTCAAATAAAGAAAAAAATAAGAGGTTCTGTTGGTTAGAAGGGAATTGGAGATGGCTGGGATCACACTTCTGTCCGTCCGTCCGTCTCCTCAGCTGTGCCAAGGCTCAGAACTGGTGTTTGTGTGGAGAGGCATATTTGAGGAGTTGCCTTCACACATGGTTGCATTTGACAACAGTTATCTGCAGTGTGCTCTCTGTGATGCTAACCTCAAAAAAAAAAAAAAAAAAAAAAAAGGTCTCCAGAAATTGTAATTAGAACAAAATATGGAAAGGCTGCTGATCAGTGAAAAATACAGGGATTTCCCTGAGGGGGGAGGCTGTTGATCTGCCTTTATTCCCCCCCCCCCCCAATTCCACCATGAAGAATAAGGATTTAGTTATACAAGATACTCTCCAGTCTTCTTTGACTTCCATCTTGCAGTTGAGGCCAGTCTTTCTGGCTAAAGAGCTGATGAAAAATCCCTCCTAAGAATTTAAAATCTTTGCCCGTAAAAAATTAAATGGGGAGCTGTTTCCCCCCTTTTGTCAGCACTTTGCTTAGTCTCTCCATCACCAGAGGGAAGCTGCAAACAGGAAAAGGAAAAAGCTTTCATTCTTGCCACTAAAATAGCTGCTGGCTGCTGGGCTCCCACAGAAACAAGGAGTGACAAGTGGCTGAGCAAGGTCCTTGTTGCAGTCCATGCCACAGTAGACCTCCAAGGTGGCTGAGAAAGCAGGAATTCTGGCTCGGAATTTGTCCCCAGTCAGCTCCCAAGCCCTTCCTTGGGGAGGACTGGCCTTCTGGATTCCTCAAATACAAGTGCAACAAACGGCCTAAGGACTGGCTGGTACCAGTTGGAGGGATAGCAGGAAGTGAGGTCTCAGAGAGACCCTCCCTAGGCAGGAGAGGGGGGAAGCACTTTCAGGCAAGACCCTGTTACTCTAACTTTACATTAAAGGGAGTGTTATTGCTCACGATTTTGGTTTCCTCTCTGGACTAGCTTGAGGGGCTGAGATATCCCTTGTCTAACTGCTGTCCTGGCTGTAGCTTTTCCTCCTGTCTCCCGAGGTTATTCTTGCAGCCCATCTGCTCCACCTGGGGGAAAAAGAGCTACTTCAATCATGAGGTCTCTCTCCTCCACTCTCCCATAAGTAGTACTCAAAGCATAATGTTACTCCTTGATGAATGACAACTGCGTCCGCAACTTCAAACTTTCCCCCGTTTCATGTGGTGTTTTCTCCCCTTCAGGTGCCTATTTTGGGTTTTTTCCTGAGAACATTGATATAGCTGATGGAGGTGCCATTTGCCAGGTGGAATCGGCAGCTCTAGAGCAAGTCCAGAATGGCCGCACCACAGATGTCTTGGAAACCTCGATGCCTTTCCACCAGTAGGTACCCAAGTTCCCTTGCGGAGCTTCTCTCTGTCTGAACGAGAGCTCTGGAGACTGAGCTTGTCTTCAACGCATTGCAGCGATGGCATTTATGGTTGGTTGAATATTATTTTCTTGAATTTGTAGATGGTTTCTGAAAGCAAATGCAGCCTCTGACGGGTTTGCCTGCGTAACTGCACTTCCAGTCACAGATCAAGCGGGTAAGGAACAATAATTAAAATCGGTCTTTTAATTTCTGCTTCTGTATCTGGAAGATGTCTCTTCACCATAACATTCAACCTCCATCTTGCCCCAATAGGCACGGCACTGTGATGGGATCCCCAGTTGCCTTTACCTCCTCCGCCCTCATCATCAGGATCCTATATGAGGAATGTTCAAAGCTTATTATTTCTATCTGGTCTTTTTTTCTGGTTATTGCCAAGAGTTGTTGTCATACACTAAGAAATACGCTCCACGTTTAAGCTGAATGGGTTTAATGACCTCCTATTTCTAATGTTACTCCCTGTGAAACTTGCAACATTAAAATTAACATCTCTGACATGTTATGGACTTGTTTGATATCTTCCTAATTCTGTATCGTCCAGCCACAGGATTATCTGCCGCAGTCGTCAGCCATGAAAGCGTTGTGCCGGATGAGATCAGTTTCCAAAAAGGAGACACAATTGAAATCATGGGCTATTTCATGAAATGCATGCCTTGGTTTGTGGGAAGGCGACTCTCTACGGGCCAGGTTGGCTTTGTGCAGAGCAGCTGTGTGGTGCCCGAGGGCTTCGTGGCCATCGCTGCAGAGTAAGCACCCTTCAAGCCAATGACACTTGTCACGTCAAGTGGGGCAAAAAAGGTTGTTTCTGAACCGGGCTGGTGATAACGAAGCAGATCTGTTGGCCATCATCTGTGTCCCTTTCTCTGCATCAAGGAAGATGGCTGATGGGACCTTGATGAGAGCCCACAGGACAACAGCCTTGGGATCGATCAGCAGACTTTCCTTAAGGATAATGTCGCCAACGGTTTTAGCTTCCCGTCTCCCATTTTTTTTCCCTACTTTTCACACTGCTTCTTTGCTCCTCCTCATTTTTTGGTAAGGAGGACCTGCCTGGAAAGCCATACATGTCCTAAAGTTGCCATATTTTCCCCTTTCTCAGACTTCCATATATGGATTTCTTTGAGGAGGACGGTGACTCTTTCATGAAAGAAGAATCCCTCCTGGAGAACCTGACCAGGCTCTTGACACAAACCTCCCAGGAGAATATTTGCAGCACCTATCAAATTGGTGAGCAGTTCCTGTGCAGAACGTAGGTGCAAGGCTTCTGGGCGCCTCTTGGACTTGACATTTTGATAAAAAGAAAAATACAAGTGGCTGTACGGACTACCAAGTTATATATCGCTTACATTTCGTTAGTCTCCAGCTCAAGGAACTGAATGAGCGTGAATTTAAAGATTCAATCGTTTGAATATTTCAGCAGGGTGAAGCTTAAATGAGAATGAATATAGCCGGAATAGGATTTTCCTCAATTTCAAAGGATTTAATAGGTCATTTCTCAACTTTTCTGCACTTAAGAAAAATGGGAAGGTCTGCTTACTGCCACATACTGTCCCCAAGTTGTTGCAGAGTCCCCTGTGATGTACCAGGAGGGGAGTCTGAGTCTCACTACAGTATTAGGCCTCCCACAGCAGACAGTCAATGAGCCAAACGTGGCCTGAACAATGCTCTCATTTGTCTCATCTTACAGATGCAGAGAATGACGCCGGCCTTCAAAAACCTCGCGAACAAGGTAAAAGGAGTAAATATTCAAGAGGGAGGGAACATTCCCCCTTTTTAAAGTGTAAAACAAGATGGAGGAGGAAACATTGGGCTGACATGATGCGTGATGGAAGCTTTACGTCAGTGCTCCTCAACGTTTGTGTGACGGCGACCCCCGTCACACAAACGTTCTGCGCATGCATGGCGCCGCGCGCATGGGGGCGCCCCCATGCGCGGTGCGCATGCGCAACGCTGCCCCATGTGCGACGCGCGTGCATGATGCCGCCCCATGCACGATGCGCATGCGCGACGCCGCCCCATGCGCAACGCCGCCCCATGCGCGACGCGCGTGCACGACGCCCCCCATGTGCGGCGCGTGTGCGCGTCGCTGCCCCCATGCGTGGCGCGCGTGCACGGCACCGCCCCCATGCGCGGCGTGCGTGCACGGCGCCGTGAAAAATGGCGGATCACCACCTTTGCCGATCCCCGAAAAATGGTCGATCGACCCCAAATAGGGTCGCGACCCATAGGTTGAGAATCGCTGCTTTATGTGGTACCTTTAATGAAGATACCTAATGAAGTTATGTTTCATATGTAGGCTAATGAAAAGAAGGAGTGGGGGTGACATGATAGCAGTCTTCTGACATTTGAGGGGCTGCCACAGAGAAGAGTGAGGGGGTTTGACCTACTCTGCAAAGGGCCTGAGGGAAAGACAAGAAGCAACAGAGGGAAACTTGTCAAGGAGCGATCCAACCTACAACGAACCCTGGGAGTTCTTCTTTTTTTGTCTTTCAGAAATGCCATCTTCCTTCTTTAATGAAAAGGAGAGTCCAATTCCATGCAGAGCGGTGCGGTCATTAATGAAGATGAAGGACTTTCAACCGACTGAGGACAAGAAGCAGCAGCTCCCCACTTCCGACAGGCGGGAGGATCCTCCCCTGTTGCAAAAGCCACGTTTCTCCATGCGCCAGGATGGTACTTTGGGGCCAGAAATTCCTGATTCGTTATTGTCATTTTTGAATCGGGAAGGCTACGAAGACGGCTTCGGGGGCCTCTACGACCCTCCGTTGTCCTTTCTCAAGACGTCCTTCTGTGGTGATGCCACTGAGCAAGAGCTGATGGATTTCTTGGCTCGAGCCCGGGCAGTGGCCAGACAAGCCGACCTGCCCTGGGCCGTGACACGGCTGTGCTACCTGCTGGGGAGAATGAGTCTCCGGAAGTTCAAGCTGTCTCAGGCTCGGGTGTATTTTGAAGAAGCTCTGGCAACCCTACGGGGGGATTTCCGTGACCTCCACTTGGTAGCTACTCTCTACATCCATCTAACAGGCATTTATCTGAAACAGAAGAACGTGGAAAAAAGTGCTCGCTTCCTTGACAAAGCTGCCTCTTTGCTGATGGGCATGGCCAGCGACACAGACGGCGCAGAGATGTCACTGGAGATCTTGAAATATGCCTTGAAAAGGGCCGTGCTCAGCCAGAGCAGAAACGCTGAGGCCAGAGCCTGCTTCCTGCTGGCAAAGCATTGCCTCAGCTTCAAGCAAGGGCAGGAACCGGCCCCCTTCCTGGAAAGGCTGCAGCAGCTGCTGAATACGCGCCAGGGGTTGCCCAACAGCAGAGGGTCCGTGGACTGCTACTTGAAGCTTGGCCAACTCTACAGCAAGAAGTGCCTGCCCCGTCTGGCGCTCAGCTGCGCCAAGGTGGTGACTTCCCACAGCTCCTGTTCTCTGCAGGAGCTGTTCAGGAGCATTGATTTGGTGTTAAGGAACGCCTTCGCAGTCCACAGTCCCACACCTGGGGGACAAACGCACCCTTCCCTCATGGCCTTCTACCTCAGAGAACTGCTTAGCAAGCTGGAAGGGAGCAGGGGCAGCCAGAAACTGTGCAGCATCATTTACTATGAACTTTCTCAGCTGCATAGCCAATACAAGCAGTACGAAAAAGCCATTGGTTACATGGAGGAGGTTCTAGAGCTAAATACGAGTGTACAGATGGAAGACACTGTTGAGCACTTCATTTTCCTGAGCTGGCTCTACATCCTCCTTCAGCAGAATGACACGGCTCTGCACATTTTAAACGCGGTCACAGAGTCCCCCTGGAGCACCCGCCAGCAGTTGGGTGTCATCCATAACATGGCGGCCATTAGTCTGAGACGGCAGAACCAGTCCAGGCGAGCCGCAGAGAGCTACTTCAAAGCTCTGAGCATTTCCAGAGAGATGGGAAGCGTGGCTAATGAGGCGGTGGCTTTGGCCAACCTGGGCATCTTGTGCCTGCACTCGTCGGCCCAAGGCCTGGGGGAATGTTTCTTGATCAAAGCCATCCAACTCTTCTCCCAACTCTCCAGTGAAGAATGTGGGGGGAACTTTGTGGCCATCCTCCTCCGGCTGGGGCACCACTATGCCTGTGGGGTTCAGAAGGAGAAGGGGCGGAGTTGCTATGAGTGGGCCTTTCTGGTCGCGATGGAACTTGAGGATGTGGAAGGTAAATTCATTTCCAGGGTTCACAATTAGGATAAATAATGTGCAGCTTTTCCCCAGCTACCAAGGTTTAAGAGCCACTGCCTGGAGGAGCTAAGCTGGATATCTTATGGTTTGAGAGTGTTGCTCAGATTTCTTTTGTCTGCTCAGGCACACATTTCAAGGCAAGTCTGCTTCGCTTCTCCCTCTGCTATGATCTGGAACCATAAAGGGGCAGAAGACACAGGAAGAAACGGTGGCAGCTTCTGCCCCCTCTTCCTCATCCTCCCCCCTCCCGTTATTCCTATTCTTACTTTCAATGCCCAAAGAACTTGTAAGCTTCTAAGACTTTGCAAATTCTTCGGATTATGCTTTGAGCAAGGCTCTGTGTAGAGTAAGACTGAGTTTCTCCTTGACTGCCTTCTTCCTTGATGCACATAAATGGCTGCTCTGCAGGCTGATGAAAAGCTGTGGGGGCTGAAGGTGTCTTGTTGTTGAAAGACTTTGCCGCATTAATCGGTCAACCGCTCCTCCTTTTTAGGGCAACTCCAGGCTGTCCAGCATCTGTGTCATTTCTACAGCACGGTTGTCCCAGATCTGGCGCAATGTGTCCTTTACAACGAATATCAGCTCACCTTGGTTAGGAGGATGTCTGACAAGGTCATGGAAGGGCAGGTGCTGGAGACCATCAGCCAGCTCTATCTGTCTCTGGGAACCGAAAGGTAAGAACTGCAATGCACAAGCTTCTGCCTTTCGGATGAAGAGGTTTTTGTCACTCGGCCACTTGGTTAGTGAGCTGGACACAAAAGTGCCCTTCTGCATGCAGAAGAGGCTCTGTTCCTCCGGACAAAAAGTTATTTTATCCCAAGAACAGGCCCTCTTCTGATGTCCGGGATTAAAGTTTCCATCATCGCGAGCCAGTTTACCCTGTCCTGGCATGAGTTCTGCTGGACAAGCTCTGTTGTTCAGCCCTTCCTCACAGTTGCTGCAGGATGCCTACATTCTCTCTAAGGGGGTCAGGCATTCCGCTCTTTTGAGTTAAGAGACCCCCAGAAAGAAGACCCGGCTTCGGATACTGCAGGGAAAGCCCTGGAGGACCCTGGCCTGCCACCTTCCTTCTGACTTTATGAGTTTCACGACAAGCAGAATTTCAACTGGTGGAGCTTTTCTAAATTCTCTCATACTGAGAGCTTTATGTGCTCCACTTTTATCCCTGTGTGGTGCAGGAACCATGCCAGAAAAAAATTCCACCAGCCGGGAGAGATTGATTGACTGCAGTTCTGCATGAGAATCTCTAGCTTGCAGGGCTGGTGTTAATGATGTTACTTTAGATCTCGTAATATTTCTGCCCAAGTGTAGCTAGTTTGATCACAGCCTCCAAAAAGTTTCTAACCAGAATGGTTTCCACAGCTGATAAGAGGGAGAATATCCCACAGCAGATAGAGCAACTGGCTCAGGACAGAGTCTCTCTAAGTTATCAGACTGTAATGGTGATAGTGGGAGTTCTGTACTTTCAGATTTGCAAGACTGATGTTAGCTTTCCAGGTAGACCAGATAGGAAATATGGCTGCATAAGCTAATTCTGCTTTATTGTAAAGCTACGTTAACAAGTCTGAATGTACAATTCTCCCCTGTCACTCCCAAAGAGGCTTTTTCCCAAAAGGCACTTTTTCCAAAAGTGTTTTCTTTGACAATGTTTCGCTTCTTATCTAAGAAGCGTCTTCAGTTCTGAACTGAACGGGAAGCTTCTCAAACATGGTTTTGGTTTCACGGGTCTCCTGCCTATGGCAGAAGGATCTAAACTAAAGGATCCACAACGTACCAAAGAGGTCTGTTGGCTGGTCCTCAGAGGCTTTGAGAATAACAGTACAAGGTCAGCTGGATGGTGTTCCTCTGTCCGCTTCAGGGCCTGCCGTTCCGCCCTGGAGTATCTCAAGAGAAGCCTCGGGATATTCATCGATCTTCAAGCCAAAAAAAAGGAGGCCCAGGCCTGGCTTCAGGCGGGAAAGATCTACTACGCTCTGCGGGAGAATGAATTGGTTGATGTTTATATCCAGGTAAGAGGGACGATCTGGGGAGGTCACCGGAGCTGAACTTTTCCTCAGTTATTTTACCTGAAAAAGGAAAAAGATGTGACAGCAAATCTAGAAATGTGTGTTTCAGTGATTCAGTGTTTTTCAAATGTTACCAAGTTAGTAGTTTAAATTAAGCGCATATCTTTCAACATGCTACATAAATAGTCCTCGTTTAGTGACTGACTCATTAAGTCACCACTCACAGTTTCAACAGTGAAAAAGTAATTTTGTGACCAATTCTTACATTTATGACCTTTGTAAAGCAAAAGAAAGCTGAAATAAGACCATAAATACGGTCATGGTTTCACTTAGCAACCACTTAATGACTGAGTTGCGGTTGTAATTGTGGTTGTTAAACAAGGGCTTACCTGTGTAATAAATTTGACATAACTGCCTAGAACAGAGGTCTTCAAACTTGGCCCTTTTATGACTTGTGGACTTCAATTCCCAGAATTCCTCAGCCACCATCTTTTGAAATCTTTTGAAATCAAAAGATGCTCATTCGGTTGTTTTTAAAACGAGCTGTCGTATAAGTAGGAGATGGGTCTTCCATGATGCCCTCTGAAACTTACTAAGTTTACTTTTCTCAGGAGGAGCAAATGTGCTTGCAATTAATTCTTTCTACCTATTATTTCTATATATCTCAATATTATAAATACTTTTCTAATGAATAGAAGTATACACTCTCTAACTATGTATCCCTTTCACAATTTGTAATAGATAGTGTTCCTCTCACTGGAAGTGTCCATTGCTCCTTTAAATTTTATCCCTTTCAATTGAAAAATTGCATGCAAGTGTGCTTTTCTCCGGACAGCCAATTAGAGGTGGGAATCTTATTTTAGATCGGGTCCCACTAGCACGTCCTGAATCGCAGCCCCCATGGATTCTTCCAGAAGCTCTTGCCTAGACCATCTTCTCTGTGGTGCCTTTAGCATCTTCAAGATGTCACCAAGTTTAGCTGAAATGATGGGATTTGGGGTGATTCAAGAAGATCTTTTACATTTCCAGCAAAGAGGAAATGACCCAGTTCTTATTCAAATGTAAAATGTGACATCAGGGAGAGGCAGCTAGCAGCAGTTCTAATTCCATAAGGTCTATTTAGGGAACACTGGAAAAAGGAGAAGAAAGTGGATTAGAAGCAGCTTTTGGTTATGTAGGGCTCCTGTTGGAACGATTCCTTTTGTGTTGCTCCGTCTGGTAGAAGCCTCCTTTCTTCCTAGGTTGCTCACAACACGGCTCTGAGTTCTCAGGATCCCAATTTAGAAATGGAAATGCTCGAAGCCTCAGGAGATATATTTTTCAACGGAGACTGGGACAAGGAAAGGGCAGCGCCCTTCTACAGGGTGGGTATACTCTTCCCACCTTCTCACGGGTCGTCCTCGAGACATTGGGCAGATAAGGCTGGGTGACTGATACCTCTGTGACGTTACACTCTGCGAGACGGCCCTTCGTGTTCTTCTCCCGCTGTTGCTTTAGGACAAGGCTCTGCCACTCGCCACGAAGGCCAAAAACAGCAGCGCTGAACTTCGTCTCTTCAACAAGTTGGTTGGGTTGTTCTTGACCTTAGGGAAGTATGAAGAATGCCTCGGATACGCCCAGACATCGTTAATGCTCAGTGTCAATTTAGGTAAACCTGTCCGGTGCATTTCCGAAAGTCACCTGGGGGTGTCGATGAAGATTCTCGGTCATTTAGGCTGAAGGTTGAATCGTGGCAACTAATTTTTTTGTTAGCTTCCGATGTTTTATTGCTCACCCAAGCAGCTTCATCAGTCAGAGCAAGCTAGTTAGGCAGAGAATCCCTGAAATGTACCAACGCCTGCCACACCAACCTCAGGGGTTTTCTCCCCAAAATACATTGCAATATGTCGACAAAGACTCTCCGTCATGCAGGCAAAGGTGTCCGAAGGTTGAATGACTCTCTGCTCACCTGACTTGCTCTGGCTGATGAAGCCCCTTGGATGAGCAGCGAAACGTCTCAAGCTAAGAAAAAACTAGTCCAGTTGCCATGACTCAACCTTCAGTCCCTTGAGGATGATTCAGGGTTGTAGCTAAAGAGACGCATTGTTGGCCTTGTGTCAGAGCACTCTCCACAAATGCTTCTGCGGTGCGCAGGGTGGAAAAGAGGGGAAAAGGAGGGTTGAATCCAGGGATTGGCAGGTTTTGCCAGAGTTGTTTTAAGTATTTACATTCGGTATTCTTTTGAGACTGTTTTTCCCCCAACCCCTACTCCCAACAGCCCAGCCCCATGTCTCAGGCTGGACCACTCTTGAAGCAACATCTCAAGGGCCAGTTTTGGAGGCTTCAAAGACTGTTTGGCAGCTGGTATTTTGCCAAGCAGGCGAGTCAAAATCCAAACTATTCTGGGAAATTATGTTTCCTGTCATCCTTGGAAATCCCCTGTAGAAGCAAACATAGTGGCCAACTTTAATAGATTTTATTGCCGCTATCAAAGCAGGTATCTCAGCACAAGCAAAGAGCCAAGTCCTGCGCTAAGGAAACATTCTCCTGGTGGCATACTTTGGGTCTGCTGTTCACTCCCAAACATGGTGAACCAGGACCATCCCTGGTCTGCTGCCTGCCGTCTTCCTCTCTTTGATGGCTGGTTTTCTCTCTGCTTCTTGGCCAGGAGACCAGCTAAGTGAGCGAGTGGCCTACCACCGCCTGGCGGTCATCCACCATCACTTGGGTCAGAGTGAACTGGCTGAGCATTTCTTCCTCAAAGCCGTTTCCCTCTGCCCCTCCCCGCTGGAGTTTGACGAGGAAGCCCTCTATTATGTCAAAGTGTACCTTCTCCTGGGAGATATCACCTTCTACGACCTGAAGGTAAGACAGGAATGAGAACCTGAAGACAGGAAATCCCTTTCGCTTCACCTGGTTGTGGAATCTTTCCTAGGAAGGGAGACACGGGAGAACAGAGCGGACCAGAAGGAGAAGCTGGGATGATTTCAGACAATTTATGCTAAGGGTGGCTTTTGTCATGTTTTGCCCAAAATAAATTGGATCACTTTACCAGAAAGGCAGAGATCCACAAGAAGAAGCTCATCAGGGGCTGGCCTGTATCTCCCAAGATTCATGACTTCTTCTTAAGGGCAGCTTCCCTGTGTCCCTCTCCCCTTTAATTTGATGAGGAAGCCTTGCTGATTTAGAGAACCCGGGCTGTGATTGTTTTTCCAATGCTATTTCCCCCAGCAACTGCTGCCTCTGTCTCTCCCCCCCCCCCGCCGTGCATTGGCCCCTTTTGAAGAATTTGTGTAAAAGAGAGGCGCAATCAAGTTGCGGCCTTCAGTCCACAGCCTCCTACAAATAGTTCAAAGGTGCAAAATGTTCTTGTAGAAAATGGCTCCTAATTTTAGATGAGGGAATGTGCAGTCCTCATTACACAAGATGCTTGTTCTTGCACACCTTTCGTGTACACACACACACACACACACACACACACACACACACACACACATCCCTCTTCTGCACCTTCCTGCCTTCTTTGCAGGCTGAGGAAGCTTCGCCTCTCCCCGCCACCTGCTTGGGAAGCCAGGAGAGAAGCCCGGCCTGTTATCACTCCTGTGACATCCGCAACAGAAGCGAAATGCAGAGATTAAACCCAGGAAGAAGCCGGGGAGGAAAGGGAGAAAGTGGGGGACAGTCCTGAGGGGCTGGGATGGCTGGAGTGACCCCATGGCAGGCAGACGAGGGGCATGGCGAGGAGACCCAGGGGAAGAAGGGTCAGAGCGGGGAATAAAGCAGTTGGAGGCGGCAGCACCGAAACCGCCCCACCGTCGTCTGCCCCCTTCCCGGCAGAAGCAGGCAGGGGAGGGGCCAAGGGGCTGACCACAAAAGGCGCTTTGGCCTTTCTTGAAACGTTGGCCCAGAATGAGCTTTGCCCCCTTTGCCAAATCTCAGTGGCAGATGTGTGTTTGTGTGTGTGTGCGTGTGTGTGTGTGTGTGAGTGTGTGTGTGTGGGAAGGCCGCATCTTTTTGTTAAAGCAAAAAATTGCAGTTTGAGCTTGGAATAACGGAGGGAGGTTGTGGCTGCATCACCCCTGCGGGTGTCAATGGGCAAAGACGTCCAAAGCTCCCAACTTCCGGCTTGCAGAGCAGAGCAGAGCCGAGCAGAGCCGCTAGGAGGAGCAGCCAAGAGTGAGACAGATCATGGAGTTATCGTTGATTGGTTGGGGAATGCTGGCTCTGTGATTGGTTGCTGTGGGTGCGGAGGGGGAGTTGCCCTTTTCCCCGCCTTTTTTCTTCTGGGTGCTCTGGGGTTTACCTCATGATGCTCCTGTTGGCCTGACTACTTTGTTGGCTACATAGATGTAAAATATATTTATTTACATAAAACTGCAAGTTCGCGTCAGCGTCTCTGACTTCATTTGGACAGCTGCTGGGCAATCCCCTTGTTGTTTTCCTAGACTTTGACTTACCAACCAGCCTGTTTCCATTTTTTTTTTTTTTAAAAAAGGTAATCTTAGTCCCTCTATTGCTTGATGTTTCAGGATCCTTTTGATGCTGCAGGATACTATAATCTGGCCCTGGCTGCTGCCATGGACTTGGGGAACAAGAAGGCGCAACTGAAGATTTACACCAGACTGGCCATAATTTACCACAATTTCCTTATCGACCGAGAGATGTCCCTCTTCTTCTACCAGAAAGCCAGAACCTTTGCCACGGAGCTAAATATTTGCAGAATCAACCTCTCTCCAGACCAGCCTCCCAGGAGGAAGGGCCCATGAGGCTCTCCCTCTAGACACTGGCTGGGGGGGGGGCTTGCAAGGAGCAGAGAGCAGCCCCCCCTTTTTCTGGCACCAGAGGCCAAGAGCTTCAGTTCCTGCAACACTCTTTCCCCACCCATTTCCCCCCCAAAATAAGGACCAAGTCAAGAAAGAAAAGGGCATTGGGATGATCCTGGAAGGAACTGGCTATGAAACCACAGAACAGTTGAAGTCAGCAAACGGTGATCGTGTTCAAATGAAAGCATCTAACTGAAAATAATAAATGGGCTAAAATAATATACAAACTGAAGCTTAACATTTTCTCATGCTCCAATTTTAATAGTTCCAGGTTTGGGAAATGGTGTTTGCAGTGCATGTTACCTGAGGCAGCAACTGATGGATCTCCATATGAAAAAGAATTAAAAGTAAAGTAACAGCTTTTGGTGGGGGACCCAGTTACAGTCTGAAGATTTCCCTAGCATTCTCAGAGTGCGGGCTCATCAAATTCTGTTCAACATCCTCTTCAGCCTCTTGTGTCCATGAAGGACTGCAGAGCAGTTGCGGTCTTCAGATGTTCTGAAGGATCTAGAGAGTTGGGCCTTGGCGTAGTCTTCTTTCTCTTAGGGTGAGAAAGAAAAGCTCAAATGTGTCCGAGCCATTCAAGAGAACTTGACAAGGCGTGACATAAGGAAGCTGGGTGTCTTCCAGTACATTCTTTTTATAGCAACTGTCACTGTCTCAGGATTATCCTTAGATGCTCCTCCGTGCAACTGAGCGTTACAACAGATTCTTTCTGTTGGAGCAGAACACGTATGTCCTCATCCTCGAATAAATCCAACAAGAATTTCCTCAACCCAAAAGCACAGAAGGAACTGAAGATCAATGAAAGAAACATTGGATGCCCAGTTCTTTGCATTTCTTCCTCAAATCAACATGCAGAACAGAGCAGCAAATGTGTGGAATGATTGGGGGTTCTCCTAGAACTCTACCTTACCATGAGTATTGTCATGTTTTTGTTGCAGATGCTTTTTATTTTCAGTCTTACTGTGGGTGTTCATGTAGTACCAGACAATTTTATTTTTTGCTTGTAAGCTGCTATGAATTTGAATGGACATACTGAACAAACATCATAATATCTTTTTATTACTGTACAGACATACATAGTCATGGAAAACTGAATCAACCAGACACGGATTACAAGATTTACCTTATAGGTACTGGGAGCCAGAATCTAAGTTTAAGGATGCAGAGTCTAAGTCTAAGGATCCTCAGAGTCTAAGGATGCAGCAGTCGGCCCATAATAATCCCAGCTGAGCAAACAGATTTCCTCAGCCACTTCTTCAGGATTAGATTCCAACCCTGTAAGTCGATAATGCTTAAGAACCGAAATGGCTGCCTTTCCTGATTCAAAGTAGAGTTTTTCTGATCTGAGTCCCAGCTAAGAAGAAGAACCTGGTCTCAAAAGCAGACTGGCAAAAAAAATTGGAGGTGATTGTGCTTGGGGTCTCTCACTGGACACTTTTGACCAGTAATAAAAAGGGTGTTGGATGGACTTGCACGACTGGGAAAGATTTCCACATTTCACTGGGAAGGAAGGAAGGGGAGAGAGAGTGGGGACCTGCAAAGTCCATTGCCAGGGTGTCATAGTCCCCTTCCTCTGGAGGCAGTCTGTTCTTCCCTAGCAGAGCCGTCCAGGCACCTAGCAGCTAGAAAGTCAGAGAGACATTCAGGGTTTTCTCTCCAGCGTTGTTTATCCTAAAACTTCTTAAAAAGCATGCAGAGAATTTTTTAAAAAAGGAAAAAAGCCTTCCACAATTGACAGTTCAGAGGAACTGAAATACGCCTTTCCTGTTTGCTACAAGATTGGGCTGCTGCTTATTTTATTGCCTTCGGGGTTGAGACGGAACACTGATATAAGATGCAAAATAATGACAATTATGAAGAATAAAATGATATTAATCTTGTGGACCAAAGGCAAATATTTAAAGGGACATCTAAGAAAAAAGCTGATGGCTTTCAACATTGTCATTAATTTATGGTCAGAAAGCTATTTTAACAGCTTATTGTTCGAGAAGGAATGCTGAACTGGCAGAGAAGGAATATTCCATCATTTTGAAAGCAGACAAGAAGCCGGTTCGGGGAGGCCCTGCTCGGTTGTTTCTCCTAAGCTCGGTGTCTTCTTTCATTTCCGTTAACATGATCCTTTCCCTCCAGTGATGAAGGTTCATTAGCAGCTCTTGATGGGCTTTCCTGTTTACATTCTGGACCTCAACTTGCCAACGACAGGTTTGTTGTTACAAAATTCTGACCACCAGGAGGCTCTTTCCAGGATTTTTGGGCTCTGAAGAACTGCACTCCATAGATTTTTATATAGCTGGAAAAACATAATAAAATACAAGAAAGGTTTCGGTCAAAGCAGTAGGTTTTAAAGGAAGGAAAAGGAAGTTGGTATCAGAGATTGGGATGCAATTCTGACATTGTGTGATGCAATTCAGAAAGCAAGAAGACGGGCTAGAAGACAGACCCCCAAGGAGGGGCGAGCCCTGCTTACCTCTCCATCGGCCTTGGCAATTGGGGAGCCGAGGACAAAATCAGGAGGGGCAATGACGTCCACCAGAGCCACCGATTCGTCCTTCAGCTAGGAGAGAGGCAGAGGGAAGAAACTGGCCACGGCAACAACAACTGTAGAAGACCAGCCTAATTGATCAGGCAAAGGCCTATCCAGCCTTGGTTTTTAAGCCGTGTCCATACTTGCTTTGTTTCAGAGAACCTGACTAACACATTTTCATGAATGACATAAGGGTAATAACACCCAACAGGGATTGCAAACGGCTCCAAAGAATCTCTCTAAACTGGACCAAAGAAGCTGAAATTGGAAAATGTAGCTCAGGGGAGGCAGATGGGAAGTGACCCCTCTTGTTTCTCTGAATACAAATTTCCCTCTCGGTAAAGGGACCTGAGCTGACTGTGACTTGCTGGGAAGGGCAGGCAGGTCACAAAGGGTGTGGAAAGCGAGGACATCGCTTGTGGTCCTGCACTGAAGCTAAACACAGGAAGGTTCAGGATATGAAGAGCTTCTTGGGTCTTCTCTTACATCATGGATGGTGAAGTTAACACCGTGCACTTAAATGTCCACTGAAATCTGATGAGATCGCCAAATTTTCAAGATTTCAGTAGTCCCTACTGGCACATACCTTTGAACAAAGTTCCAGAATTGAATCCTGTATCCATTTACTGACGTTTTCACCTGAAATGTAGCCACCTGAAACGTATTTAGAGCAATAATACATTCAGAATGAAACAGTTCATTCATACTGAAGCATACTTTAAGTTCCTGTTGGATACACGATATGCAGAAATAATCCCTGAAATAAACCGAAGGTGCTGTACTGAGGATTAATGCTCCAGTGCTTTGCATTTGAGACCTTCCTGCCTTCAGGATATGGAAATTGCACGACTGGGAAAGATCTCCACATCTCACTGGGAAGGAAGGAAGGAAGGAAGGAAGGAAGGAAGGAAGGAAGGAAGGAAGGAAGGAAGGAAGGAAGGAAGGAAGGAAGGGAGGGAGGGAGCTGGTCTTCCTGGGCTGAAGGCAGAACCATCACCTGTGCACGGAGAAGGGTGACTCTTAACAATATCCCACTGGGGATTCACAAACTGTGCCTCAGAGGGTGGAGGCCTGGACAGGCAGATCCAAGAGACACCTGCCCCCCTTTCCACAGCCTCCGCCTGGCCCTGCCTACACCTTAGGGGAGGGGGGGGGTCCTGAATCCAAAGCGCTGCATGGCCTTTCTTAATGGCCTGCTTTGGGGTGTGTGTGTCCCAGGCCTTTGAAGGAGCAGCGTCTCTTAACAAGGAAATCTAGAAATGCAAGCAGCAAGTTAATTTGCCAGTTTTATTTTAGAGCTCAGTCTGGCCCCGATTCTACTTGGGACAACTTAGAAATAAGTTAAGTAACAGAATGGAAGGTTTAAAGTTTACTCTAAGTTATTCAAGAGAAATACTTCATCCTTTAGAAAAAGAGGCATGACTAAAAAATGCAAAAACAGAGGCTGAAATTATAGGCATGTAATGTATTTCACCCTTATTATTAAATGGTATAATTTGGGCACTTTAATTTCTGAGTGGGTTAGCAGATAAGATGAATTGTACAGAGTTCTCAAGAAGACATAAAGCCAGCCTCACCTTGGTAGAGTGTTGCCGTGTGCTTATTTAAGGACCAGAGTCCATAGAGTGAACAAATAAGCTTTAGTACCGGCTGAAGATTCACTGGCGTGCTGGGACTGTGCACGTGTTTGTGGTACTTTTCTAAAACTGTGTGTTCAATAAAAGCTATAGCTAATGAACGACAGTAATACACCTGTGGGGGAAAAGGGAAAGCATACTTCAGGATGACAATTTAAAAGCAGAGCTACAAATATAACACATTCTGCCTTACAGATGAATTGATGCTTATTCCACACAGGGTGTCTGTGGAATGAAAGTGAGTGGAGGCTGCTACTATCACCTGAAGGAAAACGCAGAACGCTCTGAAATTAGAAGCGGAAGTTACCTGGCTGTTGTTCTTTGCCTCAAAATCAGCACAGCCGCTTTCTTCCTGCTTCCTCAGTTTCTGGATGCTTTCTCGGAGCAAGTAACAAACCAGCCACTTGTAGGCCCTCAGAGATGCTGGAGGAAGGAACTGCAGTTTTAGACATTCATTTGGGCAATTCAACGTGATGAAGGGGACAGCGAGCAGCCATATGTGTAATGAAGGCCACTGGATGCTTTATGAGCCTTGCCAGAATTCAAGAGCACCTGCCAGGGAGATTTTTTTTCTCTTGCATGCAGTTCATAAAGAAGAAAAGGATAAACAGGCACCGTGACCAACAAATCCTACAGGGATGAATCCATTTTCACTGACATCGGGAAGTTCACAATGCACCAAGATCGCAGCTTTTCAAGCCACCTTTCTGATAACTCCCCTCTACCCCCCCCGGAAGCGCTGCTGTCTCTTCTGCCCTGCACCTCCTCCGCCCACTGGCCACCTTGCTCAGGAGGGCCACACAACGCAGGCTGGTTTGAGCCACAAGCAGCGGGTAAGCGCCCACAGGCTCAAGGAACTAGGAGCAGGCACTTGTCCCCCGGAACATTCCCCGATCCCAAAAGGAAATCCCAGAAGGACAGCGGGAAAAGAGAAATACCTGAAGAGTCCATGAGGTCTTGGCCATATGGAACCACAAATTTCTGACAGAGAATATCATCGTAATCGTTTAAAAAATCAACCGATCCCAGGGGTGACAAAACAGGGTGACCTGTAAATGAAGTGCCAGCGACATCAGATCCAAACCTCCAGCCAAAAGGCACGAAGAGTTACTTGTTGCTCTGAGGCCCTGTGGAGGTCGGGTGCTCTCCCCTGCCTTTGCCACCCATCAAACTGTTTTCCTGGACCTCCGGTCTCAACTCCTATCAGGACTTTTCCTAAAAATATCTGCTTTTAGAAGAAGTCCCCTTTTTTGTCACGGTGAGGGAACCGTTTCCAAAATACAGCTAAATTTTGCAAATTGGGTCCACTCTGCATCCCAGATGCTCCACGCATTATGTTCTAAAGTCAAGAGAAGGGGATTGGTGAAGACTAAAACTAACCATTTATTCGATAGAGATGTCTCAGCCTATGGTGAGTTACACTCTTTCTCAGAACAACAGTCCCTGCTCATAGTTACTCATACGCAAAACATTGTTGTCTCCTTCGTAAGTGCAGTTTGACTCCTGCAATGCACTCTACATGGGGCTCTGCTTGTGTAAAGTATCAACTGGTTCAAAAGGAGGCAGTCTGCCTGGTTTTCTGCGAGTCTGGATTTGCACATTTCACCTCTCTTGTGGGAGCTGCACTGGCTGCTGAGCCCTGGTGGACGCAGTGGTTAGAATGGCATATTGCAGGCTGACTCTGCCCACTGCCAGGGGTTCGATCCCGTCCTTCTGGTGAAACGAGGATCCAAATTGTTGGGGGCAACAGGCTGACTCTGTAAACTGCTTAGAGAAGGCTGTAAAGCATTATGGGGCAATATATATCTAAATGCTGTTGCTATGGATATTTGCTGCCGGATCCAATTCAGGGTGCTGGTTGCCACCTTCAAAGCCCGACATGGGATATTTGAAGGGACCGTCTACCTGGCCCACTAGAGTGGGGGAGGCAAAGGCACGGTAGCGCAGGGGGAGAGGGGGAGGGGGAAGCATGTGCTGACTCCTTTCATTGCCTCCCTCTCTGGGCTCCGAGCATGGCAACCTCCAGCCCCCCCCCCACTAACCTTGGGATCTCTCACTCATCCAGCGCAACAGGTAGTTGCTTGTCTGCTGTAACAAAACATTGTTGTCTCCTTCGTAAGTGCAGTTTGGATCATTGTCATTACGAATATCGCCCAGACGATTCACTGGGGGTCAGGGATAAATGGCACACAAAAGACACAAGCATTATGAAGGGACTGTCACCTATTTAAAAGCTACAAAAGCCCTTCTTGTTGAAAATTTCAAAATAAATAAATCTATCTCTGTCAAGGTTGAGTGATTTTTAAACATTGGCCTCCAGCCGGGGGAGGCACGGGCCTTGCAAAACCTTGGGGTAACTGAGTGGGGGGGGGGCACCCTGGAACCCCCCCCCTTTGCCTTTCCATGGGGAAACTGGGGTGAACCTTAATTATCTAACTCACTTCTACAGGCATATCCATTTTCAAGCATCCAGAGAGCTTGAGCTCAGGAGGAGCTCAGTCGAGTGCAAAGAGCTGCTAGAGGAAGTGACGTACCGGCAGTCCCCGACTTACGACAGTGCATTTAGTGACCGTTCAAAGTTACAACGGCACTGAAAAAAGCAACTCATGACCATTTTCTGCTCTTATGACCGTTGCAGCATCCCCCGGTCACGTGATCAAAATTCAGTCACTGGGGAACTGACTCATGGTTTACGACGGCCGCAGGGTCCCCCGGGGGTCACGTGACCCCTTTTGCGACCTTCTGACAAGCAAACTCAAGGGGGAAGAAGCCGGATTCCTTTGACCAACCGGGTTACTAATTTAACTGCATTGAGTCTCAAGTCACTTAACAACAGGGGCAAGAAAGGTCCTAAAATGGGGCAAAAATCACTTAACAAATGTCCCACTTAACAACAGAAATTTTAGGCTCAATGATGGTCGTATGTCGAGGACTACCTGTATTTACCAGTTAATATTGTCAGAATCAAACCTTTAACTTGTGAAAAAGGAGTACACTTTTGCACTAGGGGGTCACCAGGCGGCTGCAGCCTTTTGAGGGGGGGGGCCCTCCTGCCTGCCCTTCTCCGTCCGTCCCTCCCTCCCTTCCTCCCTCCCTCCCGGCAGGGGACCCAGGAGAGCTTCCTCACTTACTGGCCAGGTAGCCGTGTCCCCCGCAGGCCTCCCGGCACTCCTGGATGGCTTGCTGGGTGAGCCAGGAGCAGAGGGGCTTCCCCGAGGTGGACAAGGCATGGATCTCACGGCCCAGCTCAGCCTTGGGGGAGAGGAAGGAGGAGGAGGAACAACATGGCGGTCATCACCACAGCAGGAGGGGGGGGGGGTCCCTCCAGCAGCCCCTCCCTGGGGAAAGGCAGACAGAAGGGGAGAACCCTCCGTGTCCTTGCGATGACCTTAAGGACTTTGCCCCAAGCAACGTCCACCCTTTTTGTGCAAACACAATGAAGTCTGCACCATGAAAAAAAAAACAAACCCACACCGCCCGTGATATTCTGGGGGGTCCCTGGCGTAGCCACCCAGCCTGCCCCAGGCCCAGAGACCAGAAGAGGATCTTTCAGGGGGGCCACGAAACCTGCTGTGGAAGGAGACTCTCCCACCTGCTGGGCGCTCTTGTCCTTCATCAGCAGCCCTATGTGGAACTCCATGAACCTGAGGAAGAGGGAGCGGGAGAAGAAGTCCCAGGCATAGGTGGCCGCCAGGTAAGGAAGCAGGCGCCACTGCTGCAATCGAAAGACGGGCAGGTGAGCTGGATGAGTGGGGGGGTCACTTCCTTTCAAGCAGTTTTCCTCACAAACTCTGAGATGAAGCGGAACGCGCCCCCCACGCAGCCTACAACCTCACGGATTCCATTGCGATTCTGCTCCCGCCCATCCAGGGGCGGCCCCGTTTCCCCAGGTTCTCCCAGGCCAGTGACGGGAGGATAGGAAGACACCATCTCGGGTTCAAAGAAAGATGCTGGCTTATTGACCGACACGTTCCCTTAACCATGAAAAAGGCCGGAAAATTCCTTCTGGTCAAGCGGCCGCCTCAGTACCTACGCCGTAATGGCTTATGACCAGAATTCTCAACTGAATTACGGCTTGGCGAGGCTCCCCGCGTGGCGAGAGCCATTGCCTGCCAAGAACCAGGCCTGGCCTTGAGGCAGCTCCCATTGGCCGGGCTGCTCTCACCTGCATCTGGTACTCCAGGACGGGAATCTCCTCGGCCTCGGCCGGCCCAAACTGGCGCCGGGTGGCGGAGAAGCGAATGGCTATCGACACGGCCAGCTTCAGATTGGCCACAGACATGGCGATGATCATAACTCTCCCGGCGGACAAGGTGCCCAGCGAAGCCCCCAAGCGCTGCTTGTGATCCTGAGGAGACACAACCCGCCCCGCCCCAAGGAAGCGGTGACACGCCCTGCTTAGCCCTGCAGGGAGATCGGTCCTCTCGTGCGACGGCAACTCTGCTGACAAACCAGCAGGTGAGGCAAAGGAATCCAGCTTCAGAGAGCCAATGTAGCCTAGTGGGGAAGGCTCCGGGCTAGAGACCAGGAGAGGGGGAATTCTAGTCCTACGTCAGGCCTTCGTGACTTTGGGCCAGTCTCCGTCTCTCAATCCAGCCCACCCCACGGGGTTGTTGTTGTGGGGAAAACAGGAGGAGGTCTGTTCAACAGCTTGAACTGTTTGTAAAAACTAATAAAGGTGGGATTAAAAACAGCAGAGAGAGGAAAGAGAGAAGCTCCTGACAGGAAGCAGAGTTCCTACCTTGAAGGCGCTTGTGTATTTCCCCTCAGCAGTGATATCGCCCGTTCGGCTCAACAAATTCTCTTTGGGGACCCTCACTTGGTGGAACATGGCAAACCTGGCAGAGTTCAAGAGAGGGTTGAAAGGGGGGGGGTTCCCGGGCTCAGCGTACACACTAAGCAACCCTCAGCCAGAACAGCACATCTCCCGGCTTCTCACCTGGTGCCTGAGCCTGAACCCTCACCCGGAGTGGAAGTGGTGGCTTTCTGCTGCCTGAGGGTACTCACCCGTTATCTAACCCATTCTGCCCAAGTTTCCTTCCTATGTCGCCAACCATGACCCCTGGCATGGGAAGCAAGGTTTTCGGATCCCGAATCTGCAAGCACAGAGGCACATCCAGATCAGTAAGTGCATTTACGGGAACCCTTTTTGTTTAGATTAAGGTGCTGAAGGTGTTCGTTTCACTGATGTCATTATCGCCTCAAAGGTGCTTTTTCCAAATGGAAACTGGACTTTCTTGGGTTTTTTTCTTTGAACAGGTTTCACTTCTCATCCAAGAAGCTTTTTCAGTTTTGGAAAAAGTACCTTTGGGACAACTGTGACCTGGATGATTGAGAAATTACATTACACAGCCAGGCAAAGAGGGTGAAGCTCAGGGGAAGGAGCTCTCCAGGGTTCTGAAACAAGGACAAGACGTTGGGGAGGGGCACTGGGGCCATCACCGCCTGGGACTCTCGCCCTCCCCTCCAGGGGGACTGGGGTCACAAGACATTCCTATTCTACTGTACAGCATGACAGGAACATCCGTCCTCCAGTCCCCTTTCACGGCCTGGGCTGAACTTGAGTCTGGGAGGACCCGAGTTGCCCAGAATCATGCATGAGCGAGTGGCCATAAAACCTAAAGTTTATATGTGAACAATCCATCACACCTGGGTTTCATCTGATCTAGAAAACAACACCTCACCATCCCGGTTCTCCTTGGCTTCAGTGGGGACTGAGGCCGGCTTAGACAGCAAGCAATGAAAACAGGTTTCACATGTTCTGACTGCATCAAGAATGCCAGTTTGTGTTGTGGTTAAGGCACCAGGCTAGAAACTGGGAGATCACGAGTTCTAGTCCTGCTTTAGGCATGAAACCAGCTTGGTGACCTTGGGCCAGCTGCCCTCACTCAGCCCGCGGGAGAAGGTGGCAACGGCAAGCCATTTCCAAAACCTTGCCAAGAAAACCGCAGGGCTGTCCACCCTGACCGAAAGCACCAAAGAAACCCTTCCCCCCCCCACACCCGGGATCTCTCTGTCAGGATGCCGCAAAATGGGACATTGTGCCGTGCCGAGCACATCGAGCACGGTGTGAAGGAGAAGCAGAGCTGCTGCCGGAGCGCGCCCCTCACCTGCACCACAAAGGAATGCAGCCCCTGGCTTTGGCCGTCGGGCGTGTGGAGCTGGGCGTAGACCACGGCGTGCGTGGCGTTCTTCCCCATGTTGCCAATCCAGAACTTGGCGGCTTCGAAGTCAGGCGAATGAAGAACAAACTCCTGCACAGTTGGGGGGGGGGAGAGAGACACTCAGCGCCGAGCAGAGAAGAAAACAATTGCCCAGCTCTACAGGCAGTCCTCGACTTACAGGTTTCATTTAGTGACCGTTACAACGGAACTGAAAAAAGTGACTTAGGACCCGTTTTCACACTTGTGACTATCGCAGCCCCTCCCCCCTGCGGTCACACGATGAAAATCCAGGTGCTTGGCAACTGACTCAGATTTATGACAGCCACAACGTCCTGGGGTCACGCGATCCCCTTCTGTGACCTTCTGACTAGCAAAGTCAAGGGGAAACCAGATTCACCTAACAACCGGGTTGCTAGCTTAACAACCGAAGTGATTCACTTAGCAACCGTAGTAAGAAAGGTGGTAAAATGGGGCAAAATTCACTTAAATGTCTTGCTTAGCAACGTAAGCTTTGGGTTCAAATGTGGCCCTAAGCCAAGAACTGCCTGTATTTGATGCTAAGTCTTTTTAAACAGAAACAGGAAATATTCTACAGGACACCTCAAAAGTAGCCTTGCTAGGCAACAAGGCCTAGGTATACATTCTTCCAGCGCAGAGAGGTCATGTAAATTATTTAAATGAAGCAATTTGAGTTGCTTGAAAGGCCATAGATATGTCATTTAACAGATTTTGGTGAAAAACTGACGCCCCACTAGCCCTGAGTCCATTTAAACACAGTTTCACCGTCCAATTCTATTATTTTAATAAAACTAAAGACGGAGGATTAGAAGCTGCTGGTTGTTGATAATCTGACCTGCGCGTCTGGGTCGTATCTTGCAACCGTCCGGATGTTCTTGGTGTTGCTGCCGTGGCTGACTTCAGTCAGTGCAAAACATCCAAATATCTGTGGCCAAGAGACACACAAAAGAGATCTTAAGAGTGGGAACATAATCACACAGTAGCATTGTTCTGCCATGGTTCCACTGGTGAGCTGTGAGCTGAGCCTGGGGCTTAGGGCTAAGAGGAAGTTACCCACATCCAGCAGATCCATTCTTGGTAAGGCGTTCGCAGGGTGTGTGTGTGTGTCAAATAAGTCACAATAGTGGCCACGACAAGGATTTTTTATGTGCATTGCTGGAGGGGGAGGCTGGACTGCACTGTTGCAACCAGCATCTTACCTGCCCTTTGGCGATTCCTCGGCAACTAGAAAATCTACAGTATTAACACAGTCAAACTTGAAAAGGGGAGAGCCTCCCTATTTTACAGAAGATTCCTATCACCCTTTTTAATGAAATTAATTAAGTGATGTCAACAAATTCAAATTCCAAATAGTAGAAAAGACGTACCTCCATGCTTTCAACTTGTTCAATAAATTTTCTGTGTCTTTTGGATCCAGAACTCTCAATGTTGTCCTTGAACACCTGTGACATTAACCGAAGCCAGAGAACTCAAAACAAGCCAGTTAAGAATCGTGCAATGTTCGGAAAAGTTTAAATGTAAAGATGTTGCACTATTTGCTGCTCAAGTTAAAAAAATAAAATAATCTAAAGTATTCTTCCAGGCAAGATAAGTTTTTTCCCAACAATTTTATGAAGGATTATATTAAACAGATAAAGTGAATAAAAAGGAGAAATACACTAGGACAAAATCGCTTTTCACTGGGAATAAAACAAATTCTGGAAACTGCGTTTTGCTCTGTGTGTAGAAGAAACAACTGAGCCAGGCCAGCCTGAGGGGAAGGCATCTCTGGCTAGACTAAAACCCAGACCCCAGAGCTGGAGCCGGTCCACTTTCAGTGGGCGGGGCCAGCCGGGCACCCTTGGCTCCTCCCTCCCCCCCACTCGTGCCCTGTGCTTCCCCTCCCCTTTCTCTTCCAGCTGGCTGGGGAATTCTGGGAGATGGAGTCCACCCATCTGACAGTTGTAGAGGCTGAGGCTGCCTGGGATCTTCTGCTGATCCTAGAGGGAAGCCCGGGAGATTTCCTTCGCTCCCCGCCCTGAGCTTTCGCCCTCGGCCTCCCTCTCTCTTTCAGCTCAGCAGGGATCCATCTCACAAAAGAATAATTACAAGAGTTCATTTAGTGACCGTTCAAAGTTACAACGGTACTAAAAAAAAGTGACATATGGCCGTGGTTCACACTTACCACTGTTGCAGCATCCCCAGGACCACGTGATCCACATTAGCAACCTTCTGACAAGCAGAGTCAATAAGGGGGGAAGCCAGATTCACTTAACAACTGGGTTACTAACTTATCAACTGTGGGGATTCACTTAACAACGGTGGCAAGAAATGTCGTAAAAGGGGATGAAATTCACTTCACAAATGTCGCACTTAACAGCAGAAACTTTGGGCTTCAGCCGTGGTCGTTAAGTCGAGGACTACCTGTATCGTTGCTTAAGCCTAAAGTAGAAAGCGCTGCTAATGCTTTCAGAGCAGAATGTGGCTCTGAATTGCAGCTTTGGCAGTCTACTCCCTTCGTATTTAAATGAGAGCTCCAGCCCTGGCAGCCTGGCACCGGCAATTTCACAGGCTTGAGCAACGAAGTTGGTAATTGACATCAAAGTAAACATCTAGCTGAACAGCCATCCAGAAGTTTCTCAACAGCAACAAACCACAAAATAGGAAAAAGAAAAGATGATCATGCGGCTCCAGTGAGAAGAACTGCACCTACCTGGTAGTTGAGCAAGTACTTGGTTCCCAGGGACCAGTCGTACATGCCCAGGCAGCTGATCAGAATGACCACTTTCAAGGGTTTTTCAAGAATCTCCTCCAAAGTTAGGAAATCGTATTCAAAAAGCTTCCGGCAGCGCAGAAAGGTCAGCTCCCGGTACTTCTCCAGAGACAACTCTTCCCCAGGAACACGAGCAAAGAGAGGTTCGTTTTCAAGAGCTGAGAATATTTTGTGCTTCACAAACAAAAAAATCAGAACGCTCAAGTCAGTTCCGAACATCCTGCGGTCGGCAGGACATACATCCTTGAGGCATTTCTGGCAAATAATGCAAGAAAATATGAACCCAAAAGCCCAGAATGCGTTTTTCTCCTCCTCCTCCTCCTCTTTAGGACTGTCAATCTAAAGGCAGGATAGGTCTCCACATGCTAGTTTGGAGCCTTTAGCGCTAGAAAAAAGGGTGACGACGCTTCAAACGCTCCTCTAAGGAATAATTCATGTCACAGCAACTTCCGGGTTCTTAAAACCTTGTATTTGGTAACAAAATAGGGCATGTATTTCCTTTTATTTGTGGTGGTGGCAGTAGTGGAGATCTTCTCATCACCAACATTTCTGGAAAGGCAGCGTTCTTGGCGCCCTCTGAGCTTAGTGGTTTCCTTGCAGACATTTTGTGTAGCATCTAAACGAAAAGAGGCAGCAAAGCCTACCCTGACTTGTGCCAATGATATTATCGAGCCAAGTAATGAACGTCTGCAAGCAAACAACCAAAGAACAGTAAGAGCTCCATAATTCAACTGAGCCACAAATATCCTGCTTCTGAAAATGCTACAATTGGAGCACAAAGCTGGACTGGAATCCTTGCAACGAGGAACTCTGGATACGTTCCTGTTATAATGTGGAGTAATTTAGTTCAGCAGGAACACCAAAAAAGCAAGCAAACAATGGAGCTGTCTTGCACGTAAATTCCTAAATTCAGAACTTTTATTAACTCATCACTCTGGCTTTGTACCTTTTTGTGTCTTTGTATCTTTTTCTATTTCTTTCCTTCTCGCGCTTTTACCTTTCTCTTTGATTTCTTATTTTCTTTTTCTTACAGTAGCTTTTGTCTCCTTTTAAAAAATCTAGATAAAAATCCAGCTGTTATCATTACAATCAGAATAAAGCAGGAAGGGACCTCAGAGGTCTTCTAGTCCAACCCTCTGCTCAAGCAGGAGAACCTAGACCGTTTCAGACAGGTGACTGTCCAAAAATGAGGCCACATGGGAACACACAGAAGAAAACCGACACACCCAAATTGAACACAATAGGGAACAAATAGCTTCCGTAAAAAAACGACCCTATTATATATATATATATATATATATATATATATATATATATATATATATATATATATATATATATGGGCCGGGCTTCCTTCCCAATTCCTGCGGAGCCTCACCTTGAAGCGGATCAGGTCTTCCTCCTCCACAAAGAGGGCCATCTCCTTCCACTTGAAGGACGCCTTCTTCCGGTAGGCGCACAACGGCCCCTTGGGGAGGTCCGGCAGCAGCGAGGGGTTCGAGGAGCTGGACGGTGCCAGTTCCCCAAACGGAGCCATCTTGATACGGAAGCTGGAGACTGGAAATAGAACTGAAATTGAGGAGAGGACGTCAGAAATGCTGGGCAGGAAGGCAGAAACGTGCAGATTACCATTTCAACGTTGTGCCCTGGGCCCTGCAGCCACGTCTGCACGGAGATCACCATCTGTTTCTAATTTAATTTGACAGATGGAGTTTCCGAGGAGTTCCTGGCAAACGTTCCAGCAGTCCTCCACTTAAGAGAGCCTGAAGTTAGGATGGTAATGAAAAAAGTGACACGACCGGTTTTAAACACACGACCGCCGCCGCAGCATCCCTGTGGCCACGTAATCCAAATTTCAGCCACTTGATGACTGACTCGTATTCATGACGGTTGCCGTGGCCCAGGGGTCACGTGATGCCCTTTGGTGACCTTCTGACAAGCCGAGTCAAGGGGGAAGCCCAATTCACTTAACGACCGGGTTACTAACTGAACAATGGCAGCTATTCACTTAACCACATTGGCAAGAAAGGTCTCGGTGCCAACCAGGGACCCTCATCCGGGCCGGGGGGGGGGAACAGGGTTTGGTCTGGCCCAGAGATGAGGAGAGTCCCCCATTTGGTCATGAAGCGTCTCCTGGGAAAACTCAATTCACGAAGGTCTCACTTAAGCACAGAAATGCCGGGTTCAATTGCGGTCATAAGCCGAGCACTACCGGTATGTTGCGCTGGAAGAGACCCAGGGCTTCTTCCCCAGGCGGAGAAAGAGGCTCCCGGTCGCCCCCGGAAGCGGCAGAAGCAGCAGCTGCCGGTCCCGGTGCGGGTCTCCGGGGGCTGACGCTGCCCCGCCCGGCCTTTCGGGAGGGAGCCGGGCCGAGGAGGCGCTCCCGGGCAGCGGCAGGGACCATCCGGGCTGGCGGAGGAGCGGCTGCGGGAGCCTCGCCCACCCCGGGCAGGGGGCGAGTCCGGGGGTCGCCTGCGGGGCTGCCCTTTAGGGGGGAGGGGGCGGCCTCTCCCCTTCCCACCCCTTGCGGGGCCAGAGGGGAGGTCCCGCCTCGCGACCCCCGGCAGCCCCCGCTCGGACTCCTCGCCCGCTCCTGATCTCGCCCCCCCATGACTAAGTACCCCGGCGCCTCGCTGAGACGGAGCCCCCCCCCTCCGCACCTGCAGAAAGGCAGCCGCGAGCCGAGCCTTCCTTCAACAGCCTCTGGGAGCTCGGACAGACGATCTCGAGGGCGCCCTCCCGCCTCTACCGAAAAAGCAGCGGGGCGGGTACTCCGGACTGCGCAGAGGCGACCTTCGAGAAGCGGCCAGGACAGTCCCGCCCCGGCCGCCGTCCCTTCCGGCTCCGGCCGCCCGGCCAGCGCCACCGCGCAGGCGCCAGCGGGACAGACCCGGAAGCGGAGCCATGGAGGCGGCGGGCGAGGCGGCGCTACGGGACCCGGCGGGGCGCTTGCCCGGCGGCTTCTGGACGGCGGCCGGCGTGTGGCTGGAGCGGCCGCAGGTGGCCAACAAGCGGCTGAGCGGCGCCTGCGCGGAGCCGCCCCTCCGCCTCCCCAGAACGGGCGGCGCGGCCGGCGCGGCGGAGCGCGCCTGGCGGTCCTTCTGCGCAGGCGCGGGGGCCGCGGCTCTGGGGCTGGAGGGGCCGCTGGAGCTGGTGGTGCGCCGGCTGCTGCCCCGCCGCCCGCCGCCCGCCGCGGCCGTCCCGGAGCTGGTGGTGCGAGGTGGGCGGCCGGCCTCCTTCTCCCCCCGCCTTCCCTCCCCTCTTCCCCGTCGCCTCACCTTCCCTCGCCTCGCCCGGCATGGCGGCGGCCTCCTGGGTGGGCGGCGGGAGCTCTGCCTGCAGCCTCGCCGGCCGAGAGAGTGGAGGGGGGCGCGGCCGCCCGCCCGGGATTATTCCCCAGGGCCCGGGAGGGAGCAGGCCCATCCCCCGCGGGCGTCGGCAGCCTGGGCGGGACGGTGGGCCGGGTCTGCTGCGGGCTGGGGCGGGGAGGTGGGCCAGAGGAGAGGGAGCCGCCCCCTCCGCCGCCCTGCCCGCCTTTGCCTCTGGGGGGGGGGCGGGGGAGACAGTCTGGAAGCACCGACGGGAAAGGAATCCTCTGGAGCCCCCCCCCCCGGACCTTTCCTTGCAGATGCTTCCTGACCCAGCCGGGGAAGGTCATCAGGGCCGGGAGGGGGAGGGGGGGACGGGGTTTGTGGAGGGGAGGGGAAAGGAAAGGGGAAGGACTGTGGGGTCTGTGCAGGTGTTTCATGGCCCAAGTAGGGAACATCATCAGGGCCAGGAGAGGGGATGGAGTTTGACCTAACCTCGCACTAATGAGGGTCCCTACTTGGGTCATGAAGCATCTGCAAGGAAACGGGCTCAGAGAGACAAAGGAGCCTGCAGTCTGGGAGTGGTTTTCTATCAGCCCCTCTGGGTTACCTTCTCCATTTCTCAGTCTGGTCTGCATCCCCCCCCCACCCCTTAGATCAAGCATGTCAAACTGCCAGCCGGTGGGGCGGATATGTCATGTCAAAACCGCGCCAACCCCATTGCCGGCAATGGGGAAAAAGTCACCACTTTGACATGCCTGCCCTAGATGGTTTGGCCCTGCCAAGCGATATATGCTCAGTAAATCAATTCAGAATTCTATGTAACGTTCTTTTTGTCATTTTCTAAAAGAAGCATATCTTACAAAGAATAAAGCTGTACAATTTGCAACTCTTTACAGATGTCCTTAACGGGTCACTGACCTTTCTGCCTTTGGAACAGACCCGCGAAGGCGAATACAAGGTGAAGGTTGGCAATATTTATCAGATTCGGCTCCGGCACATACGGGACGATGAATGGTGGGTGCTCAGAAGATGTTGCTGTCCTTGAATCCTTTCACCACAGTACAAGATGCATTTAAGAGAGTGATCATTCTTTACTTCTGTTTGCATCGTTCAGCCTTGCCAGGTTTTTTTGTATACGGCATCTTTCTTCATGAAGGTGTAAATTTAGCAGGTTGCATCTGGTTTGGGAGTCACTGCCCTCAGTTTGATATTATTTGGGCTTTGGCACCACAGTCCGTGTGAGTTGGACTTGGGAGTAATTTGCAACCAGTTTTCAGAGCAGAAGCGTTGCATGCGCTACTCTAGGCATACACGGAGCTGCCCTCACCGCTGCTTTCTGTACCAGCGGAACCTTCTGGATACTCTTCAAGGGCCAGCCCTCTATAAAGCTCATTGCAGTAGTTCATTCTGCAAGCGACTGGGTGGGCTGCTGCTCCAGGAACGGGCTCAACTGGCACACCAGAAGCAGGTGTGCAAAGTCCCTCTTAGCCATGACTGCCCCCTGCTCATTCAGCAGGAGTCATGAGTCTAGGTCAGTGGTGGCGAACCTATGGCACGGGTGCCAGAGGTAGCATTCAGAGCCTTCTCTGTGGGCACACCCCAGTCCTAGGCCTTCAGTTGGGTTTTATAAAACCTTTTCGTTTTAGGCCTCCTCTGCCATGTGTAAAAAAAAAAAAAAGGTTCAGTCAATTTCAACTTCTCGCGGGGAAAAAAAAAAGATCTTGCAAAGTTGGAATTGATTGATTGAACTTTTTAGTCCCACCCAGTCTCCCACTACCACCCTAGCCACGCCCACCCAATTGGCAACACCCAGCCAATGGGCCACACCCACTCGGCACTCGAGGATGCATGAATGGGTTTTGGGTTGCACTTTGGGCACTCAGTCTCTAAAAGGTTTGCCATCACTGGTCTAGGTCCTAGGAGGTCTCCAAGATTGCATACCGGTCTGCGAGAGTATTAACTCCATCTAGTAGCAAGGATGGCTTAGTCCTGGTGGGCCCCCAAAACCCGAGTCTTGCCAAGGTTCAGCTGTTCCCCTCCCAGATCCTCATGGCTTTCTGACACCAAGATAAGATGTTCATGGCTTAGTTGCTTAGTTCGCCAGGGTGGAATTCTCTAATTGGGTATTGTCAGCATCATGAAGATCCCTCACCCTGTGGCAATGAAGGAGCTTCCCAATCCTTCTAATTGGAAAATCCAGGGAAGCTCACCTGTGCCGGTTAGTGCTGCTTTCTAAGAAGGCTGCAGGTGAGAGTGTGCCACAAGCTGTGTTCCTCTCCCCAAACTGGCTCTGCCTTCAGTTCTTCCATTTGAGAAAGAAAATATTGTCTCATTTTGCTGCATCCCAGTTTAAACTAAATCAAGAATCTTGTTTGATTGGCCAGAGGCACAATTAAATTAGTGCTCTACTTAACGGATTGACTCTGATCCTTAGTTTTGTTTGTAGGACTCTGTCGGTGCTCCTGAATCCAGAAAAATATGTTCCTGATGGAATCGTATATCCTAAAGCAACGTGGCTCGGAAGTGAATTGCTTTCTAAACTGGTTAAATGGTCTACGGAGATCACAAAAAATGAATTTAAGAGTACGCTCTCTCTAATTTCTGTGGCTAGATACAGCAAGGTTTATCAAGATTTAAAGGAAAAGTACAAAGAGATGGTTAAAGTAAGTCGATCTGGATGCTTTTTGCTTTGACATTTTTGAATGTAATGTACATGCAGAAAAGTGTCTCTATCTTAAATGAAAAGCATAAGCTTTGTTCTTAATTGGATAAGGAAATCAAATCGAGGATGCTTGCGCCTTGGGAACAGAAGATGTTTCTTGGGCCGAGTTTAGTCTTCCTCTGATTTCATGGGAAAGTGTGTGGAGAATTCAGACCTCCTAAAACCACGGAGGAAATGAAGGGGGAAGCTGAAATCCAGTTGTGTCAGAGGAAAGCATGAATTATGATTGAAAAACGTGAGATCTGCATATATGTGTGAGAATTCATCACTGCCAGATGGAGAGGATGCTTGCCTGTGTTGGCCGTTAATCTGCTTGAAATGCACTATGTGCTAAAGCGGCGTCATGATTCTCGGAGCCACACCCGAGTTTGTGAAATCTGAGGGAATCTTGTTGCAACTTTTTGGATTAGCAAATGCTAGGAAGCTGTCATGAGCTGCAACTCACTTCATTAGGTTTATAGACTGGCTAGATTGATGGAGAAATGTAATTACAGGCTGGTTATGCAGGTGAGAGTTAAACATGAGGCAGATTCCAAGAATTTGATCAATTAACAATTGTAATGTGTTAAAAACCTGTTGGGTTTGTTGAGATTTACTGAGATAGCCTGAAATCTGTAAATTGTGTGAGCTCAGCAATCTCACTCAATTGCACTGGGGAAGTAAGTGCACCTTGATTTTCCCCAAGGTGGCTGCTTTGAGCTCTGTTTAAAGGAGGCTTCTAGAAGGTTGAAATGCTTCGTTGCTGCCTTTTTTTGTCCGTGGTTGAGACCTGATGCCAGACCTGTGTCCTATTGTACAACATTTGCCCTGTTTGTGCTATGAGATACGCGAAATCTGGAGGCACTTTTTGCTGATGGAGGCATCCCTTTCAGAAGCAAAGCAGCGCCTAGTCTCGTGCGTGGAGCTGTTGGTGTAAATGTGGGAGGAAAGCAGACTTTTGGGTTTGTCGCAGGACCTGCTTCCCAATTTAACATTCTGCTGCTTCTGTAAAAATGAGCTTCAAGGTGGGTGGTGTGTGCTTGCTTATTTATTTGATAAATTTATGCAGCTGTCCCTCTAACACACGGATGTCAAACTCTTCACGTGTCATGACGTAGCGTGACTTTTTGGGCATTGATGGAGCTGGGGTGGGTACGGCCTCCGTATGATGCAACCGGTCCGCAGGCCGGCAATTTGACACTCCTGCTCTTACACAGTATACATGATTCTGGACACCATAAAAAGGAGTAAAACTAATAATGAAAGAACATGAGAAAAAGTAGTGAAACCATAAAACATAAATTTCCAGGAGACCGAAGTCAGTTTCCCTAACAATATAAGGACTTTATAGTTAACCTCCCAGGCCTGAGGGCAAAGTCCAGTTTCCAGGCCCTTCCTGAAGACGGGCAGGGTGGGAGCAGTCTGACCTTGGGGGAATGATGGGCCAAAGGGCGGGTGCCCCACAGCAGGAAAGCCTCTCCTCCCGGCACCCGGCAGGTGTAAAGGGTCCACAACGTGCTCTCCCTGTGGGCAGGTCGGTGTGATTGGAGAGGGGGGTCCCTCAGCCCGGCCTCATGCCAGGTGAGGCTGTAGAGTTCGTTGCCAGCCCTTGGAATTGAAGCCGGAAGGCAGCTGGCAACCAGTGTGACTCCTGGAGCAGAGGTCAGACGTGCCCTGATCTAGGTGTGCGTGTGACTGACCGGGCCACTTGCACTTGGTGCCAGCTGAAGGCTGAGGGCAAAGTCAGCCAGTTTTGGAGGGCAAGGAAGAAAAAGGTACTTGGAGAAAACGGATAGTTAATGGTATTTATCCCCAGCATGGTGGCTCCTCTTGAAAGTAACATGGATCTTCTTGACAGTGTGCAGAAAATGACATCCTTGCCTCCAAAGCGACGTCTGAATCCATTCAGCCACGCAAGTAAAAGGGGATGGGCTGCTTCGGAGGGAGATTTGCCTTCTGCTGGGAAGGTGTTCTGTGTGGGTTGTGTTGGCAGGGAGAGCTGACTGACTTAAGGATTGTCGCCCTCTCTTTACGGAGGCTCCCCAACCTGCTATGGCAGCTGTTCTGTGGGCCTGAATGTGCACTAGGTAGGCAACTGCTGGAAATTTGAAATAACCTGTAATCTCTAATATCTATAGTTAATTTATATTTATAGTTAATCATTTGAACCTTTGTTTTCCTGTAGGTTTGGCCTGAAGTAACAGATCCTGAAAAGTTTGTGTATGAGGATGTTGCTATAGCTACTTACTTACTGGTAGGTGGTGTTTAAAACTAATTAAAAGTTTACTCTGAAAGTATAAATTATTCCAAAATAATAACTTTCCTAAAATTCAGCTATAAAGAATAGATTTTTCTGAATGTGAATGTTTGACACTTTAAACTGGATATACAAGATACATTTTGAGCACAATTCTGTTAATAATTTCAGTTAGGAGATTATGTATTTGTTTACTAGGAGTGGCCTCTGTGTCTGCATATGCTTGTATATCTCTAAAGCCCCCCCCCCGAGTGGCAGGGCTGCTCAGGAGGGGGGGCAAAGCCTCAACCCCACTTCTCAGCCCCTCCCCCCACAGAGGTACCACGGGGAGAGGGAAGGTGGGCTCGTAACCCCAGGAGCCAGCCCTGACGTGGAATCTCCTGGGCCTCTGTGAACCCAACTCGCCCTTGGATCCTTTCCAGTTACTCGTTCCATGCTGGTGGTTATTTGGCGTTTCTGAATGGCGATCCTGTCTTGCTAGATCCTTTGGGAAGATGAGAGAGCTCGGAGAGGCCTGGCCGAGAGGCAGTCTTTTGTGGACCTTGGCTGTGGAAATGGACTCCTAGTTCATATTTTAAGTAACGAGGGGGTAAGTCGGTTGTACAGGATTGATCAAGCCACTTTTTCTCTGGCTCTCCCGCTAATTAAAGTTGGGAGGCCAGATTTTATCCTTGGCAATTTAGTTTCTTCCTTGGTGTGTTGTTGCGGTTCTGTGTTATTGTTTCCTCTTATTATACTGCTGTTACATTTAACCTTTTTTAGTGTAGAAGGGAAAACAGGCTGTTGGAGTGAGTTGAGTGGCCATATAAATTTTCTAAATAAATAAGCATTTACTGACCTCGATTCAGCATTGGGTCTCCAAATAGAAACTTTTTTTTATTATGAAGGGGTGAAGTAAGAATCTTAACTACAGATACATAAATTACAACACTCCAACCACATTGTAGCCACCGCAGCTTCTTAACTGATTGACCTGCAAGTGTAACATTTTGAAACTCCACGCCCAAACATTCTGGTTTTCATTCTCCTCTTTTCCTTCCGACAACTCCTGAGGACTAACTTCTTGTGTTCAATTTGGGGCCCCGTCTGTCCCTCCGGGGAGCCGAAGGGTCGAGGCTGCTCCGATCCCCAGGCTGCCTCCTGTTCCCCGAAGGGCTTGTTTTCTTTTAATCAGTTGTCAGAAGAAAAGAGAGGAATGTTTGCTTGTTATGATCAAGGCTGCTTCCCTAACGACGCTTCCTGTGTGAATTCTTCCAGCATTCGGGAAAAGGAGTCGATGTCAGGAGAAGGAAAATATGGGACACGTACGGCCCACAGACCCGCCTGGAGGTAGGGCGCAGATGTGGGTTCCTTTCAGCCGGGGCTTCTGCTCCGACGGGCTCCTCTGCCGCCACACTCTGCAAAATGACCTTAAGCCGAAATACAGGTAGTCCTCGACTTAACGACGGTTCGGTTAGTGACTGTTCGAAGTTACAGCGGCAGTGAAAAAAGTGACTTGGGAACATTTTTCCCGCTTACAACCACTGCAGCTTCCCCGTGGCCACGTGATCCGAATTCAGATGTTTGGGCAACTGGGTCGTATTTATGACGGTCGCAGCGTCTTCTGGGTTCACGTGGTCTCCCTTTGTGACCACCTGAGAAGCAAAGTCAGCGGGGAAGCCGGGTTCACTTAGCAGCTGTGTTACTAGCCTGACAACGGGGGATCCACTTAGCCACAAAAATTTTGGGCTCAGTTGAGGTCATAAGTTGAGGACTACCTGTACTGATAGATTTCAGTGGAAAAATACTGGCAACCCTTTCCATATTTTATTAAGTTGTTTTCTTCCTCTTTATTTTAGGAAAGTGCCATTAACCCAAACAACCTTTATCCAGATGTTGACTGGCTAATTGGGAATCACTCTGACGAGTTGACGCCCTGGATACCCGTAATGGCAGCCAGGTACCAGCCAGGGGGCCTCTGAAAGCGGAGCGATCCGGGCCTTCCGCAGCCGTTCTTTTGGGAACGGCCGCCTTGCCCCAAGCAGTTCGAAACAGGACACGTATAAACACCACTGGCGTTAAAAACGGATGTCTTTAAGTTACGCCAAGGAACGTGTTTTGTATCTGAAGGAGTGTATGTAGTGAAAGTGATACTAAGAATCTCGGGAAATACTGAAAGAGGAAGTGAGCTATGAATAAAAGAAGGAGCTTAAGAAAGTTTCGATTTGGTGGAATAGAAATTGGAGGCCAGTCAGCATCTGAGCTCCTGCAGAGAGTGGGTAGAAAACAGACTGCCCAAAATTCTACATTAGTTGTGACAAATTTCCAGAAAGTGGAAATGGGTGAAGGCAGCATGAATACTAAACTAAATTTCTAAAGCAAAGTTTCCCAAATTTTCTCAGTTTGTAGCATTCCTAAGTGTCTCTGAATTTTTTCACAGGGTCCGTAGCGGTTCCCAAAGGGTGCACAGCAACCAGCGCAGTAGCAGTGCCGCTTATTAAGTCAGAGGCCCCCAACCTTTCTGGCTTTGTGCACCAGCAGGGGAGGGGAAAGGGATGGTTCCTCGTGAGCGGCGGGCAAGCACGTGTGCCGGCACAGCTCCGTTTGCACAAATGGCGGGCATGCACGCTTGCCACTCTTGCAAATGGAGCTGCACGCACACACACCCGTAAAGTACCCAGAGGATGCGGCTCACAGTATTTAGCGGTTGTGTTTAGTAGTGAGTGTTTGGAAGCCTTAGTCAGGCTTATCCAACTGCAGATGTCCATTTTGAGCAGACAATTTAATCCAGTATTTAGAAAGCTGTGAGACATTGTTCACCCCATAAAGTAGGAGTTAATTGGCTCCTTTTCCCAGAGTCTCCCTCCCTCCCTCCCTCCCTCCCTCCCTCCCTCGGCTTCTGACAGCTCGATGGGCACACGTCATCCCAAGTCCCGGGAGGCTTTTGGGAGGCCGTGGTGTGGAGGCTTTGTGAGCAGTGCCTGACTCGGCCTTGTGCCCCTGCTTGCAGGTCGTCGTATTCTTGTCGCTATTTTCTGCTGCCTTGCTGCTTTTTTGACTTCTATGGGAAATACAACCGGAGGCGGAGTCAGACGAGCCAGTACAGGGAATATCTTGATTTCGTGACGGAAGTCGGGGCCGTATGCGGCTTTAAAGTAGAAGAAGATTGCCTCAGAATTCCTTCCACAAAAAGGGTAACTTCTGCTTTCGTGGCTCTTTCTAGATTTTAGCAGCCTTATGGTTGTTGAGCCTCGGCTGCGTGAGGGGAGCCGTTGGCGGCCCCGATAGGCCTTTGCACGTAGATCCCAGATGATCCCCTTATTAGGCTCTTAAGCACAGGAATCCTCTTTGTTTTAGGTCTGTCTGATCGGGACGTCCAGAACCTGTCCGGCGGCAGAGGCCGCTGCGCTCGCGGAGGAGAGAAGGGGCTACATCAGAAGGCGCCAGCCCCACCACCTGAGCCGGGCATCGGACAAAGGCTTTCCCTCACACCCCCGGGAGGAAGGTCTCTCGGCTGCAGCGGAGGCCGTCGGTCAGCGGCTGTGCGAAGAGGCCCCCTGGGAGAGGGAGGGCAGGACTGCCTTGCCCTCTGGGTTTCTGCCTCGGGGCAAGGAGCAGGTCAGGAACTGCACCGCCCTCCCGCGTGCCTTCGTGGACCGGGTGGCCTTGCAAGTAGCCCACCTGCTGCTGAGGGAGGCGGAAGGGAGCCTCCGCGGACCCTCCAGCCCCTGGAACGGAGGAGGTGAGCCCCAGCTGTGAGGTCGGCACCTGAAGGGTTAGGCTCCGGAGGGCGATTTGAACGAGCAGGTCAAATTCACCACACTCTTAATTAGCGACAGACATCCTGGGTCTTTCAGCAATTCTTCAGTGGCGGAAGAGTTTGTATAGAACGCGAGTCTCACCAGTAACAAAAGAAATCTGTGTCGATGCTTGACATCATAAAAAGATTAATATCCGTCTGGAGGCTCACAAAGCACAGCGTGGGATATAATCTTGAAAAAGGGGGAAAGCAAATGAGGGGGGGAGGGAGAGGTGAATAATCCAGAGGACATGAATTTCCAGAGAATTAAGTTTTTTACAAACCTTGTTTTCTGCAGAGAGTCTTCCCTTGAGTGAAATTGCGGGACATTTAGACAAGGACACATTGAAAACTCTGAAGAGGGAATACGGAGGCCTACAGACCTTGCTTAGAAATAATTATCAGGTATTTAAAGGTAAGAAGTTAGTTCCGTCACTGTCCCTTTCTGGGCTGAGATTTGGAGGCTTTCGGTGTGAGTCATAGATTAGAGTCTCTCTTCTTCCTTTAGGCATCTACTTGGGGTGTGATTGATTATCCTGGGAAGATCTCTAGATGTTTCCTCCAGGTCAAGGGCAGTGGGTGTCTAGAAGGAAGACAATTTTATCTGCAACTTTATTATTTTTAATATCAGCAAACTAGTTCTGTGTATCACTATTTCTCAAATTTTAGGATCTCCTAAAATGATAAATGAATTATGTAATTCCCTATAATCTCATTGATGTGTTGGTTGGGCAACAGGTAAAAATACTACTTTTAAGTTTTAATCTGTACATCACTTGGATTCTCAAGCTGCCAAAATAAGGGGGAAATCCTAGACAGACTGTTTTGATCTACTAAGATTGATGGATGGGATGAGAGCAAAAGTTTCCTCCCTTCCAACTGTCAGCTGCATGGATATTAACAAACCTTTATTTATTGTAAGATTTATACTCCACCATTTGTTTCTAAAAGCCCTCAAGGGTTCAGGTACAAAATGTAAAATATGACTGTTAAATCACTGCAATCAACACAAGGGGAACGTGAAGAGACGCATTTTTGCCCTTTCTCTCACTGCTGGGAAGGTGGGGCTCTTTGAGGGACCGGCGGTGGGAGAAGGGGGGAGATGGATGAACTTGCTTTGCAGGTAATCCTTGACTTGCATCCGAATTAAGTCGTTGAGTGAAGCATTTGTTCTGCATGGTTCCCACACACGACTGCCTTCGTTCAACTCACGCAATCCCGGCCCTCCCAGTCTTGCAATTGTTATTCCCCAAAGCTGACAAACACCCCAGCACTTGAGTTAGGTTTCAGATCCATGGGAAAATTGGATTTCTATGGGAGAAAGGATCCTGCGTGTGCCTACTTCAGTAAGATTGGGGGAGGGGCATGTGGGGTTTATCTTTTGGCACTAATTGGCCTATCGTTATGATTCCTCCCCTCAGTCCAACATGGGAAAGTTTGCATCCGCAACTGGAGAGAAGAGGAGAGGCCCAGGAAGCAGAGGAGAGCCCGTCTCCCTTCTGAAGCTACAAAAACTCGGTTGTGCTGGTTCGACCAGCATCACCCTCAAGGCTGCCCTCTGCCCTCGGCCTCCTGCTCTTATGCCCATGGAGCCACCGAGCTGAACCAAAGACGAATCACGCCGGGCAATAAAGAGCTGCTACTTCAACTTTGCTAAATAAAAAGTCACAAGCAGCTTCATGGCAGCTTCTATCTTTTATTCTGTTCCTAGGACAAAAGGAACAGCACAACAAAAATGTTGACCAGCATTTGGGGTTGCTTAACTGAGTTATCTTCTTAATCATGGATATTCATTATGCATTAAAATGTATAGTGTATAGATTCCCCCTTTTACTAAAAAGCTCATTTCTCAGAACATTTTTGAATGGAGTCAGTCCGTGGAGCTAAATTGTGAGTCCTGGAGAGCATTGTTTTGTCGCAGATGTTTCATGACCCAAACTAGGTGGGTGCACTGATGATGTCACCTAGTTTGCGTCGTGAAACGTCTGCAGGAAAACCACCAAGCTCAGAGAGCAGCAAGGAGCCTCATGGTAGACTGTGACTTTTCTGATCAGTTTGGGCCATATAATAAGTTGGTTAGTTTATTGCTATAACCACAGGTCATAACACATAATGTATCACAAAATACAGTAAAATAACAGTAAAACAGTAAGATTATGAATGTGAGGTGTAAGAAGTTAAAATGAGATAAAGCCAGAGCTACAACTGAGAATTTAAAGTAAGATCTAACCAGAAGATTCCCAGATCATCCTTGGAAGAGGGATCCCTAGGAGAAGAGGGGAGCTATATTTGTCTATTGAAAGCCAAAAATTGGGAGGGGCCTGATAGCATTTTTTCTAACTAACAAATTTTATTAAAGGGAGCCAGCTCAACTCAGCCAAACTTGTTATATTGAAAAAGATGCTGCCTGGCTGTTTTGATCTGGGCACGGGAAAAGGGGCTCAGCCGAAAAGAGGATTGGGGTGTTTATCCCATGAGGCTGAAGCCTTTAGAATCTAAAAATAAACCGACGCATAACTAAATGAAGGGAGTAGCGTGGCTGGACTGAATGCCAGTTCTTCGGACAGGAGACCAGTTAAGCGTAGCACCAATAAAGGAGAATATTTGTGGCTCGGGGTTGACGCGAGGGGTCAGTCTCGGTGCCCTCCGAGCTGGGTGGGTTCCTTGCAGACCTTTCGTGAAGCCAATCGAGGACAGCCTCCCAAGAGACCACCGACCCCGACGGGGCGGGCCGCAGGGGTATCAAACGGACGCCCCCCCCCACTTCCCGGCGTTTATGGTGTCGCCCAATTTGGGTAACCGAGAGGAAGATGGCCGCCTTGCTTCCACCCTCCGGCCGTCCCCCAGGTGGGCCCCGGGGCAGAAGGAGGCGACGGGGTGGGGGGGGGGTCGGGCCCACCGTAGCGGCCAAGCCGGCCAAGACCGGGACGAAGCGCCACAGAGGCGCCATCGCGCCCCGGCATCGGAACCGGAAACCCGCTTCCCTCCGCTTCCGGTTTCTGCGCGCCTCCAGAGAGATGGCGCCCGAAGCCGCCGAATCTCCGTGCTGCCTCCCAGAGCGTCCGCTCCTGACCCCTGGTGGCGGCCGCCGGGAACTAGCAAGGCTGAGCGTGGCTCCGCTGGATACCGGATGTGTGCTCTGTATCTTGGGTTGCTCTTCATAAGAAATGGTCGCTCCAGCAGTGTTCTTATATTGCTTGCTAAAACCACGTTACGTGTTTGTGTGTGTGTGTGAAGAATTTCACTTGCTCTTCGTCCGTTTACTGAATTTCATTCTCAACTAATGTTAGTGTAGAATCCTCACAAAATAGGTAAATAGGCTTCTTTTATGCCTAGCATTGTAGACATAGAATTTAATTTTTCAGTTAAAAGAGGGGGCTGTTAAATTGTTCATGGGCATGTTAAAAAAAAGAAGAAGCTGTAAATGAAACTATTTACACACACAAAAAGTTTTTTAAAACAAAAAGCTTTAAGGAATCCTGTGCGAGGTTCACGATCATTCTCAGTGGAAAGAAACCACGCCAGTGAAATTAAACTTTTGGAAACTGAGCCTTATTAGGAATTTAATAAATAAATGAAAGGCTACTCGCACAAATGAATGAATGATAAAGGACCAGGAGTGAGATTTATGAAGCTGTGCTTTGGAGCTGAGCTTCTGGGGGTTCTTTAGAGTCTACAGAGGTTGCCAGGCTGCCAGAAACGCTAAATATCTCTTTATTTATAGACATATTCTGGCTGGCTCAGCATTTCTTAAAATGAAGCTGATGGCTTTCTCCCTCCTCTGCTGCACGCAACAAACCTGCCAAGGTCCTAAATCATTTTTATCTGGAAATAGGCGGAACTTGGCTGTTTGGGAAGGGACGGGTTTTAAGGTGCTTTTGCTCTGCTAACCCTCCAGCCACGCAGGAGGGATCAAGATGGCACAATGGACGCCTTGCCCCCCTTCTAAATGTGTAACTTCTCTACAGAGCACAACAAGGCTTACTTCAAAGGAGGGACATTCCCTTTTAAGGCCTTGGGCATCAGAGGAGCCTCCTGGCATACTTACATGGATCTGAGAAGCGTCTCTGCTCAGTCCATTTCTATCAGGAGAAGCACCGAGTATCAATAAAGGAGAATATTTGTAGCCTGGGTTGAACTGAGGGGGTCCCGCGTCCTCTCTGAGCTCGGCAGTTTTCTTGCAGACGTTTCCTCACCCAAACTAGGCCGCCCCGCATCATCGGTGCCAGTGAGGGCCTCACCCAGGCTGGGCAATGAAGCATCTGCAAGAAAACAGCCGAGCTCAGAGAGGATCCGGGACCCCCTCAGTGCAACATGTTTATGTCGTAGTACAGACAGTCCTTGACTTACGACAGCAATTATGACCAGGATTTCCATTGCTAAGCAAGGCAGTTGTCAAATGAATCACATCTGTTTTTATGACCTTTTTTGCAACTTTTGTTAATCACTACGGTTAAGGGAATCATGGGGCACTTGAGGAATTTGTGGGGGGAAACTGTGGGGAGATGATTAACTTTCCTAAATTTGAATGACTTTTGCCTATAAGAAAAACCTCCTTGGATTCTTTAAAGTTTATCAACGACACATTGCATTTGATTGATCTAGTAGCTCACTAATTACCATGACAATTTTTCCAATTTTCTTATACAGAAAGTGATGAACAGACATTCTGATAACGATCAATTTGAAATATAATTTGTTTGTGAAATGAACCATACAAAGAAAACGCCACTGGCAGTTGGGTTCAAACGAGGCGTGTTTAATGCCGCCCCCTTTGCCTGCACTGCTCATCACTCTCAGCCACAGCTAGATGAACATGTTATAAATTTAAACCAAAACATCCAGGCGAAGCATTTATAGTGTTTTCAGAACAGTTTCCATCCGTTGCTTCTTGTCTTGCCTTCTGGTGCTTTGGAGAATAGGTTGACCCCCCTCTTCTTTGTGGCAGTCCCTCAAATACTGGAATACTGGTATCATGTACTCCTAGTGTTTCCTTTCTCTAGACTGGCCATTCCCAAATCCTGCAATTGTTCTTCATATATTTTTGTCTCCGGATCCTTAAGATGTTGAGACTTTAGAAAGAGTGCAGAGAAGAGTAACAAAGATGATTAGGGGACTTGAGGCTAAAACATACAAGGAATTGTTGCTGGAATTGGGTATGTCTAGTTTAATGAAGAGAAGGACTAGGGGTGACATGATAGCAGTCTTCCAATATCTCAGGGGCTGCCCCAAAGAAGAGGGAGTCAAGCTATTCTCCAAAGCACCTGAAGGCCGGACAAGAAGCGAGGGATGGAAACATATTAAGGAGAGAAGCAACCTGGAATTAAGGAGGAATTTCCTGACAGTGAGGAATTAATCAGTGGAACAATTTGCCTCCAGAAGTTGTGGGTGCTCCATCAATCTTTAAGAAGAAATTGGACAACCATTTGTCTGCTTGAGAAGGGGGTTGGACTAGATGACCTCCAAGATCCCTTCCAACTTTATTATTATTATTGTTGTTGTTATTTCTAATTTATCTTAGTTGCTCTTCTCTGCACTCTTTCTAGAATCCCAACATGTTTTGGTATTGTGATAATAATTTTTATGTCATGATAAAAAAACCTGACCCATTAAAAAGTTTTTGGGCTGGATCAAAGAACAGGCAAGTTACTGCCATAAAAATACAGAGCTTTTTTCCAGATGTCGGAATCCTTTTTCCAAGACCTGAGATAGTTTTCAACACAGTTATGTTGAGAAACTGTAACAGCCACCCAAATTCTTCTTGCAAGCAGGTTTTCTTCAAACTTTCGTTTTTAAGTAATGTCCCTTCCTGTCCACTTGCCCTGCACATCTCAGAGCCAGCTTTGGGGGGGCTATTCTTCGAAGGAAACCCTGCAGAAAGAGGCCTGTCGTTGTGGTGCCTCCTCCCAGATCTGTATTGCCAAGAACTGGAGGGGGATGATTGCCTCGTTCAGCAGCTATTGTGTAACTTTTGTGCAGTAGCAAATTCAGTATTGAGTGTAGGTTGAAAGAGCTGTTTGCAGATGAGGCAAATGGGAGCTGGGAGCTGAGGACCTGAGCAAAGGATTTCATATATGATGAGCTGGACAAGATCTTAGAGCTTTGCCTTTGGGGCTTGGTGGCCTGGCCAGGGGAGGGAGTGGAGGGGAACTGGGCTGCACGAACGGCCGGCTGGCGCACGCACCCGTGTAACTAATGCCTTGCTTCGGGGTGGGGTCAGGGCGACTGAGTGGAGCTGAGCAGTTGCTGTCCGGCTGCCCTCCCTGACGCCTGTGCAGCGTTCACAGCAGACATTTCCTCTTTGCTCCCTGGTAGAGAAACGTCTGTTGCTGCCTGGGATTGAACCCTCAACCTTCTGAGTGGGAGGCGAGCGTCTTCCCCTCTAGGCCATCGTGCTGCTCAGGTAGGAAATGAGCCACTAACTCATGGATAAAATATCCAGTCCATCCAAGGTAAACTTGGGAGAGGGAATCCATAGTGCACAGTGGCTGTTGGCGGAAACCCTGGCTTCCCGTATACATATGCTCTGAACAGATTTGTTACAACAATTTCATATTGTTACTTCTAATTAGCAATTTAAATAATGAAGGTCGAGACAAATTAATAACATATAAGAAGTAATGAGGTCCCTGTGTTAGTTTCAGCTTCTTAGCTAATAAAACACTTTCTAGATTTGGGAA